AAAGAAATATAATTATTAAATTATAATTGCTAAGATACTACGTATTAGATATCTTAATAATACTTATCTTCTTATAATTTAAATTATAATAGTAATTATCGCTATATTTATAACGATATTTTTATATATTCTATATTTTAATTAGCTTAAATTTTTTAATAATTAATTACTTCTTAATATTAAATTTTAGAAGTTAATAGCGTTAGACTTAAATTAAATCTATAAAATAAGAGTCTTTATTTATAAATAAAGAATTATTAGATATAACGCTTCGGCGATTATTATTTCCGTCGATAGTATTATTAGAATTCTTATTAATATTAGAATTAATATTATAATCGCTTAATTACGTAATAGGCGTATTCTAACGAGAGTCGTTTATTAAGTTAAAAACGTCGTTAATAGATTATAATAAAATATTTCTATTAGATTTAAAGGCTAATAGTAGCCTAGAGTAGATTAATCTCGTTAGAGATACGCTCGTAAAAGCTTTACGAGCTACTTCTAATAATACGAGAAACTAAGTTAATAGAATTAACTTATAAGTTATTTATTATAACTAAATTAGATAACTCTATATAAATAAAGTTATTAGAACTATAAGATAATAAAATCTTTTTTAATAGAACTATATAGTAATTATATAATTACGAGATTTAGATATATAATTAATAAAATAAATAGATTAATTATTAAATAAATTAATAACTAAAGAAAGAAGAAGAGAAAAGAAAACTTATAAGTATTTAAGACTTTATTAAGTATATTAAATACTCGTCTTAGCTACGTAGCTTATAGTCTAGTAAGCGACGTAAGCGAGTCTATTAATTCGCTTCGAGTACTTTTACTCTTATAGATCTTCGAGTTTTTTAACGTTAAAGAACGAGTTAAATATAATTTAATTTAATCGAAAGTATTAATATATATATACGCTTATTAAGATCGTATTAAAATTTAAGATTATAAAAATAAAATAATTAAAGTTTAAGTATAAGAAGCGAATTATTTATTATAAGAGAATAAGATTAAAATAAAAGTTAAAGAAATAACTTTAATTACTATTAGATAGAAACTTAATCTTAATATATTTATAATTATTATATAGTATATTATATATAAAGTATTAAGATATAACGAGTAAAGATCTATAAATTAAATTTATAATTTTTTTTTTTAATTAGAGCTATCGAGTAAGTAGATAAGCGATCTTTAATAAGCGAACTTTAATAAGCGATATTTGAATTCCTTACGCTTTAATAATTATAAAATTAAATTTTAAAATTCTTAAAAATTCGGAAAGTATAAATAGCGTTTTAAAATTTAAAAAAAAAATCTCAAAATTTTAATAGAAAATAAAAAAGTTATTCTATGTGTTAATAATAATATACATCTATTTTTTTAATAAGGGAGGCGTGAAATTTTGATAGTTGCGAACGCTAATTTATTTACCCGCGATAAGTTAGCCGATCTAGCTAAAAAGCGTAGCGAACTCGAATTAATAATTGACTATATATATAAATTCAAGATTTTTAAGCTTAGCTCTATCTTATTCTTTTATATATACTAATAAATATAAGATTACTTTTATTACGAGCGTATTCTTAATATACTACTTAGCTCTATAGCTAGCGAGCCTTAGCGAAGATATCTTCTACTATATTATATCTTCTTTCTATCTATATAGTTCGATAGTCTTATTATTCTTATTCTATCTTACTTATACTAGTATCGTATTTATACTAGTCTTAATATTATAATAAAGCTTCTTTATATACTTAACGAAGAGAAATATAATTAAATATACTCTATTCGAATTAGCGAATAAATTTAAAGAAATACGCTAATAGAGGCTTTAATAATATCGTATTTCTAGATAAGCTCATTAGACGGATAACTCGATTTTAAAGAGTCTTACGAAATAGCGAAACGGCCTCGCTAAAATAGTAGACGAGAGATAAATAAGATATAGAAATTATTCGTATAACTAGCGAATTAATAATAGAAAGAAATCGTTATAAATTCTATATAGTAAGTCTACTATAATAATAGTAAACGTACGATCTCTTTATTAAGTATGTCGATAATATATATAATAAGTCTACTATAATAACGATAGAAATAGACTCGATAAAACGACTACGATTTAATCTCTTTACTAAGTATATCGATAATATATATATAGTAAAGCCTACTATCAAATGGCATTTAATATATTCGATTCTTCTCTACCTTCCTACTAAACCCACGAATCAGCAAAGTTAAGATAAAGAATAAAAAGAATAGACTTAATAATAAGAGCATAGAAGACATAGAGCAAATCTACAATAAAGCTCCCAGGCCAGGCTGCTAACAGGTATTAAAGAATAACACATGCATGCGTTGGATTTTCTTTAGTTCTACCGATAAACTTAATAATAAGAGCATAAGAGACATAGGGCAAATCTACAGTAAAGCTCCCAGGCCAGGCTACCAGTAGATGTTGAAGGCGAAAAAAGTAAAGGACTATAACGAGCAGACTGGGTAAGGAGAAGGACTCGGAGAATCTTGCTGGCACGCAGGCAAGATATGGCCAACATCTCCAGGATCTCTGTGGCAGGGATGGATGGCACAGTCAAGACCAGCATGCGATCCGGCAAGGACATGGTCTTTTTGAACGAATTGAAACCATCCGATGTTTTCGACTGCTACCACTACACTTCGGCAAAATCCTCTCCGGTCGAGGCCTACACGGACTATGGATGTTTGGAGACACAGGGCAAGCAATGGGCGTGCATCTCCGGTCTACCAGCCATGGGGGCCATGGCTATTGAGAGGGGGGTAGTGTTACGAGCGTACCCTTAATACATCACTTAGCCCTATGGCTAGCGGGCCTTGGCGGAGGCATCTCCTACTATATTATGTCTCCTTCCTACCTACATAGTTCGGTAGCCTTATTATCCTCGTTCTACCTCACTCATACTAGTATCGCACCTATGCTGATCCTAACAACTTTAAAAGAATATTTATCTTCTTATATTAAAGAGACATCATCTGCAAATCTGAAAAGTGAATTTCCGCACGATTTCCGCCGGGTCCGCATCATAAGCACGATTTAGCCTATTAAGCAGACTTTGCCTATGTTTAATCCTTTCCGCCAGTTCTACCAGTTTAGCAACTTTAAAATTTTTGCGTAATGCACTCTAATATACTCTAAGTACTATTCTATATACATATGATATCAATATGTATTATTATTAATATACGCATTATTATACGCTATATTAGAGTATTATCTACGCGACTAATTTTATTAAATCGTTTAATTCCGTAGTTAAATTTGAGTTGATATTGATACTTATTATCGTAGAACCTTATCGTTACAACGTCGATTATTAGAACTTTTCTTTTTTTATACGTATTACTATTAAACTAATAGAATTAACGAAAAAGATTAGAATAGTTATTAAATTAGCGAAATTTAGACGAATTCTAATTAGATTTACTAATCTAACGAATTTTATAATTTCCGCGATACACGCGCGATCAGCAATTTCAAATTTTGCAGAAACTTTTCAGATTTACAGATGTTATAATAAGTAGATATATAATATATATATTAAATATCCGAAGCTATAGTACTAATAAAGAGTATATTTTATAAATAAGTTTTACGTTAAATTTAGCTTTAAAGAATAATTCTAGATTATTCGTAAATATAGTAAATTAATATAATATCGTTACGATAATATTTAATATTAGAATACTTCTTTAGAAAAGAATTACTTTAAAGTATATATATAGACTATAATTAACTATAATTTTAAAGAATTAAAGCTTCTTTTTTATAAGATTTCTAGTAATAATAACGAGGCTATTATATATAAGATCTATTATAATAAAATAACTATTTCTATTTAAAAGAAGATAATATTTTAAATTATAATAAAGATTTTAAGATAAGAAAGAATAGTATTATAGCTAAGTAAAAGAATAAAAAGAAGATAAACTATTATTTTAATTACTACGATTCGCTAGATTTAGTCTTAATTAAGAATATATTTTAAAGCTCGAAGGCGAATATATAAAAGTATTCTTATTAAGATAAATAATTATTAATAAATATTCTTTAAGAAGACTAAAACTCGATAAATTAGAAATAAATTAATAACTTAATAAAAAGTATATCTAAGAGACTTAAAGATGTAATATAATTAGAAGGAGGAATAATAGATTATTAAATAGCTATAGATAATAAGAAAAGTATATATTTCTCTTAGTAGTTGCATATGCGAGAATTAGTCTCTCTACAATTTATTTAATCGACACCGAGCCTGTCTCCCTACTATCGCATATCGCATATTGATGGAACGGTTGATCAAACAACCACCAACGCTATGGCCTCATGATGGACCCACTAACCCACAGTCCCACTGTTGCGAATACTGAGATTGGAACACCCCTCCAAGTCGACGCCACGAGGCTGGAGACGTGGGTACCGTACGTCAGGTTACGCTTAGCGGGCTTTGGGTGCTGGAATAATGCCTTGGCTGCTTGTTCTCTACGGCCGGGGGTACCTACAGTGTGATGGATTCGGAGGAGATGATTACGGGTAGGGATTTGGATCTGAGTGAGAGAGATTTCCGTTGGTGATATATAGATATTGTACCGGTACACCTCGCGGGGTATCGATATCGCGCCAAGACACCATCCTACCGTATATTCGCCTGATAGATCGCGACAATTGTACGCCAATGATCGCTTTCGCTAGATACGCTGATGCAAGATAGATTCCGGAGGGTCTGGTGGGCTGGTTAGCGTCGACCTGGGGTGTGGATGAAAGATGATGAGACGGGGGCGTACCCCTTGGGACGGTGGACAGGACGTCGTGGCGGTAGTGACGCCGGGTCTACCCAGCAACGCCGGGGGAGAGGCTCGGCCGTTTTATACGTAACGGCCTACTGGTCGAAAGCTCATCGTAGGTTGCCAGAAAGAATTCGTGGATAAGGTTATACTGGTGAGCGTTAGGAAAGAGCAGCGAATGTTGGAGAATGCATTCTTAAAGAAGGAAGATTTATGCCGCTGCAGCGAAGTTCCCGCATCGATCTCACGTACCTCTCGGCCAATTTTTTATGGTTCGATTTGACCCATTTCTGCTCCGGACTCGGGTTGCTCCTCAACATACCAAGCGCCGTGCGCAATGCGAAGAAGGCCCTTTGCGGCCCTAGCAAGCCCATGTTGAAGTTTAAACAATAAGGCATCGATCGCACGATAAGCGTCGCAAAATCTATACGTTGAACGAAGTTGTACTGATTCGATAGCCGTTGCGCCTTGGCGGTTACTTCATCGGGAGTCGAAGCCGGATCGGAGTTGTCCGGTACCTGATCGAGACCGGTAGAAATCGAGTCGACAGTATCGAGGGATACGACACTTTGTCTGCGGGAGTTGGATGAGAGGATGGTGGAGCACGTCGTCGCTATGGTGTTGCTTATTGTGATCTTGAGAGCCCAGAATGTGACTGTCGTGCTGGCGATGGACAGATTTGTAAAAGAGAGCCGGGTTTGTCCCTTGGGGCCAAGGTTTGAGCTGGGGGAGTCGGAACGAATTATCGTTGGCGTCGGCCAGTGTGATGATGATGGGGTCCGGATGAGGAACTCTTCGTACCAGATGTCAAGATCAGTGTCCATGCCGAGGCATCGTTGGAGGAAGTAGAACTGGGTTGAGTCGTTGGCAGATGAGAGATCTGCCCTATCTATTTCCTCCAGGAGAGAGGCTAGGACGAGGCCTTTGTCGTAAATTGATGGGTGGAGGCTGTTCGATGTTTCGTCCCAGTCTTGTGCTAGCCACTTCGGGGTTGCTAGGACGGATGCTCTACGGTCTTGCAGACACGTTATCATCTAAGGAGAATTATTATTTTTATACATGTGTATAGGCGTTGAAGTAGACTTGCCAATGAAGCACGGAACTCCTCCAGGAGTGCTCGGCCCAACGGAGAGCGATGTTTTTGAGGGCCCCGCAACGACACCAGTGCTTCTAAACCAGTCATGTGCTTCCTCCATGCTTCCATGGACGTCACGAGCGACTCGGATTCGAACAGCTTTGCCATGTCAGCACTTGGCCCCATCTAATCAGGCCAGCTCTCACTCACCTCATGAAGTGCCAGGACGTAACCCGCCGCAAATGTTTCATCTTGCCCCACAGCATGATCAGACCTCAGAGCCTTTTGCAGCTGGTGCAAGGCACGAACATAGCACGATTGCCCTTGCAGAGCCAGCCTATCGTCCTGATTCATCCGACCCAGCCTAGTAATGGTCAAAGCCTTGAGCGACAGCTGCAAGGCGTCTGTGTCTGGCGGGCTGGGGGAAGAAATGACTTGTTGAAGCCAGCCGCAGGGGGAGCCATCAGAAACGCTCTCGTCAGTGGAGGGGATGTACCTCTCCCAGAAGAGAGATATGATCTGATTGTCAAAGGCATTGGCGCCGTTGGGCTGGAAGACGATACGGGTATCGGCAGTCTGTTTGACAGACGTCTCGGCCATTCTTTGCCGCCAGTCTCTGACGTATCCCTCACACTTCCTTCCAGTATTGGTGCAGCGGGCGCAACATGGGGTCTTGAGATCGCACTAGGGTACTCTTCTTTTCAGCGCGTTGGATCTCGGGGGACAGAAAGTCAAAGGAGGTTGGGAATTGGGAATTAGATTGGCTTACGCGGACTTTCCGTCTTCTGCAAGTGGTGCAGCCTTTGGAAGTGCCGGGGATTCCAACCATGTTGGGTAGGCGCGCTTGGCCTCGCACTCTCGAATTTCGATACGAAGGTCGAAAGGGTAATAATTAATACTTGAGAAATATTTAAAGTAGCTTTGAGGGAGTTGGTAACTCTTTAGACGCTCCCTCTACCGTCACTACCAAACCAACAGGGGAAAAGCGCCCAGGGTCGGACCGACTTTCTTCTTGGGTTCCCGTTCTATGGTTGGAAGTAAGTTGAAAGTAAGATGGATAAGAAGCTCGATAGATATCAAAAGCTTCTGAACTTCTTCGTGATGACAATGTCCAGTATGAGCTTCAGAAGGAACATATAAATTTTCGCACGCATCATAGATTTCATCCATCAGGTTTTAATAATAAAGGAAATCCTGGTGGGGGCGGGAAGCTGTGCCACATGCCCACATTTTGCCCCATTTCCACCATTCGCCGAATGTCGATACTCGCCAGGTGTATGGCTCGAGAGGTCCTCTGCTGGTCGCTCCTTCCGTGCTTCATTGCTTCAAGCCACCGCCCGTTTGCTCCTGGTCCTGCTCCCTCACGCTCAGGACCGGCCTGTGAGTCTGCCTCTCCGCACACAGCTGGCCTTGCCCGGGATGAGACGATGATTACATAAACCTCTCCTCGTCCTCTTCCCTTCGACCGTCTTTCTACTTCTTTACCCCCACAAGCCCTTGTTGGTCGCTCCACCCGCGATTCTTCCTCTCTTCGTACGCTCTCTCTCGTACTTCCGTTGCGCAACCAGCACCGACACCATGGCAAGTCGCAAGAAAAGTACAACAAAGGTATGGGTAGAAGCTGAAGTATAAGCGGTAGGCGGAGATGTAGAAATCAGTGGGATAGATGGTGCCAAAGAAGGAGGGTACCTATGTATTTGACCCCGAAAAGTATGGAAGGCCCCCAATAACGGTGGCCGTTAGTCACAGTAGTATAATTTGTGAGCCTTGAGAGGGTGGTGTCTGGCAATGATGAAACACCATTGAATCTTGGCGGGACGCCTTACTTCGATCCGATCACATTTGAGAACCTGGGATTCAAGTTTGTGTTTGTTGGTCTAGCTGTTTACAGTTTAGCGTCAAGAAGCCTGACTCTAGAGACATTGTGAACAGTTGGTCGCTATGGCTACGGTAGCTCTATGTGACAAAAAGATCGGAACGCCAAGCCCGCACTGACAACAGTACGACCAAGGCACTAATTGATGAGGGGTGGACTAATATTTCCAGATCGTTTTATTAACGAGAGAGTGGATAGTATGCCAAATAAATTACAAGCAGTCATAGACGGTAAAGGAGCAATGACAGGATACTAGAACAGAGAGATACATAGAAATTTGTATGTGTGTCTCCGCGCAGTAGTCTGGCTTGGCGTTCCGATCTTTTTGTGGTTCCTTTTAAACCTTAGCCAACGCTAGTATACGATATCGGAGAGTTATTAGATCGATATAGCTATATTCCCCTAATTAGTAAGAGATTATAGTAATAAATAGAGGATACGTCCTAGCTGATCTTATCGTCTTTTCTATATCTCGCTATCGCTATCCTCTATTTTTCTATCTCTTTTATATTTTACTATTATTAAATCTTTATATATACTATTTCTAATAACCTTAATATTATTCTCTTTTTATATTCGTTAACTCTCTTAATATAAGAACTTCGAGAATACTTAAAAGAAGTTAAATTAATATAATAATAATCTAAAGAGTATTAATCGAGATTATAGTTCGAAGACGAAGTTTTTAAATAATAATTTTTTATCTCTAATATAGAAAGAGAAAAATAATAATAGCGATAGCGAATAGAGTAGGGCTATATATTCTAACGCGTCTAGATTATTATTATTAAAATTTATTATTTCTTTCTTCTCTTTCTTCTTAAAATATAAAATTAAAATCTTTTTAAACGCGTCGATAGATTAGAAAGAGTCTTATAAGAGAATTAAGCGAAGAAAAACGCGTGTTAATAAAGTAGTTATCTCTTATTTAAGATTAATAATTATAGTCTTATTATCGAATATTAAAATAATTTATTAGATTCTATTTAATATAAGAGAGAAGATTTAGTAAATAACTAAGAAATTCGTCTACTTATAACTATTTATAAATAACTTCTAGATATATAATAAGCTTAATAATTCTATTATTAAATTAGATACTTAGTTATTCTATTAATAATATCGTCTATATAAAAAGACTATTAAGTCTAAGACTTATAGCTATTAAAATAAGAATCTTCGAATATATTAGTTCTACGGGATAAAGATAAAAATAATTAAGTACTATAATCTATCTAATCGTAATATTCTTATATTAATTATACTATTTTTTTACGAGAATAAGACTTATTATTTAATTTATAATTATACGCTAGACTTTATAAACGCTATTAAGATTAATTTATTTATTATAAACGTCGTAAGTAAATAAATAGCTTAAGAATATAAGATAGCTTAAGTCTATTAAGTTATAAAGAGAATTAAATAAATAGTTAATCTTAACGCTCTAAAGGCTATTAAAAATAAATATCTTAATCTTATTTATATTTATAACGTTAAGACTAAGTTTAAAAGAGCGTATTTAGATAATTAAATTTATAAAGTTAAAGTAAATTAATTAGAGTAGTAAGAGATTTATTTAACTAGTCTAAAGAGTTAGAAAAATATCTTTATTTAGAATATTATCGTTATAAGATAGATTAATAATAAGATTACTTATATAACTATATTTACGAAGAAATATAAATAAAAAAATATTTTTTAATAATAGTATTTTAATTTCTTACTAATTTACGCTAACTCTATTTGACTAGCTTATATCAATTTTCTAAAAAAATAAAAATACCTCGCTCTTATAGATTTTATATATAATACTAATAATTTTAAATAAAAGCTATTTATTATAGTAACTCGTAATAAATATAAATAATAGATTTTATACGCTTATATAATCTTTTAATTCGAGAATAATAATATTATAATAATATTTTTATATATAATAAAGAAATAATATAAAGAAAGAGATAGCTAGCTTCTTCGATATATAATTATTAATAACTCTTTAATTAAATAGCGAGTTATTAAGCTAGTCTTTTATAATTTAGAGATAAATAAATAAGAGATTTAATATCTACTATATTATCGATATTATAATAAATATTAAAATAAGAGTTAAATATTAATAACTATAAAAAGTCCTTTAAATATCTTTATAAAGTACTCTACTTTTAATTTATATATATTAACTATCTAGAATTAATTAATATAATATTAAATATTACTCTAAAAGATTAATAAAAATATATTAAGCGTTAATAGCTAAAAACTAGAAAGCTTTAAAGATATTATATTAAATAATATTTATACTTACTACTTTAGATTTTAGATATAAATTTAATCGAATTATAATATTATTTACTTAAGATTTATAAGAAGAGTAAAGAAACTATATTTAAATTTAGTCTTATTAATATAGTATTATATATTCTAAAGATCGATAATTAATAGAAGCTTTATTATTATAAGATTATACTTAAATAATAAGTTTATAAGACGATTAAATATACTTAATATCCCGTATTAATAAAGTTTTCTAAGTCGATATAAGAGCTTCTTATTAAGTCAATTCGAAAAGCGAGAGATATTATAGAAGAAGATATATCTATTCTATTTTTAAATAGCTTTATTTATTAATTATTTAGATAAAATATCGAAAGAAGATTTAACGAATAATCTCTCTTATTAATATCTCTTTTATCGTTAATATTAGCTTCTATACTTTTATTTCTAATAATTTTATTTTATAAATAATATTTTTAGCGATAGCGATTAAGAGCGATAGATCTATATATTTTAAAAGGGAAGCTTTAAGATCTATAAGTTTATAATAAAAAAATACGTTATTAAGAATATCTATAAGAAATTAAACGATTTTAATAAGTATATACTTAAGATATATAAGATACTCGATAAGATTAAGATTAAATTCTACGAATTAAAAAAAATATCGCGTTATAGAAGAATAATAATAAAGCTTATATCTCGATATTATGAATTATTATATTTAGAAAGATTATTAAATTAATTCGTTAATAGAGATTTTAATTAATTTTAAAAGATCTTATTAATATTAATTATAACGTATTTAAATTATAGATATCTATTAACTTTATAAAGATCTTAGTAAATAATAAGAATAAGAGTTAGATAGCTAGCTAAATCTTTAATAAAATCTCTATAAAGTGATAATGAGATAGATTTTATTTTAAGACGCTAGAGATATTAAAATAATAGCGATGATTTTTTTATTAGATTTCGCTTTAATAGCTTCGAGATATTATAATAATAATAATATCTTTTTACTTAAATTTCGTCTAGTCTTATTAAATTATTCTTTATCTAGAAAGATAATAATAAAATCTTTTATTATAATATAAACTTCGCTATATCTTTTATATAAATCTTATCTTAATTAATAATAATATTAGCGAATATAGCTAAGAGATCTTCGACGATAGCGATAATAATAGTAAGATATTAGTATTATCGCGCTTTATTTTAATATAACTATTATATAAATCTAGCTTAGCCACCTTATAAGTATACTAATAATATTTTTCTTAGCATTAACTGAGGTATAAAAGCTATCCTTTTTATCACCCGCGAGATAAGGTAGCCTGCAACTGCTCCCATAGACATCAATGTCCTTCCTACACACTACCAATGCTCTTCTTGTTCCACCATATTCCTAGCGCTCACCCTACCTGACAGAACCGGAGTCGCTTTGGATGAGATGTTTTGGTCCTCGGATCTGTGTCTTGGAAACCTTTCCTATCCTAGAGCAGGTGTTATGGTTACGCGTTTTTGAATGGAAACGTATTGAAGTTTCATCTGAGACGCTCATTTCGTTAATATCATCGGATCATACTCCCACATCCACATCCGTCTGCGTTGACAACTTAAACACTGGTCTCCCTTCCAAGGTATTGCAGATTGCAACTTTAATCATCCTCCAGAGCTGAGAAACTTGGGGTTATCTCCTCACGAGAGTTGAAATTTGTGTCTTTTCCGAGCTGAGGAGTTGTCCGACCCCAAACTAAGAAATGAAGGAAAGGTGTGGCTGGTAAGCAGCCATCAAGGGCTGGCTATTTAATTTTCTATTCATAGCTTACTTTCTACAATCTTCGCTACACCATCATACAACGGCCCTGACTCCGACTTTGTTGCCGTCTTCGCCACCACGGATACCTGGTCACTACCAACATTGTAATCCTTGAGTCTACTCTCCAGGCCCAAATCCTTAACTAGCTTCTCGATGGCATCGGCCACCTTGAGGGCATCTTTTTTATCGTCTCCACTTTTGCTCTGTCCAATGTATGGTAATGCTCTGGCAACCTGAGCTGCATCTTCTGGGTTCTCCGCCTTCAGCCGTACAACGCCGGCCAGTGAAATGCAAGACGTAATACCGTGGGGTATGCCGTAAGGCGACCCAAGAGCATAACCCATCGCGTGACTGAGCCCTAGACCACCCCCCATATCCAGTCCTATGGGAAAGAGCGAGTTGAAGGATGCCAGTTGTAGCCTTGTGATGTAGTCCTCATTCTTTGGCTCCGCCTTGGACTTGGGAAGGTAGGTGAAAAGTCCCTCGATCGCGCTCAGAACCAACGATTTCGCAGGGGCCTCTGCAGCTTTTGGGTGATATAAGAGTTCTACCGCGTGGTCCAGCGATCGTATAGCCGTAGACAGCCAGAGCCTTTGCGGGGTCTCCAACGCGAATTTTGCATCGTAGATGATGACGTTCGGTACCAGCTCCGGACCTCCAACGCCAGTCTTTTTGCCATCCGCTGCCGTGTATCCTGCACCCATCGTACACTCGGCCGCGCTCAGCGTCGTAGGTATGGCGATGTGATAGAGATATTTGTTCGATTTCTCATGAGTCCTGTAGGAGATGGCTTTGGCTGAGTCAATGGGGCTGCCGCCTCCAATGCTAATGATGGTATCGATGGAAGAGTCTTTCTGCACCGCATCTGTTGCCTCATCCAGCTGTGCCACTGGAGCATGCTGCTTGATATTGGAGAAGGTGCCTGCATGGTGCTTCGAGGTCAGGAGCTTCTCGACTTGCTGGATGAGGGGTGTTTTGGTGGCGAGTGAGGAGCCGGTGATGATAAACGCTTTGGAGGATGATGAGGGTAGGCAGGAGACTAGATTGTCGTGAACTGAGGAAGGGCCATAGTACAGGCGTTCAAGGTGGGTTGGCTTCCAGAGGCCTGAGGGAGGGTTTGACCGAGTCATGGTGGATATGGAGTGCTGAGGAATGGGTTTGAATAGATTGTTCCAGTAGTACCCTGCAAGACATGCTCGTCTTCGGAACATAAAAGAGTATTCATGACGGAAAGACACGGTTAGTCAGATCTGCATAATCGTGACACTGACAGTGACGTATTTGGGTGTGCCCACTCTCGGTACTCTATCCTTAGCCGGAGAAACGGGGTGCCAAGCCCGACGCTAAGCATGAAGCTCCCCATTGTCACCAAACCCTCGCGTACACACTCTTAAGACGCTCACATCTATATCAAATACAAAACACTCACATGCGTTGGTCCAGTGGAACTGATGCAGGCATCTGTATAGCTTGGTAGGTAAGGCGCACTCCATCTCACTCTGTCGCTCCTCGTGATACTCTGAGATATATAAAAAGCGGTGGGAACCTTGAGCACAGAACACAAATCGTGATTTTTAGCCAACCTCGCACCGGAGCTCGGTATGCAGATATGGAGTTATATGACCTTACCTGCCGATATCGAGAGGTGTAGTCTAGGCTGCTCGCGAATCCGATCCCTTGCCATCAACATCCTTCCAGAACACCAGCGGCTCAAGAGACAGCTCACTTCAGTCGGTGACTCACAGTCGGCTCTGGCAGGCGGATCCTGACGGACCCGCTACCTAAAAAAATTCAATTGCTCGCGCTCGTCACCGACAATCAATGTCTTGCCTGCTACGTCAAGAATTTAGCCATTCAAAGTTGGCACAATAGCTTCGAGAGCGAGCGAGGGTTCAAGGCTCGCCTGAGCGTGTACGGAACCCATCGCCATACGGGTTGGTATAAACGGCCTCAGTTCAACCGATACTCGAAAAAACACTGGGTCGTCTTCAGCAAGCGGTCAGAGATTCAAAGCGTCTGTATCCCCATTCAGTCCCAATCTGGACTCAGTTTGTGAAGAGTGGTCGCCAAGCTCCACTTCTTGGCAGTCTCCTAACAAAGCATTCAAACCTTGCCAGCTTCAAGATTCATGGGGTGGCGGTCGATCAGCCGACTTTCCTTCTATTCATTCAAGCAGTTGAGAGATCTCCGAGCCCAGCAATACTTTCAAACCTTACATCAATAGAGCTGTCGGAGCCGCTCCTGCACAAAAGACCGCACCAATGGGAACTCTTCAGGATACTCTTCAGTCTACCGTCCATAAGGAGTCTCAAAGCTTATGGACTCAAAGACGGCGAAAAACTCGAATAGCGGGAAACATGCAAATTCTCTGGAGAACGGGACTCGAATATCACCGAGTTGGACCTCCAGGACTGCGCTCTGGATGAAGAGAAAGTCTTGAGTTGAGTCGATTCAACTCGCTTTGACTCATTTACCTAGTCCTGGCAGGGCAACTTGCACAACACGGACCAGATCGTTCCGATTGCTCTCCGATGTGCTCTCCTTGAACGCAACCGAATCGTTTTCACTCGACTCGATCGAAGATCGAATGAAGGCAACTCGGCCGGCATCGGAATATCTATGCAAATTATTGTCTTGAAGTACTTGAGGATAGAATATCCGCTCGTGAGGAGGGGCTTTCCGCTTGCAGATAAACTTCCGTCCTCGCTCGAGGAGTTTCATTTGCACAATGAGTCCTACAGGTGGGGTTCGAATAGAAGCCTTGAATTGGACAAATCACGAACGAGATGTTCAGATTCGGGGTGCTTCTGCTGCGAAGTGGCAATAAGCGTCATCCGAAGCTCAAGACCATGACGATGGAAGGGAATCGGAGAAGGGGAAAAAAGAGACTGGCTGTTATGGCATTGAATCAGAGGCCTGATGCTTCACTAACCGTTTGTTGGTGGCTGACGCTGGGCTGGAAAGGTAGCGGAGGAAGGTACGGAGCTTTTCGATGGTAGACGCCCCTTCCATTGCGCTGCTCTTATTCGAGGTACCCCAATTTTGCATGTGGGTATTTGGCTTGGCCGGAAAGCTCGTGGAACATGTTACGGAATTCCAGAATCGTAGAGGTCCTCCCAATTGCATGCCGAGACTGTGCTGGAGACCTTGTGGACAGGGGACGTCGTGGACAAAGACTCCGATCGATGTGGTGGTAGAGGTCCTCTCCTTTGTGCCACTGCTCTTCAAGATGCTCTCTCCTTGCATTTGGTCTCAAACACCCAGGATCAACCCCGCGACTCGGTACTGTTGACCTGTCGCGCTTCCTCGTATTGACAGTGATGCCAAAAGAGGTATGAAGCCAAAGGAACAGCACTTTTGAGGGCTGACAGCGTTTTGTCTGTGACACTTCCATAGAACATCTGTATCCTCCCCGTCGCAGCTGTCCTGAGCCTGGATACTGAGACGCTAATGACGGTACTGGCAGACTGCTTCTTCGTTGCGCTGCTGCTTCGCACGGTATGTCCTCGTCGCATGCCTTCTGGAGCTTGAGCATATCCATACCGACAATTACACTGTTAGAAAGCCTTTCATTCGCGCCGCTGTTGCTCGAGAGACCCACTCTATGCACACACCCGAAAGCCTCCACTTCTTCTAGCTGGTTGGCGCTTCGCGTTTCTCGCTTGGATTGTGAGGACGACAGGTATTTCGTTGACCATGAAGTGATGGAAGTGGCCATATTGAGAGGCCGAAGGCAGACCCGGGTAAACCAAGGAGGTGTCCGATGAATCTCGAAAACGTCCCTCTTGTCTGGTACCTCCCTTTCTCTGCTATGTAATCTCGAGGTTGGGTACTGCAGAATTGATCCTGCTCTGGCTGTTGATTTGCTGCTCTCGCTGGGATCTTGCTAGAGGACTGGTATTCTTTCGCGTATCAGTTCACTGGGGTGGACTCTTGCAGAGGGCTGAAGCCAACAAGCGATATACTGTGTAGGTACTCATCCATCACCACTTACTGCCGTCAGGAACGCCGTCATTGCTCTCGCTCAGAATCATCGCGATCTCCATTTTCAGGCCAAAGAACCTTCTGATAACCTCATTCTTTGTCTTGAACACCTTCTGCATCCTACTGGCTTTGATCATAATGATTGGAAGTGCTGTATTTGTCTTTCCGAGATTGCGTGTTATGTTGAGCGTGTTGTGGTCGAGCTGGGCGTTGTCAAAGATTGGTAGGCAGTCGACGTAGGCATGCTGACTCTTGTTTAAGCTCTTGCTGCCAGAAGCATCCATGCTTTTCCGACAATCCTGAGCGAGAGCAGTCTCTAAGCGGTGTTTCAGTTGCTCCTACGGTCGCACGCATGTTGAGCAGCGCTTGATCGAGATGGTCGTTCGCGAGGATAAGGAAACTGAATAGGCTACAGTTTGCCTGTGTATGCAACCTCTTGTTTGTGCTGCTGGTATAGGATGAAACTACTCGCTTCGCGCGATTTAAATCCAAGTTCTAAAGTTCCGATTCTGTTGACAGTTGATCTGCCTCCCTGGCCCGGACCGACGTTGATCCGGGAAACTAGCGCAATTTTGTGCTTGTTTCGGTCTCAGTATGCAAGTATCTCCTGTCAGCTGAGCACTTCTAGTCATAAGCAATATCACCAAACTAACCTCTTCTAGTGTTCTGTGGATAGCCAAGGTAGCGCATTCCCCCTTGACAGCAAAGCAGCAGGACTGAGCGCCGATAGCGAGGTGTCAGTCGAACGATCTTTCCTCCAAATTCGCACACAGCAAATCCATCAAAATTTCGGGACCCGCATGTACGTGACCTCTCGAGGATTGAGACGGTACTTCTGCATCATTTACTGACAATATTCTTCAAGCCTAGCTGCACCGCGCCGTCAACGAGCTGGTTGTGACCTCCGACGCGAGGAACGGCCTCCTTAGACACATCCTATTATTCTGTCGCACACCACTATGCCTAGCCTCGTGGACCTCCCTAACGAGCTCCTGGAACGAATTCTGGACTTCGTCGAGCCGAACGACCTCGATAATTTTACGCGGTCGTGCAAAATCTTGCACAAATTAGCAGACGATAGTCGCGTGGAAGACAGTAGTCGTCTGCTCGACCACATGTACCGCAAGGTACACTTGAAGAGAATCGAGAATGGTTGGGGAGATTTCACGATCTTTGAATTCCCAGAATTGCTAGGAGGTTTCTTGATCGCGCCTAGAATGGCAGATTATGTCAAGGAAATGGCCGTCAACCCCTGGAAAGTATGTTGGGATGACCCCATTGTCCCAGATCCCTTCAATGCATGGGAAGAAGAAGATGATGATGACTTGTATCGTCCATATCCTGATCTCTTTGTCCCAGGTCCCATCCAACCATGGGGAGAAGAAGAAGAAGAAGAAGAAGAAGAAGACTTGTATCGTCCATATCCTGGTCTCATGAGGGTATTTCAGGCGGCTGTCAAGGATTCCGAGTCTATACCAGCCGAAGAGAAAGAACACTGGATATCCAAGATCAAAGCCGGCGATCAGAACCCAGTCATCGCTCTACTGTTCCCGAGACTTCACTACCTGACCAGTCTCGTAATAATACTGGATGATCGAGAAGATCTCTTCATGCTCAAGGCACTGCGAAGTATTGCCAAGAACCCGCATTCGCCATCCCTGTCTCGACTGCGTGAAGTTGAGATCCACGGCACGAATGCGCCCACTCACAGACTGGAACTGGCAACCGCTTGTGCCGCACTGCCTTCGGTCATCTCTCTGGAAGCTCACCGGCTTGTCGAAGGACCCCTCGACTCCCCAGACTCTACATATGAACCGGCACCGCAATCTTCGAGCGTTCGGGATCTGAAGATCATTGGCTGCCGTTTCTCGCCTAATACGCTATTCAAGTTGATCAGGAGCGCTAAGTCACTGCGATCTCTCACGTACACCTACTGGTGCCCCTACGACGGTACTCATCTTTCCTTCGCTTGGGTACGCGCAGCCCTTCTTCAATTTGCATCGACATCGCTCGAGGAGCTTACACTACGCCGTTCTCATTCCTCTCCTGAAGGGGAAAGAATGGAGTGCAGTTTCAAGAGCTACCGCAATCTGCGGGTGTTGAACATTGACTACGGGCTCTTGATGGGCGACAAGTTCCGCACGACGAACAAGATCGTGACCGGACTACCGGCATCGCTTGAGATTCTCAACCTCTACGGGTGTGATGCCTCTGGCTATCGCCCCAGGTCTAAGTGGATTCCAGAGCTCGTCAATTGGATTATTAGGGTGAAAGAGAGGAAGATACCATGCCTGAAGGAACTGAATTTGGAGGACACGTGGCACCTGTCCTGCTTCGATCCCGCCCAGATCAAAGAATTGTGTTTGGCAGCCGAGAGGGCTGGGTTTGAGATGACTGTCACCTCTGATGACTCCATGATATTCGGGACTCTGAGAAGCCGCGGAAGGGGGGCGAGGTGGTAGGATACGAGGATGTGGATATTGTCGGAGGGTTAGAGGCTGTCAAAAGCATTCGATATTGCACATCGAAATCGTTTAGGTACATCAGCAGTACTGGATCATTGGTCTCCAAGACACGCAGTCCCTAGAAGACTCAAGGCCTCTCATCAGTTCTTTAGTGTTTGTTGCACCTCTGGGGGTATGTCATCCATGAATAATCATTCTGTCCATGGGCAACAGGTACCGATCAAGGTGCAACGTATTCGTTCTTCCATAGACCCCTTGTAACTCGCTCACATAGCTAGTTGTTTCCATACTTGATCGACAGAGACCATCAAAAGCAAAAGTATTGAGAAATTTTACCCCTTGAATGACTCGAAGCTGCAGACCGGCAGCCTTTTAACAACCTCAGTAGTGTCGACTTAATCCGGCCCTTCCGCCGAACCTTCGATCCTTTTTTTAGCCGCTCAGTCGAAAGTGCACCGTGAATATATCAACGTCCACCATCAGAGCTTGAAGTCTTGACCATCGGAGGTCGTTGACACCAAACACACTCCAGCAACCACATTCCAGCAACCACACCGGTCAACCTCAACCCTCACTCACTGAGCGCACAGTATAGGTGTAGTGTTGATTTCATTACAATAACCACGCCAGTCGGCCTCCAGCCTCTTTCATTGAGCGCGCATCTACCTCACTACAGCAATAACAGCATCAGTCAACCTCCACCTTCTGCTCCTCCTCACCAAAAGCATAGTACAGAGGTAACACCAACCTCATTACAGCAAAAACATCGGTTGACGTCCACCCCGATTTGCTGAAGCCATAGTATGGAGATGACAACATCCTCACCATAACAACAACGCCAGTCAAATCTTACCCTCCGCCTCACCTCACTGAGGACGTGGCACAGAGGTAACACCAACCTCGTTACAGCAACAATATTGTCAACCTTCAACCTCCCCCACTACGCGCACAGTACAGAGGTAAGAGATCCACTGACCATCAGATGTCTCAAATCCACTAAATGTGTTTCTAAGACTTCCACCATGGCACGCTTTCCAGATCTACCAAACGAACTACTTCGTGAGGTCATGACATATGTCATGCCAGAGGACATCGAGAACTTTTCCCTGATTTCTAAGAGGTTTTACGTCGTGGCTTTGCCGCTTCTGAAGGAGCATCGGGAGCTGAGGGTACGCTATAGCGCCTTTGACGATATTGGAAAGGCGGCGTTCTTTGGGTGCCGGTTTGAATTCGACTATTTGGACTACCTAATCCGAACAAACTGTACCCTAGGCGACAGTTTCTCAAATTTGCTGATCGATGTCCTGGCCAACCGTCGGATGGCGCTTTACATGAAGGAACTTCGCTTAGACGGCTGGTTTCTTGAATGGGAATCTATGATTCCCGACCCTTCGCATGAGCGGCATGAGCACCGCCCGTATACTCAAGAGCAATTCGTCCTGTTCAAGCAGGCTTTGGCGAGATACGTGCTTCCAGGGAAGCTGGAAACATGGATCGAAGAGCTCGAATCAGGGCACGAGGGTCCTATCATACGCCTTCTGCTCATTCTCCTTCCAAGGATCAAATCGATCAAGTTTCAATGGTGGAGCGATGTGGTGCATCAACTTCGAGAGGTGATCGAGCGAATCAGAACAGATTGCATAGAGGACACTCCGATACTCAGTTATCTCGAGCAAATCAACATACAGTTTGAGGAGTACTTTATCAATCCCGAATTGCGTCCGCTCGACTTGTTGGCATTCCTGGCTACAATACCGTCGCTCAAGTCGCTCTACGGCGTATACATCACTGCTTATGGTCATTCCCATGACTTCAGCTGTCTCTTGCCACACTCCTCGAATATCACCGATCTGGGCTTCAAATGGTGCTACATTAGCCTTGAACAACTGGGAGAGTTTCTGCATGGTCTGAAGGCATTGCAAACCTTCAGCTACAGTCACGACAAACATGATGAAGGACGTGATGACGAGGTATGGTGGGACCCGGCAGGGATATGCGAAGTGTTGTCGGAACACGCCCAACGATCCCTCAATGCGTTGGCCCTTCGTAGCGTTAATGAGCCTAAGGGACCCATTGAGAATCTCCAAGACTTCAAGGTTCTGAAAGAGCTGACCCTGAGCTTTTCGCTCTTCTGGAGGGGAACGGGTTATTCTATGGAGACTTTCGCATGTGAGCTACCAGAATCTATCCAAAAGCTCAGTATCCGTGACATTGAGGTCGAGCACATTTCACAAGTTGAGAGTACGATCCAAGAGCTGGTGCTTTTCAGACCGGATCGTTTGCCCAAACTTGAGAAAGTCTGCTATTGTGTTTCTTGGGATGTACACTGGCCCCACTGGTTCAGCCAAAATACGGACAAGCTGCGAAAATCTTGTGAGGATGCAGGAATCGAGCTGCGCTTCCGGAATGAAGAATGAGACCAGAAGGCCCAGTCCCATCCTATCGCATGGCATTCGAGAAATTTGCTGTGGCTCACGTGGTTTTGTGCCATGGTCTTTATCCAGAGGCAAATGCTGCACTGGGGCTGAATCCGTTGATGAGAAATCCAGCGTTGGAGCAAGAAAGTCGTAGCGACTTAGCGCGGTCATACGCTTCGTTACATTCATAGACTCTAGGAGCGCCTAGATACTTCGATCAATAAAGCAATTGCCTATGACTTGGATACAGCTTAGCATTGACCTATGCGTGGTTGCTATTGAATAGATCCTTGCTCAAAGCCGGATCCGACTGCTCGTTCTCTGCTAGCTTCTTGCAGAGCCCACAACATTACCTCGCAAGCTTCACCGTAGTAGAATTATTTATCTCAAGAAGAGCGAATGGAGAGACGACATGTACATAAAGTAGCACAAAGGGATGCAGTGATCTCTCAACATACATCTTGTAAAAGGGGGACATGCCCAGGCCAACAGCAACAGTGACAAGTCCTTACAACTTAACGCTCCAATCTTGCCGAGGTAACCATAGCCTCCTCGACTGATCGTGACTCCTTCTTGACTCTGGTGCAGGAGCTTCGAATTTGATCCTCGAGATCGATCCCTAAGTTCTCCCAACACTCCTTGAGCCGTGATGTTATTCAAGAACTTTAACACGGCGGTCGTCCGTGCTCGTATCCCCTGGGAAGTACAATCTACTGGGAAATGCAATGTCTTAATATCTGATGAGTCCGGGGGAAGGATTTATAGGGGATACCACCCCAGGAAACCCACCCCAAACAAACCCACCCTAATCTAAGCCGAAACCCCGGCGAATTCCCCCACCTCGTTGCGCGCTCGTGGGTTCCCCCGCGTACCACAGCCGGCCGTTGTTGTCCGCGCGGAGGTTTTGATGCCCTTCCCGTGTGAGTCCCGCGGGGGTGGGGGGGCTAATTCGAGTAGGAGCCGCAGGCCGGTGGGAATGTGCTCCAGCGGGGATACATACATGCCTGCGGGTTCGGGGACCTTGTCTCCGCCGAACATTTCTCGGAGCGTGGCGAGGACTTGTCGCGTCGCGGTGTCGTCGTCTTGCGCGTCGATGGCGTAGGTTTCATTGGGGACGACGGTGACGTAGAGGATGCCGCGGCCTGGGAGGAAGGAGTCGTGGTCGAGGGATTGCCATACTGCGTAGGAGCCTTTGGTCGAGGGAAGCGTGGTGGAAGAGTTCGGTCGATTCGTCCCGGAAGGTTCGGTCCGGTGAGAATTGGAGGAATATCTTGGTGTATATGCTCATTTCGACGGTTTGGATGGCGATTTTCTTTTAGGCTAGTAGCTCGGGGCTATAATTGGATATATCCTGACTGGAGGACGCCGACGGAGAAGGTGAAGATGGCGCAGGCCGCGTCGATACAACTCCCGTCTGCATTGAGTATGTTCACCCCTTCAGCGGAATTTGTGATGTTTTTGACAATAGTGTTCAGATGTAGACGCGTGTCGTTTGTCTTCAGAAATTCCCGTGCATGGCCATGGATGAAAAATTTGAAACCCCTCTGATTGACGACGCAGTTGTTGTCTTTGAAAAAGCTGTAAAATGTTGCATTCTAACGGTCAGCGCGCACACATTGCGAAATCGATGAGGGCCTCACATAGTTGGCGATGGTAAATTCTTCGGATGAAACGTCCTTCGAGTTGAACCTGCGTCAGCTGCAAAGCCCACGTGTGTGGTAGAAAGCCAAAGTGTAGAAGCCTTAAGGAGAAAAGAGCGTCAGGCGTATACTAACAGGTTTTCGTGCACACTCAAAGTCCAGCTGATACCATTCTACAGCTTGGGCCTGAGCATCACCCATTGGCCTCCATCCAGCAAGGTTCAACGCAGCACAAAAGCTTGTATCTTGTAAATTCTCGAGAAGTATGTTTCCCGCATCTTGCTCGACGATCGAGTAAGCATCTCCAGAGCTTGTCAATATAATCCACTGGACCGTTCGTATCATAGGTTAAGAGCGACGAGAAATTGGACAAGTAGTTTCTCAAATTGTATCTCTGGACCTGAGAAGGATAATGATCAGAATTGCGCTCGTAGAAGTTGGCTGGTAACTCATTACCAAGGTCCAGATCGGGTTTTAGGGCCCCTAGAAGACACAATCCCTTCGATCTACAAACACTGTCAGCTGTATATTTAGCAAATTTGCCAACTGGACATAAGATACCCAATTAGCTCCCAGCTCGATGGTATAAGGATTACCTTGCTCGTCTTTTCCGAAAGGCGCATGTCTGCAGCGACCTCCGATCTCGCTGTTCTATTCGACGATGAGAAAATCGTTGACGGAGTTGTTGGCTAATGCTTGCTGACATCATAGGAGTAGAAGTGAAGGATTTTTGAACAGGAACAAAAGCTTACAGCAGCGGTAATTCCAGCAACCCCTGCGCCGAGTATGGCCACTTGCGTCTTCTCGCACGTGGACGAGGCTCTGGGCACAGGAGATGAAAGAGCCGTTAGGACGGAAGACCTAAGTAGCAAGATGTTTACAAGGTGCGATGTCATGACTAGACGTTTTGGCATTGACGCACGGAGTAAATTGTGGCTCCGCGAAACTCGCGATGCAATGGTCGATCGAAACTAACCCTTGATATTTCCTGTCAAATCAACATCCCTCTTGGGGAATTGTACACAGCATTTCAATCTCGTGAAGCCGGGATCGAATTCGCGCTTCCTCGGGGGTTGCAATAACCCTTTTAGGGAGGCAACGACGCACTGCACAGTCGGCATCTTACCCGGCAGCCAGATCATGCGAGGAAATCGGACTGCAGCTCCATGAGAGAGTCTCGTGATTCGGCAAAATTCATACTGTTGTAGGCTTCTACCCAAGAAGCACGCTCGGCTCGAGCCGTCGATCAATGCATGACCCTTCGGAGAGAGTCTTTGTGGAGCAGTCTTCAAAACGTTGACGAAAGATGCTTCACAAGCGGCTATGGGCTGCCAAAGCGACTATTAAGGGCGATCCAATTCCTATGCTGCTCTCTTCCAAGATGCCGTTCTATCACCGTTCACGCCACAACACCGTCTGATTCTTGTAGCAGAGATGGAAGTCAAGTGGCATAAAGGTGGCCAAAAAGTGTTGAAAGTAGGATACCAGACATGTTAGAAAGAATGATTATCACTGAAAGACTGATTATTGATTCATGGGATGTACGGATATTTATGTACATAAAACAGGTGGCTGATGGTGGCTGGTAATTACTAGCCCTGGTAATACGCGATATATATGCGATAGCCGAAGGGGCTGTATTCCCTAAATCCCAGCACACCGTATCCCATATCAGTTTTCATATCCACGCTTTGAATTCGGGATTGATTATTTACCTGACCTTATTAAACCTATAAAAAACCCCGATAGGGAAAATAGGAAAAGTACCGGGGCTTTGGATACCCGTTTCGGGACCTCGAATGAAATAAGGGTTTTGACGTTCTACCCGTATTGTTTCGGGACCTCGGAATGATATGAGGGTTTTGCCCGTATTGTTTCGAGACCTCGGATGAGGGTTTTTTGATTGATTCGGAACCTCGGAATAATATGAGGGTTTTTTTTACCCGTATTGTTTCGGGACCTCGGACGAAATGAGGATTTTAGTTCGACATTTTTTGTGTAGGGATTGAATGGCGACAGCCCTCTCGTCGATGGGTACGAGCCAAAAAAATGGGCTGTCGCCATGAGGTGTATCTATTTATAAACGATCATCGAAGATTTAGTTTGATATTCATTAGGAAGTGTAAGGATATTTCGATACTATCCTACCCGCTTTCGGGCTTATAACCTGTTGAAAGTAGGATATCAGATATGTTAGAAAGAATAATTGTAACTTAAAGACTGAGTTATTGATTTATGAGATATACGAATATTTATATATATAAAATAGATGGCTGATGATGGCTGATAATTACTAGCTCTGGTAATACGCGACATGTATGCCGATAGCCGAAGGGGCTGGTATTGTAACAAAAAGGTGTGGTTACGGCGGACGAGGGCTGATACTACGACAAAATCAAATCCATTTTTTTGACTTTTTTTTCTTCCCGCGACTTTGAAAAAAGATTTAAAAAGATTTCTTTAAGAAATATTTTAGAGAGGTACTTTAGAGGATTCTTTATAAGATACTCGAGGGGAATTTAAGAGATTATTCGAGGATATACTTTTAAATATACTTTAGAGACCACTTAGAGGGTTACTCGAGAGGTTTCTTAAAGAGTTATTTAAGAAATTACTTGAAGAAACACTCGAAATACGAAAAAAAGTTTTCTTAAAAGCATTCACGGGAAGTTCCGTGGAAAGTCTCGTAGATTTTTTAGATTTTTTTTTTTTTTTGCGAAGAACTTTATAAAATATTCGATCGTATAGAGATCTATATCGAAAGTTCTATATATGTGCTAAAACTCTTAATATTCTTAATATTCTTCGGTATTTAATAAATTTCTTAAATAGCTTTATTTTTTATTAATAATTCTTTATATATCTACGTATATATTTATTAGCTCGCTTATTTAAATTATATAATTATATATTCTCTTTAAATCGACCTTTCTTATACTTATTATTATCTTTTAAATAAATAACTTTAATAATATATCTAGATATATATTCTATTTACTTCTAAATTCTCTCTTATAAAAGCTTATATTTCTAGTAATAAATTTATTACTTTTGAATCTCTTTTTAAGTTATTAATAAATCATTTTAAGTAGTATATCGCTTTATCTAAGATTAATATAGCTTAATATAATTTAGATTTAATAAGTTTTTATATTATAATAATCTAAGTATATCTATAAATATAAAGACTAGTTTTTAAAAATTTAAGATATAAGTCGAGGTTTTATCTTTTATAACTATTATATTAAATCTATTCTCTTTATATTTCTAAATAAATTTTAAAAGTAATAAAAGGAGAATTTATATCTAATTAGCGAAAGAAGTTAAAGAATTTAAAGAAATATATATAAATAAACTTTCTTCTAATAGCGATATTAGTTAATTTTCTCTTTTTTTTCTATAATAATAACTTTTTTAGTTTCTACTATAAATCTTTATTAAGATTTTATATTAGAAAGATTATATAAGCTTATATATCTTATATTAATCTAAAATTTCTATTATAATTTAATCTCGAGCTTTAAAATCTTATTAATAGTAGCTAGTTTCTAAGTATATTCGTTTTTTTTAATTATTATTTCGACCTTTTAAATATAATATAAACTCTTTTTATTATATAAGAAATATTCTTAAAATATAAACTTTATAACGCTTACGAAATAACGTTAAATAGCGGATTTAATATAGATCTTAGCGAGCTAATACTATTATTATATTTATTCTTATTAAGAATTTAAGATTATATTAATTTTATTAATTTAGATTATATTCTTTTAATTCTCTATAATCTAGTCTTTATATCGTAAGATAAATTAATAATAAGCTTCTATTTAAGTTATCGAAAGAGGTAGTTTTTTAATAGTTTTAATTAATCGAAAGTTATTACGTTTAAGTACTTATAAAACTATTATTAAGAAGATTTCTTACTTAGTAGTTAGTATAAAAGAGATTTTTTTATAATTATAGCGATTCTTTTATATAGTAATTAAAATAATATTTTTAAGTTTAAACGTAATAATAGAAGATTATCTAGATTTAGAGATATCGAATATATATAATAATAATAGCTTTTTAAATATAGTAAGATTATATTCTCTATTATAGATTTATTATTTTAGATAATTAATAATTTAATAAGAGACTTCTATAATAGCTATAACGATCTTTATTATAATATTATATTTAATTAAAGTAAGTATCTAAAGTCTAATTTCGTTATTATAATTAATACTCTAAGTATTAAATATATTAGAATTAGAGAGTAATAAGAAGATATCTACTTATTATATTAAATATATATTAAATATATATCGAAATTCTTTATATTCTCTCTCTATTTCTTTATTTCTCTATTAGTATAAGTATATATAATATTAATATCGCTACTATCGCTATAATATATATAATAATATTATAATTATATATCTTATATATATATAGTAATATCGCTACTATATATTATATATATATATATTATATATAATAAGTATTAATATCGCTATTATATAAAGTATTAATATTTAAGATAATAAGAATATTTACTAAGAATGCTAAGAGTTTTAGCGTATGTGTAGGACTTTCGGTGTAGACCTCTGTAGTGTTAGTTATTATCCGTCGTAAGTACTCGAAAGAGTACCCGGAGAGTACCCCTCAGAGTACCCCGGAGAGTATCCCGAAGAGTACCCGGGAGAGTACCCCTCAGAGTACCCCGGAGAGTACCCGCGAGAGTACCCGGGAGAGTACCCCGAAGAGTACCTCGGAGAGTACCCGCGAGAGTATTCCGGAGAGTACCCGGGAGAGTACCCGGATAGTACCCCGGAGAGTACCCCGGAGAGTACCCCGGAGAGTAATCCCTAAAGAGTACCTTAAAAAGTACCTCTCGAAGAATCAAGAATATTTCAAAAAGAATATTTTGAAGAGAGTTACTAGAAATCGCGAAGAAAAAATGAAAAGAGAATTCTTTTATAGTTTTATCGTAGTGTCAGCCGTCGTCCGCCGTTGTGGTAGCCTGTTAAAACGGGTAAACTTCGGTCATCTGGCTCTAGCGTCAAGAGTTCCGATTGGCAGTTCAGTTCTTCCCAGGCGTTGACGGGCATTTCCAGAGTATCTCAACTCATCCACGTGAGATGATAGTAGCTTGTTGATTTGCACATAAAAATTCCATTGACTAAAGAATCTTCTCCGTACGGCGTATTCGCTTTCCTATGCTCAAATGTTGTCTCTTCCCACTGTCTCACTTTCAGGCATGAAAAGACTGACTTCAGTTTCTGTAGCCTTCGAGTGCTCCTTTGTGGTGCCAAACACGCCTCCAGAGCAGATACGGTCTGGTCTTGAATCGCGAGCGAAAGGATTCCTGCGATTAGGAATAAATCATTTGAACGCAGGAGCAACAAGCCTGACCTCGACGCAGTGGGTGGACCACCTACGAGAAGGTTTTGTTCTTGTGGAACTATGTCAAGATACTTTGAAGTAGCAAGGTGGCTCGTTGGGGGACTGGCAGTTGGAGGGTACGGCCATCAATCACGCGCAAATTTCTTGGATTAGCTTGAATAATTCTTCCTACAAAGACCACCGGGTCAGGTGCTCCCACGATTGGTTTCCAGGGCCTTATCACGGTGGCAACGAAGCCCGCGATATATAAGGAACGGGTTCCCGCATCTTTCAACACATCCTTTAATACAAAAGTACCCCTCTTTTCAAATGGTTGGCTGGCAACACTTTCGTTCGAACTTTATCAAATGCGCTGAGTCATTACAGTGGCAACCCTGCTAGATAGGAGCGTGGTCCGACCGCTTCTCTGCCACCCAACATTCACTCACAACGCTCGTCAATTTTGAGCCCGCTCTTCCATACTCCGATCAAGACCAAGTCCCGCAAGTGTCTCTCTGCTTTTTTGGTAGGCTTAGACGTACATTGATGTACATTTTGCTGACATTCTTTTAGTTCACATTTCGTTCTAAGGCTTTCAGACTGAGAAAGTTGCCGTCTTCGTGGGTTCATCCTTTCGAAGTAGTTGCCTATCCTCTCGCCTTTCCAGACATGAATCGTTTCGTGGATTTCTCGGATGGTTTTGTGCTTAGCAGTGGAACTGTGCCTATCGACATCCCCAAGGGCTTGGTCCTCCTACTGTACTATCGGCCAAAGGGAGAGTACATGTTACCGAAAGGGAGGAAGGATGTCGGAGAGACCTTGGAAGCTGCAGCGATTCGCGAGACCATGGAAGAGTCAGGATACGAGTGTCATCTATTCAAACACCAGCTTCCCACCAAAGCGCAGGGACTCAGTGACCCAAAACATACCGAACCGATTGCTGTTCAACAGCGAATAAACCAAGGCGTCCGCAAGATCATTTTCTGGTACATTTCCGAGGTCGATTCATGCAGCCATCAGATGGCCGACACACAAGAAGAGGGAGAAGAGTTTGATGTAGAATGGGTGCGCATGGAAGACGCACCTTCAAGATGCTCCTTTGCCGATGACAGAAAGATTGTTGAGAAAGCTTTGGAGGCCGTCCCTCGTCCGCATCTACCGTTAGCTCCCCCAGTCCCTGAATTGCGCGATGCATAGACAGGCAAGCCTTGGGTTTCCTCTCCATATCGCTCGGTGGTAGTGTTGTCAAACAGCAAACAGGGACAACCCCACATAGAGTCGAAGACGATACAGATTGGGATGGCTTCGGGTTCTTGGAGACAAAGGAAAGCATAGTGAGACTCATCAGAGACTTCCGAGCCGAGCTGTGCGCCATGTTGCGAATCGAGAAAGAGGAGTGCCCATCGATGAAGGTAATGAATTTCCTTGCCATCTTGTCAAATTGCTCTGTCCTCATCCATATCTAGGTGCCTGAAGATCCAATGTTGCGGAAACAGTGGGAGATCCTGCGATTTTCAGGATGGACGACGGAAGGATCGAAGCGAACTATCAAGCTATGGTCCAAGGAATCTCTCGAGCGAGCAGTATCCGCGTCGATCTCATCGCACCTTGGACTGTTGTCGCACAAAGTCCGGCGCTTCACAATACTTTCTGACCCTGAACATGGTCCTCGACTTCACATCTATCAACCGATTCGCGCAACCGAAGATTTGCACATCCTTTGCGATTTTGATTTCTTACAAAAAACAGCATTGGGGTCTCCAACATCTTCAAATACCGCAACGACCAAGACCGTTAGCCCAGGTGTTTCCTGCGACTTGTTTCTGACATCTCTATGCCTTTTTGAACACGAGCCAGGCTTTACAACAACTCTCAAAGCCATGATCATCCGGAAATGGCAGCTGCTTTCAAGAACCCCCGAGTCGCTAAGCATAGTACCGTTCTTCTACCGAGTCCATGCTATCAGCTCTGCTTACAAGAGCAAGCTTCAAGCTGAGATGGTGAAAATGAATCTGGAAGCATCAGATGCTGTGAGTGCGACCAGGATAATGGCCCATCAATCTACTGACATTTCTTTGGCACAGGGGTCTTCCTACATGTCCAGTCCCGTCGGCGCGAGACGAGCGGCCGAGAACACGAAAGGGTACCGGGATATGATCCTCGGCCCATTATGTCCACAAAAATGTACAACCTCAGCGAAGGACGACCTGCGTTGGCCTGCAAGTCCTTCCTACGCTAAAGCAAACATGATTCGAGGTGATCCAACAGAATTACGCCGCACAGCTTTCTCATCAAACTCCAACGGCCGCTACGCAGACATAATGAGAAATACGGATCAGACCTGGCAGCAGGTCTACATAAAGAATTCAACTTCTGCGCTGCTCGAGGTAGAAGTACTTCAAAGCCTCAGGCAGTATTTCCCTGTCGAGACTATCCAGATCGTTCTTGCTGTCGATGAACATAAAAGGGATATATTTTTCAAGCGCTTCCAAGGCGAGACATTGAACGAAGTTCGCCTTCGGTACTATCATAGGCAAAGCCCTGTCTCTGGCCATCTGGAAGAGCTGTATTACCGTTCAGATGAATGGTTCATTGATCTCGACCTTCGCCGAGCCAGTGATGTTTTGGCAGCTTACCAAAGATCCTTCAGGCATAAAATGTCACCTATCAATTGCTCTGAGCAGAACATCCACACTCTTTATCATAAACGCCTTCAACATCATCGCCGGTTTCAGGAATTCTACGGCACCTGCAGTCCCAGCTTTCTTGAGGGCGCTTCCAACAGTAATGTGTCTTTGGAGAACTTTCTAGACATACCTATCAGCATCAATGGCCAAAGCCATGGAACTTTGCGGTACCACCTTGACCGTGCCACTCACATTCTCGACCCGGAAAGACCTGCCGGACTTCAGTCTCTCCCGTGCGCCTTCGGCTTTGGGGACGGACACGGAGGAAATGTTCTAGTTTCTTTGGACGTGAGTCCACCATCTTTGCTCTATATTGATTACGAAGTGACTGGTTGTCACACACCTTTCTTGGATCTGGCAAAACCTATCTATCTGGACGGCTTCTTCGATGCAATGTACGCTGACCTCTTGTACGACGATATTCTCCACAAGGACGACAGTGGCAGTATCTGGGTAGATTGGAAAATTGGAAAAGATTGTATATCCATCGACTACGGTTTGGCTTTGGAACCCTTGTGGAAGACCCTCGCCGGCATCAAGCTCGAGTACGTTCTCAGACCCATACTCGAGATGCTCGAGCAAATCGCTCCATCGCAAAGAGATACCGCCGAGGAGACACTTGCGTGTGGCCTTTTCTGTTGTGCACTGCTCTCGAGGGACTACTCGACAAGGTCAGACGTTTTCTACCTCAATCTAGCTATCGGAGTTCGACTCGCAACGGAAATGAGGGTCGTATTCTCTGAATGTTTTGGCTGGAGCAACTGGCCCCAGAGTGTTTTACAGGAGGAAGGATCTCTTCCACGTGCAGCACCAGAACCAGGGAACCAGCAACTGATCTCCTTCAGTGGAAAGAGACGCACTTTGCACGGGTCGAGAGCGGAGCCGATCCGTGATACTGCTCACAGGCCATTTCCTAGGGCCAGTGGGGTCCTCGTGGCCAGTCTACTCTCTGATGCTATGGAAGAGCGTAGTAAAGGTATTCCTTTCTACTGGAAAATTCACAGATCCCTTGATTTCGAGACTGTTGTTTTAAAACGGGAAGATGATACCCTTGCTTTACACAACAGGTTTTCGACCAGGGCGGGAGAGGGTGCGGCGATGATAAGTCAGCGGATCGACCACGTCCGCAAAGAAGCTATGAGGGTGAGATTATAACTGCGTTCAGAGATGTTTGCCATTATGCTGACAAGTGGTTGACAGATTGCACCCTTCACGTGTATCACCCAGTGCTTATTTGCAGAGTCTCGGATTGACCGACATTTCAAGTATCGCCAGATACTTGCTGAAGTTGCCGATACGGCGAAGAAGACCTTGATCGACGTCGGGTGTTGCATGGGAACTGATATCCGAACATTGATAGCAGATGGCTACCCTGCTCACGTAAGTCATTAGCATACTCAAGTACCGAACATTGGGATTCAAAGACTGACCTTAGTACGGGGTAGAGCATCACAGGACTTGATCGTGAGATTCGTAGGTGATGAAGCGTTTCAAGACACGTGATATGCTAATCCGGCTAGGCTTCATCAACCTTGGGTATACTCTCTACAACCATCGCCCACAAGATCTTGGGGTCCAGTTTCACGAGGCCGATGTGCTAGACTCGAGCTTCTTCACAAAGCGCAAGGACCTAGCCGGCCAGTTTGACTTCGTCCACTCTGCCAACGTTATCCATCTATTCGACGAAACCCAGCAGGAAGCCTTCATCCAAGCGCTGGCGTTCCTCGTGAAGCCGGGCGGAACGGTATGGGGTCGCCAAGTGGGTCTCGAAGATGATGAAGAGGCGACAAATCCCTTTCGACAGCCGGAGGGCAAGGGTGTGCGCCATACGATCGCGCAGTTTCGGCGACTGTGGTTGAGGGCTACGGGGTGGGATGCGAAAATGCTGGGGTTTGAGGCAGAGCTCGTTCCTTATGATGAGTTGAGGGATCAACGAGCGGATAAACGCTTTGTTCTACAGTGGAGTGTTCGTGCTCCAACTGATGATCAAACGGGCAGAATAGTGGACGAAAGTTAAGTGGCTATGATCTGTAGGATACAGAGTAGATGTACCCGAGGATCGCACAGGAATCATTTCGCCTCGGGCCAATTGGCAGTCTAGGCTTCATAGCAAGGCAAGGACTGAACATAGCTTCGCACGTTGTGGGTTGGAGTTGTTGAAGGCCTAATGCCAAGCAAGACGTCCTTTTGAACGCTGTGCGAGCACCTATTTGCGCCTCCCCCCCCCGGCGGTTAAGCCCCCAGGTCACTCTCTGCAGCTCGACAGGGGGTGGGAGTCGGATATAAGGTATTAGCGTGTGCAAGTGTATTTACAATCCTTGGCACGGAGAAGAATACGCACACACCATCAAGAATAGTAGTCAAAAGGCGATTCTTCTTATATGTAACTATACCTAAACTCATAGAAAGTATTTAGAGTCTATCTAGTTCTCAAAATCCTATATCCCCTCCTCATTAAGTTAAGCCACCGTTCCAATATATCCTTCTGAAGCAGTATACTCCCTCGTAAACTCATCACAGCGACTCCTCCCTCCTGTATATCCTAGAAAGGTACCCAAATCGCGCTAGAACTGAGGCCACATCTCATAAACGTGAAATATAGAGATTTCTCGTATCACCTACATACAAATGCGATGTAAAGTAGAAGAAGAAAAGACATTCTTGCCGATATTTTGGTAATGCGCCCTTTTCCCCAAATGATACCCCCTCTAATCCGCTGAGTCTGAGCGCTCAACCCGTCACCCTCGCATTCTACCGCTCGTGCTCACCAGCTTCACATCCTCCACTCCCAACAAGACTCTAGCCTCTAGCTTCCTAATCACCCGCCCCACTTCCACCCATGCCGCAATCCACGCACCTACCGACTGAAATCGTTGCTACGATTGCAGACAGAGTCTTTTCCAGACGACATCGTCAAATCCTCCACCACCCGTAAGGAAATCAAGAGCCTGTCCGAGCACTCTTTACGCCAGCATCACGGAATGAAGCGGATTGTTGTTCCTGGCAAGGGCGGCTCTATGTCATTCATTTTTTGCTGCTGTATGGTCTCGTCTTACAACCCACCGCCGCCGCTTTTTTACGTGGAGTGTCTCGCTGTCGGCACTAAGATTGGCTGTTGGGGCTGGGGACTGGAATTGTTGTATACGAGATGTTTTTAAGAGAGAATGCTCGGATTAATAGAGGCGTTGGCCTGTTTGGTGCCGTTGGATGCTGCGGGTTTATGTATGGGTGGTTCCGTTGCGGCTGGGGGGGAAAAGGAGAAGGGGGGGGGAGGGATCAGGCGGGGATGGATGTTTAGGGGAGTTTGGTCAGTTGCTGTCCTTTCCTGTCATTGGCGTTGAGGCGGCTGGGGAATTACTTTTGGGGTGGGGCGGTGGGTGTGTAAGAATTGAGACAGCGAGGTTGGAGTTGGGTGGATGGATGGACCGGTTGTGAATAAGCGTGGTAGAGTGACGTGTTGAATACCTTGTCTTTTGAGGATGATGAGGCGATGGGGTTTCGTACGTTTTCTTACATATTTACTTACAGGGACATTGCTTGCTGTGCTACCATAAGAGTTGTTGATGCTAGGTACAACATTAACTCCGCATGCTTCTCTGTTCCTTCCATCCATCCACAACCTACCCCAAGCCCACCGCCAGCCTTGCACCCCCAAGTTCTATTCCCGACGCTAATCTTTATCCTAACAACCACGTCCTCTCCCTCGCCGCACCCATCTACCCATTACCGTTCGACCGCGGCACCTCTTTTATCGTCGAGGTCATCATTGTCGGCGGCGTAAACGACTTGGTCTTCTTCTCCTTCGCCGACGAGTTCGACGACGGGACCCTTGTAGTTTTTGCGGCCGTCGACGAACCATTGCACGACGCTGATGACGATGACGATGAAGAAGGCGACGATGCAGTAGTCTGGAAATGTTTGTTGTCAGTGGATGCGTTGCAGGGCTTGTGAGGGAGTAGGAGGGGGCGGGAAGCGGGGGTGTGGGGGGTGTGGGGATGAGGTGGGTTGAAATGAAATGAGGAGAATGGCACGGGAGGATTGTGGTGGGTAGGGAATGATGGGTGGTCATGATTGGTTAGGATAGGGCGCAAAGGAGAGGGGGAAGATGGATGACGTACTCATGTTGCTCCCTGTGACGGGTAAGGTGGGCGGGAAGAGGAAGAGCACCGTCGTCACGATCACGTAGGCTATGCCGAGCAGATTACACATCCAGCCAAGCGGACCCGGCAGGACGAATGGTCGTGGTGGAAGCATCTTGCGGCCTCGGAGGCAGTTGATGGCCGGAGGGATGGCGTAGGACACGCCGAGTGCTACGACAGAAGCTGAGATGATGGCGTTGAAGGCGCTATGAATGTTGGTCAGACAGAGAATGTACAAAATCAAGGAGCCTTACCTGGACGAGCCTAGGAAGATGCAACCGAAGATGACTACCAAGACCGTGGTCAGGATGAGCGCGTTGAGTGGCATCTCATGTTTCGAATGGACTTTTGCGAAGAACCGACTCGCCGGGAGTCCACCGTCTCTGTAGTCCCATCAGTACATGCAGCAAGTCTCCTCCAAATTGTAGTAGGTTGACGTACCTGGCGAAAGCATAAGTCATGCGACTGCTTGTAGTCATGATACTTATAGTGGCGAAGAGCAGGCAGACGAGAGGGAACCTTTGGCCCGGAGTCAGCAAATGAACCAGGACCTGGTGTAAGGGCAGCTACTAACATAAGCAGGCAGATCGACCCAGCCTTACTTCCAGTAGCATTGTAGAAGATGGCCAGTAGAGGACCAGCAGCGGATCCAATTATATTCTGTACATTGGCTGACCCGCCGCTCACTAAGAGTAGACATGTGAGGAAGATGAAACCTGTAAATATTCCTATCATGACCGTTGCGATCATGATTCGAGGTCCCTCTACGTGTGGATTGGGAATTTCTTCTGTCATGATCTGTTAGTGGCGTTACGGTGGCGTGCCGTGATACTGACCAATCATGTGGGCTACTGCGTCGAAGCCAGTCAGTCCGAGACCCGCTTGCAGCAGCCCGAGAAGCCAGCCAATGCCTCCTGGCCAGCCGGAGTCTGTGCACATGTTGAAATCAGTATTGTTTCGTTGGGGCCAGAAATTGACGATGAGACAGATTTGGCAAAACCAACAACATTCAGGCACCGACAGGGTTCTTGAGATTCAGATCTTGGGACAAACAGAGAAGAGTCACTCGACCATTCGCGTACCGTTTATAAATTCGGTGAAGACGAATTTGCCGCTAGCGTAATTGGGAGATGCGCATGCGAGTACCGTGATAGAGATGATGACGAATCCGGTAATCGACCATGCAAAAGCTCCTTTCGTAACGTATGGAAGCAGCGAGTTGCCGAAGGCGTTGAGCAAGAACGCAACTAGATTATAGCCAATGTATATCAAGAATTGATGCCAGCGTTGCGGCACGTAATTTTGATTCGTAAAAGAGATGACTCCAACGATGAGTTGACTTCCTAGCAGACCTCCGGACGCAACGAGGGCGATCCACCCGGACACGTTGATCCAACCAGTAATCCAAGACAGTAGTGGACGCCATTTTGGCCAGGCGATAACTCTGGGTCAAGATTTCTATGTCAGTACTGCCTATTCAAGAGAGAATTTCCAGGCTCGAAACATATCCAGAGAACAAATGCCCTACAGACATGTCTCAATACTTCGCAACAACCTAGTTTGAAAGAGGAGTTATGGATTGCGAAGATACATACGCGACCCAGTGGTATTGGCCACCAGCGGTTGGATAGGCAGACAAGAACTCAGCCATTGAAGCTGCTAGTGATAAGTTACCTGCGTACTTTTAGTATTCACTAATCATCGACCGTATGATGGCGGCCGCCAGAGCAAGCTTTACATATTCCAGCTGTGATCAATCCCCATATGACTGACGTTGGTCCTCCGCTGGGAAGCGCCAGAGACAGAGATGCCGATAGAGCTGTCCACGAATTCAGGATCGCAAAGGCAAGCCCAAGCATTGCCAGCGGACTGAAGTGGCGGTTAAGCTCGGCCTTGTGGCCCATTGATGCCTGCAAGACGCTATGGTCAGTATTCATCTTTGGTGGAGGCAAAACCCTGAAGAGTCCGACGAGATTGAGAAAGCTTCTAATTCCGGCAATACATCCCCAGTGGTATTGGGTGGAATGAAACATCCTGGAAGGACACCCACCAGATGAGCCGCATCGTCAAAAACGCGACTCTGCTGTCTTTCCCTTGCCATTGTAGCTTACGTCACGTGCTCATAAGAGCTTTAAGAGCTGAGGTCTTACGAAGTCGTAGGAAAGAGGAAGGTGAGTAGACGAGGGAGGGGAAGCCTCTCTTTCACTACTCGTAGTATTGTATGAGATGTGATTAAGCATCAGCACCGCGCCGCGCCGATGCCAACAAGTGAAGGTTTGACACGAGATGAGCGGGAGCCTGTTCTCTGAGTTTTCCCCGAATTTTGCTAGTCCTGTTCAAGCTCTAGAGGCTAGATTTAAGGCGCCGTCAGCTTAGCACAGATAAGACTGACGCGGCAAGTCTGCCGATGTCGTTTCTCTGTGTCATCTCCGCCGAACTATTGTCGGTGACTCCGTACAAGTAGAGGTTGGCAATAAAAAGCGAAGAAACTTCTTGTGAAGAAGAGGAGAAGATGAGGTGAAGTTTTATACAAGCTTTCCACATAGCAGATGTAACTAGCTTTTGGTGGCCGGCTTGGTCGTCTTGGCTGCGTTACGATTGCCTTAGAGATAGCGTAATTTTGGTGCTAGTAATATAATACTTGACTAGTCCATTTATATAAAACAGAGCTAACGTAGCATTTGGTAGACTTCATATGGCAGGATCGAGGGTCTGCTGAGGTGCGTGACAATTCTAAAAGCTGGCGAGTCTGCTGAATAGATGAAGTGAATCTCTTCCGCCGGCGCTGTAAATGCTCTGTGAACCGTTAGATACTGGGAGTGGGAAAGACCAACGCCCCCTTATTTTGGCGGTAAGCTAGTGAAAAATACCAAATAGCTTCAGCTCGTTAGCATAGGGCCGAAATCCCCGGACTTCAGATGACGGACACAGAATTGAGGGACTTCTGACGTGTATCTCAACGTCAAAAGCTGAAATTCTAGCTGAGGAGATGAATTGACTACGAGCGTGTTCCGTAGGCACTCACTGCAACTGGCCTCCTTATCAATAGATCCTGGAACTATGGAGGAGGACTACCACTCTCTAGTTGTTCATCAGCGCCTACCCATCAGCGAATAGACCAGGCTGCATAGCAAAGAAGATTGGAGTACTCTTATCACTTTTTTCGATGTTCGTCTTCGGTCAAGTGGTTCTCTGAGGCCCGGAGAGAGCCGCCCCATGCAAGCGCGCCGTCTGATCAGAAGCAGGCGAGGCCTAGGAAAGAGACGATCTGGGTTGGTCAGCTTGAACATGGATTCCAGCCATGCGATAGGTCAACACTGGAGAAGGTTTGTCTATCTGAGCACCAGTCGTCGACAGCAGCTTCCCGAGATGGGGGAAGCAGGGAGGACCGACCAGACCGGCACCTCCTCAGAGCTGAGAACACACGGGTGATAACACCCATCCTTAGCCAGGAAATCTTACGATAGACTGCCTTCAAGGACAAGGGTTAGCGACAAGCCCCAGAAAAAAGTACGCACCGGAGAGCCTCTCTCACCATCTGATACACCTCACCAAATCGGGAAAAGCAGCAGAGCACAATCGCACCTTCCGCACAAGAAAAATGAGTAGCAGTAAACCAAAATCGGTCATATCACTGTCCAGTCCGAAGTCCTTTGACGTCGCCCCTTGTATGCATATTGCGCACGACAAGAAGCTAAGAGCCAGCAACACGCTTGTTGAAAGCTGAACATACCCTCAATCGCACTGTAGGTAACCCATTATACTCTTATCTAAAATATCATGTTCCTATCCAAAGTAGGGAGGCGCGGGTCGAAGTTTTTTCTTCTCAGAAATAACGAGGCCCGCAACAACCTCTAGAAGAACACGTTCATGCTGCAACTACCTTCCACTTGCCACCTGTCGCGCAATCCACAATGACGGGGGAAAGAAGTATCGACAAGAACGAGATTAACTGTGGAAACGTGACCACTTCAGTTGAAACCTCAAACGTAAAAATATGATGACGTAGGTACGACTTTCTTAGTATACTGGACCCATCAAAGGGAAAGCACCCTTCGTGGCTGCTACCAACAACATTCTTCCGGACGATTGGCCATGACGGAAGACAACATGACAGAACCAAACCGACTTCAAGTATATACATAAATCGCAATGAGCTTTTGTTTGATCCTGAATATGTCCCCGCGCAGCAACATTGAATGAGGTTTGTTTGGCATACCCTTCATCCCATTGGAAAGCTTGGGTTCTCCATCTACGGCCAGTCCAGAAGCATCAGCACATGGGCCGTCATGGCGTGTTGAAACTCGTTGTCGTCGACTGGCCGATGTAAAGTGGGGATAAGCACGCTCAGGTGGTCTTGAGTAGGAAATGGAGAATGAGATGACGAAGCTGCAACGCTTCAGGACAGGCAGGGGAACACAGTGTATGTCGGTTCTTCGGCAACAAGGAGACCAGTGGACCTTCCCTCTGAATGGAAGACTACGCAAAGGACTGCACTACACTCAGTGACCAACTCATGCTACCTATCTCAGAACAGGCTGGAAGGGCACAAACTTCTTGTTGTCTATCCATTCTTTCCTTGGGGATGAAAAGTGGCACAGTGAACAGGCGAGCGAAAAGATTCTGATACTCTTGGGTAAGCGGACGCCTGTGTAGTATTGATTGATTCCATTGTTGCTCTGTAATCACATGCTTTCTTTCAGCACTGCACCACGTCTTGCCATGTTCCACGATGAAGTCCGTTGCCCTTTTGCCTTTCTCTGCCCACATCACTCGTGCTTTCCGTTTTGTTGAGGCGGCGGGACCCGAGATGTTGCCATTGGATAAAGAGCGCAGCACTGCATATGTTGTGCTGATTCAGGAGATGGGATTCTATCGGCCATTGGAGGGACCCACAGTGGAGTTGACTGGATCAAGCGGCTTTCGACGGACAATGAAGTCAACACCCGGCCTGCTACTCTGGCCGCTCCTGGTCCTGCGTGGACCCCGATGAGGAGCACGGTAGTATGCTGGAATTGTCGATTCTGGGTATGCATCATTGTCTCCGGCAGGCTGAGTGCCGTGGTGAATGCCCTCCGTAGGGACAACTCCAATGGGTTGCGGCTGTGGACGCGGACTACAAGTGACGGTCGTTGAAGGTATTGTCTCAGGGGCTCTTGTCCCTCCATAGACCGTATTTTGGGGTTCGCTGCTGGCAGCTGCTCGATTCTCGGTAGGTAGGACAGGTCCATGGCTTATAAACGGTGACTCATCACCCCCTGTCGGTCATGTCAGCGCGGGCTTGGTTCTCTTGGACAGAGCAGCACTGAAGGAAGTACCCTTCTCTGCTTGTTCAGTTTTATGGCTTGGACTATTTTCTGAAGATCTACTCCCAGGTGGCGGCGAAGGGCTTGGTGACCGCTTGGTTTTGCCAGCACGCAATCCATCAGCACGCTGTGAGGGCAACATGGTATCCTTGAAGGCGAGGAGATTGCTAGTATTGCTGCGAATCGTTGTATGCTCGTGCAAAAACACGCCGAGGTGGCCTGAAAATCTCTAGTGAGTGGAGGTTTTCTGGTGGAGGAAGGACCGGTGCCCTTGGATTAGGAGACGCAGCGTTTCCACAGCGTCGAAGATTCCCAAATACGGAGCTGGTCTGGAGGTTTTGAACGAGCAGTAAGACCGCGCAGTGTTTTTGTGTAGATATGGTCAGTTGTTTGTTGCTGTGACTGCGTGCATAAGCTCTACTGCCTTCGGCTGGGCGCTTCCGTATCAAAGCAAGGTTTCTTTTGCCACAGCGCGGGTCTCCGCTCATCACTCTACATCTGTTACACAAAATTTAGAGCATCAGGATACACTACCACACCATCACCTTACTCTTTCATAATCTCTATCCTTCCCATTCTTCAACATAAGCCAATCTTCGAACGAGACGAGTCCTTCCACGTCTGCAAGTCTCCTTCAACAGACCCACATTCGGCTACAGTGATACGAAACAAGACCCCTTAGCTCCGCCATCTACGCTGCAACAGAGCCACTGCTCTAAAAGAACAATTTCCTTTGAACAGCAATCTATCTGTGCTTCCAAAGGGTATTTCCCTTTTATCAACGTCCGTGCTGCGGTATAGGCCTCGCTAACAGCTCGTAGGTTGTATCCTGCTCCTTTTTCCTGATCCCCTTTCCATACCAGACAACCCTCTCCCACACGGATCTACCTCCTACCATCATAACGATCCAACGCCATTTGGAATACCCCGCCCCCGGGCTACTATTCGGACCTTCAGCGCTCTTACACTCGTCCGTACCGTTGAGATCATTGACAACCCACCGCGCGAAGTATCGAACAGGGTATGCTGCACCAACGGTCTGATTCCGGTCATCTCTAACACTATCCAAGCAACGTCGACATTTCCTACAATGTCGACAGCTCACAGCTACGAGGGTCGCTTCTCAAGTTCCTGTGCATTCAATGAACTCGAGTCGCACCTCAAAAACCCGGAGGACGTGGCATTGCTCTTCAACTCGATTCCCAAAGACCCTAAAAGTTCCGACGACCCTGCGTCCGAAGCCATCTTGGGGTTTGGGATCGCAAAGGGGAAAAAGTCCACGATGGAATGGCGTGCACAGGAGGCATCCCGAAAACGTCTAGCCGAGTTGGCAGAGGAGGCCTTGCCGTTTCGCAAGAGACTGTTGGCGAGGTTGCGCAAAATGTACGAAGGCTTGGTGTCGCGCTTGAAGCACTAGGACCGGGCTTGCTATCCCACTCGACCATCCCTACATCCTTCACGAGCCTGTCCTCTCGCTTCACCGGACCATCAAAGATCCTCTATTCTAAGCGCAACGAGCCCGCGAGTTACAACACCTTGGTACGATTTGGGGGGACCCGTGGCAAGTTGGATGAACATACAATGGGAATTTCTAGCATGAAAGGGAGCAAGATTGTGGGCAGCGGTCTATGCAGGGATGATTGCTGTTGGCCTGTTACCTCAATACATTGGAGGAGGAAACGTGCATGCGTGGTACTGTTTGTTCTTCATCTATGGTGGATCCTAGATGCGTGCTTTGTTCTTCTTGCATGCGATATCAATCATGGTATTCTAGACTTGTTCTAACTTCGTAACTTCCACTACCAAGTTCCTCGACACATCTCTTATAGCGTCCTGTCAGCCCTTGAGGGCTAGCTCTTGACAATCACAGCTGATTCCTCCTATCACTCGCTCGTAGTGTAGCATTTGAAGCTTAGGACTAACCAGCATCGAGTTCATCGCTCGCTAGTCCTGGCAACAGCGGACTTTCGGTACTTTAGACCTTCTGTATTCCCAAGGCCAACGCACTGGCGCTCCACCAACCACTCTAGACTGGGCTATCTCGGCTTAGAAGCTCGGTGTAATGACACTCCATCTTTCCTACCATCTACGCCGACAGGCGTTCTTCCAAAGCAACAAATGGAGACACCCTAGGAAATGAGACTTAGACTCGACGTTTTGCGCAGGTGGGGTTTAAGGGATCAGTTGAGAAGGGCCGGACAATAGGGGAGCAGATTGATACATACATTGCTGGATCACCGATGGCATTCCATCAGCTGTGTCGGAAGGCCGGGCATCGGTTCTAAACCGAGTGTCTTGGTTGTCGGCTACATGTCTGGTCTCTCGCCACAGTCCTTTGGCGCTCAATGACTAGACGTGGTTCGGAGCCTGGTTTGTGCCGTCGGCTCGCCCTTCTGTACTTAGCGGCTGATGGGATTTCTAGACTCTGGGCCTTACGAGTGCCCGTCGAGACCAGGTTTTCTGCTGCTCTTGCTCCTCCGGTCTCCTTCCTGCTCCTCCTCCTACTCTGGCATACCCTGAAACCTAATCTACCGCGCCTGGAACGATCGTCTACGCCAGTATTCACAACTCGAAGATACGCTCCCCCTGATCCAGCTCTGCTGGTGCATGACTGTTAAAGAATTCCACTCTACCAGACAGGAGTACGGGGTTAGAGCTGCTGGTCCTGCGGCTAAGGAGCAGGAGCGGGAATGGCGGCGAGTGTGAGGGCTGTCTCTAGAAAGGGAACGGGGGGAGGTGGCTTCTGTGGGTTGAAGAGGGGGCTCGTTGAGCGAATGGATGGTGGCTTTGAGTATTCGGGTTTAGTTTGACTACGATGGAGGTGTGATTGAGAGGATCGGAAGCCAAGGGGAGGAAATGGGCAATAGTAGGTTGGGAGAGGGGGATCAATGGTACAGGAGAGAGAGGTCAGAGGCTGTTGCATACGGAGAGGGAAAGCAGGCGGAAAAGATAGGGTTTGAGGATGGACGAGAGGCCAATTGCAGTGCTACGGTCAATTGTCCAAACGCTGACTCCGTCCTAGGGGTCTGAGTGCAGTTGGCGTTTGGAGGGTCTTGGACTGTGGGTATAGGTGGAAGGACTTGATTTACTGGATAGACGGGCTCTAGGTGATTCGAGGCAGGTGCTCTGCCGCTCGTGGCTTTGGGGTTCGAATGGGTTGTATTGTGTCGTAAATTCAATCAGCTAGAGATATGAGTGATATGGAATTGAAATATGCCAACGCAGTTGCAGCTATGTCTGGTTTCTAGACTGTTTGCTGTTTTAATTTCTAAAACTGCCAGAGACCAGAGTGTCTGGAAGAAATGAAAAGGGGCTCTTAGACGGGAACTGCCGGGGCTTGTTACGATTTAGAAAGAGACAAGGTGGGGCGAAATGACGCTAGAGGTTCTTGGAGTGGGCAGGAAATGCTTGTGGGCATTCATGCTCTCGTGACAATGCAGCAGATATCAGGACAACGAGCTCAGGCGTGGACGGCATGCAAGAGACATAAGACGTGCTGGCTTTGCTTGCTTATGTACAACGAGTTCAGCGAGGATTGTTGGTCTCTCTTTCCTTTCTTTTCCCTCCCTTTCCCTCTAGCCCATTTCCCTCTCTTTTGTGTCTTGCTGCTGAAGAGGAAAAGACCATCAACGCTTTTGTTCTTTCTTTTGCTGGTGATGAGGTTGAGCAGTAATAGCTGTGTTCAACAGCGAACCACCGAAAGCGTCGGCTGCATGTGTTCCAACCACCGGCAGAAAGGAACCCTTTGCAACGCCAGATTTGGTTAGCTGTGAACAGGATCTTGCCACGTTGATTGCAGGTGCTGCGCTTACTAGACGTCTTTCAACTTGGCATCTTCATCAGAAAACAACTTGAGACCCTCCCCATCCCGCACCGTATTTGTGTGCGCCGCAGGTGCCTTCACCGGCGCGGTCGTTGAGCTAGAAGCGGGCTGCTTCTGTGGCTCGATGGCGTGAGGCAAACAGAGAAGACCTTTGGAAGTGCGATGAGTACCTCCTTGGCCGCGGTTGTCGAGCCGGAAGAGGGCTCTATCTTCGGCTTCATGGCGGCCGGGCTGCCTTTGTGCGATGGGCTCTCCTGTTCTAAAGACGGGGACGGTCGTGAATCCCCGTCGCTGGGCATTGGCCGTCGTCCACGGCCCTTCCTTCCGGCGGCTCTACGAATGCCGCGTCGAGAGGATCTTGTGGGCATTGTTGAGGCCCGAGGAGAGTTGAAGGTGGGGTTGAAACGGTGGGGTACCGTTAAGCCGATACTTATGAGCTGTCAGTGATCATTCGCTCTCTTGGAACATGCGTCCTTACTCATTACTGCCCTTGCGGGCCTCATTGGCAAGGTAGAAGTCGCGGAGCCTCTGAAGGAGAAGATCCGCGATGCGTTGTGGTGTAAGAAAGGTGCGTTTGTTGAGCTGCTGGCTGTGCATGAACGAATCTAGTTGGGCCCACGTCTTGACGTGTTTACCAGCCGGGCCAAGCAGATCCATCACGGATTTTGCCAAATGAAGACCCTTCATGGCCTCCAACATCTCTGCGTAAGTAGTGAACGTGCCGGCCATGGTAAGGGACTGGTGGAATGACGCTGGTGTTGATGAATGGGATGCTTGGTTCTGTTGCTAACAATGTCAGCCAGAAGGCGTCTTGATTGACTGAACTCGAAGTCAAGGGTATGACTAGCCAAACGAGCGACTTACTCTTGAAGGACACGGTAGGTACTAGGGTAGAAATTTCGGGGTGCTTCTGATGACCGAGGTGTGTTCGGTTTCGGCGGAGCTTTGTGCGAATCCGGTGACTCGTGCAAGTAAATGCCAAGACCCTCAAGCCATTTTTTCTTTCATCTATGTGTTCTTCCGTGGATACCGACATTCTACTTCTCCTGACCCGATTACTTCTTTTCGTGCCTTTCATTGTCTCTAGATAGTGTTACAGATGCTTCTTTCTGTCCGGGGCATCTCACGCACACATTGAAAGCCAACACGGATTGCAGCAGCTCTTACACTCCGCTTAGCCGGCTTCTGGTTACAGAGAAAGAGCTACATTGACATATGCGGCGGCTCAGTAGTGACGGAAAGTCACGGACATTTAGCACGCTGAAGCCGCCTTCCGGCTCTTCGTGTGTGCTTATTCAAGCGCACACAGAGCAAACGTCGATCCAGCCGCATCCTAACTATCGTATCTGTAATCGACGACGTCGTCCCCATCTTGGTACTCGCCTTCGCGTTCGTAATCAAGGGATTCGAGGCAGGATGCGAGGTAGTCAGCATCGGAGACATACCCTTGAGCCAGTCAGCAGTGAACTTCTAGAAAATGGAGATACTTACTCACAATTATGGCTTGTATCTGTATCCGTATCCGTCCCGTCGGTGCTGCTGTCCGGCTCATCGGCGTTGTCTGCCTCTCCCGCCCCTTTAGAATCCTCCTTTGGCTCATCCGCATCGGCTTCGTAGCCGCTATCGTCCTCATCGACCTCGCTGCTGGTCAAGCTTTCACGGCCTTCGTGCATCGCTGGTGCCGTTGTGCTGCCGCGAGCTTAGGCTATGATTAGCATGCGTAGGTACAGAAGCATGGTTGAGAATGACGCACCGTTTCGGGCGACAGCGTTGACGAGTATGATCTTCGTCAACGTCTCCAAAGGCGCGGATGATCGGATGCCGTAGACTAGAGAAGAAGGGTTAGATTGGGTGCGTGCCAATTTGTCAAGGGTAGTATTCTACCGATCCGAGCGATGAAGTTCAGGGATGCGAGAGTCGTTCTCGCCTTCTCTGCTGTTGAGGAGGACGTCATCGTGGACGATGTTTGTTCGAATGTGGCGGGTTGGATGGAGATTCAGTGATACCTTAAGAAAGCAAGAGGTATGCCGCGCGTCTTTGTCGAGCCGTAGGTTGGGTATTGGACGAGAGAAGAACCGGGAGAAAAGTTTTCATTTGTGTTTCCTGGGTGGCAGGGAGGGAATTGTATTGAAAGGACCCGTCGCGGGTATATTACAACGATCGGACCGGATTGAGCCGAGACTGCCTTCTGCTTTTTGGTTCCGTTTCCACGCAACGGTATGTTGTAAGAGCAGGATGTTCTGTTCGTTCTTTCAACCAAAGAGTAAATATTGGGGACTTTGCTGACAGTTCAAACAGTTTTTCTCCTTCAGTAATTGCAACGCCCACTGAGTTGAAGACTTCGCTAGGATGGCACTGACGCCTTCCCTTTCCTTCCCTCCTGCCTGTTCAGCAAACATCTCCGTTTTACTGACGACGACCACGTTCTTGCCCCTGCCTACGACGAACCAGGTTACGTGGGAGGAATGTTGGCAGAATGAGTTGCTGTGATGGTGTTAGACAACTTGAAGAAAGAGATGGGAGGAATGGCTCACTGTATGGAGATATTGGAAAGAAGGGTCGTGTGCAAAGGAAATGACAATGGCTGGGAGTTCTGTGGCGGCCAGGCACTGGTTCCGAAGAGGCGCGAGGGATCTTTTCCCCCTCCGCACTGCGGTCTGTTTTTGTTCAAGGACAGTACGCTGCCCAGGTTCGGCGCGGATGAGATACGGAGACTGCTGGTTCGAGATGAGAGGCGGTGGAGGGGTGCCTTTAACCATCAGTCCTGGCTTTTGCTGAACGAGGGAGCATGTTACATGAAGATTGGGGAAGACAGTTCTTGAACAGAGCTTATAGAATAGATGGGTTGATAGGCCGTGACACAGTCTATGCTGGTGGGCTTGATTGACTGCGTTTCTGCTGTGACCGTTTCTTTCTTTCTATGGTGTATGTTCATATATTTACTTACGTCTTTTTTGGACGTCTTGCAGGCTGCTGCTGCCCCTGGCTGGAACTCCTGGATTAGTAGTACAGAGGGATACCCAAGCTGTTATGTATATATTTAAGAGTCTTAGATGTACCAGTCTGAAGTTTTAGCTAGTCGACTTGTTGGATCATTGCAAGCTCAATTATCTATAGATAGGAATGTGAAGATAAAGGGATAGAGATAGATTTCCATTGCTTTTTGTTCTGGGCTGCTTAGTGGAAAGAGGTGATGCTTCAGTCAGCATTGTATGAAAGAACCAAGGACAAAGACATGATATTGGAACATATCTTTGCGCCCGCGTGGCCAGAGTAACGTGAGATACGGCTAAGACGAAGGCAGGCAAGTGGGTGCAATTACGTAATTGGAATGTCAAGGTAGGGTGGGGCGAAATAGGCGCTAAGGGTGTAGATTGCCGGCATTTCAGTAGGAAGACTTGATGTTTGTCATGCTTCAAAGACATTGCTGTCCGTGGAATCACATTCCCTTCAGGTTGTCACTGGAGCGCAGGTTGGGTAGGCTCAAGCTGTTGTCTTGGCTGAGTTCTGCATGAGGGTTCATTGAGTAGACAGTTTGACATGGTGCCTTGGAAGATGACCACGTGGTGTTTGCCCTATCATATCCCTTGCCTATCATGCCATTGATGGACCTCATCTTTCGCACCTGAAGTGCTCACCCTCCAATCGAAAAAGCAAAACTTTTGAGCATAGACAGCAGCCACATAAGCATGGCATGCCGTCGCTCCGCAAGCAGTATGTTCCTCCCCTTGGGGACCGATGACTAAAGAAATGAAAGCCGAGGATATCCATTGGGACCCCAACCACTACCACCCTCGTTTGGTGAAGTATCCTTGTTGCTTGTCTTTTTGTCGTTCGGAAGGATAACGTAGGTGGCAGAGGCAGGGGTTCTACAGGCATTAGCGTCCTCTGTACGGCTGTTCAGAAGCGTCTAAGTACTCACCAGTGGGTGTTGGCTCAGAGTAGGGCCCAGGGATCCGGCCGAGGGTTTAGCAACGCCTCCCTCATGGCGAAACCATGGTCGAAGCCATTGGCGTCGCGATAATCCCGGACAGGCGGTGCCTCCGGGAGAAGATGCTCTAACTCTTGGCCGACGGTGGTGGCTCGAAGACCATGGTCCATTGGATTTTCATCCCTTCCTGCATTCTCGACATCGCTATTGCGGCTGAGTGGGGTGAGGATCTGGTTATCGGTGTCATCAGTGTCATTGTCGTCGTTGTCAGTGGTGTCCGTTTCACCGCCAGCAATCGTGCCGATCTGGACCGCTCTATGCGCGACGTTAGCAGATAAATCGGTACGATGTGAAGGGATGGTCATACTCCAGGGCTCTCGTTAGCTCCTCATTGAACTTCCTCATCTTGTATGCGTCACGCAATTTCTGCATGACGCTTCTAACGACGTCAGGCTCCAAGGAGTCGGCGTTCTTCTTCATGTAGGTGTCCACGTCACCCCATGTGTACAATGCTGGACCGTCTGGCCCTAACATGACTTGGACGTCATTCTTGATCTCGACGTCTGTCATCAGCTTCAGCATGTCAGGGAGGGAGTCCTGCTTGGATTCCGGCATTTCAAGCGACTTTTGCTATGATCCTGTGTGGTAAAGATGGCTAAGTGCAAATCAAATCTGTTCCGTGGTGGGTGCGAGTTCTGTGTAGAGTGTCTGGTGGATTCTAGATGTATGTGGGTGAGTTGCAGCTTTGTGTGAAGGCTCTGGTGATCTTGTACCAAGCCAAGACCGAAGCGAAGCGCTAAGGCTACAAGGAACTCCGTACGCTTCTGGATCGGAGGACCCTACTGCTTCCGAAACACCTTCCAAAGCCGCCAACCCACCTTCTTCAGTCAGAACATTGCTGCAGATGTCGGGACCATGTCTAGGGTATATACGAACGTCGATCGAAAGCCAGGTCATTTCTTTAGCAAGTCCCTGCTGCCAGTTGCCAAGTGCAGTCCTTTTCATGCTCCCGCTGACTGCCTCACTAGTCTTCCACATCCTACGAGCAACGGGCTTGTAGCCCGCTAACCACAACTTTTGAAGCAACCGTTGCACACTACACCTTCAGACTCATGACTTTGCTACATTCCTCCAGGCTGACATTTTAAAAGAGCAACTGCGAGTTAGCGCTGGGAAATACTACGGAAGTCTAAATCAAAGTGTCGCCGCGAGAGCTTAGCACTATGGCTACAGACACGCGAACACCTTGGGTGACTGTTCTCAAAGCTCGACCAACAGGGCGACGTGTAGGTGCTATTATGGAGTTCCTCCCCCATCTCTTCCTCTGTTCCGAACGCTGACAGCTTACGGCTTTGTTCAATTAGACGTCTCCAAGCCCCTGTGAGTCGCCCTATGGACGTAAGGTCCCCTTTCCAGCAAGCCATCCCAAGACCTCTCATACTCAAGAGCTATGTCCACCACTACTTCAACAGCAAGACACGCTCTCTTCGAATTACAATGATACAGCAGTGGGAAAGGCCGAGCGTTTGGGCTCGAACCACCAAGCCATCTATGTCCTTATAAATGTACCTCGACCCTGGTGCGGGTTCTTGAATGGGTTGGTTAAGAGCTTGGAAAGGTTAAAGATTCTTCCCCAGGTAGAGTCAGGTCTAAGGGTGCTCTGGGTCCTCCAGATCGAGTTTTGCGAAAGCGAGAAAGCTGATTTTGGACAGGTCTTACGCTTTCCAACCCACAAACACCGATGTATTGCTAGTCTTTCTACTTCTCCCTCCAACTCTCTCTCCCTCTCTCGCTCCCTCCTTCGACAAATACACTGGTGTTCAACAGTCACGCACAGTTTGTTAAGCATAATGATCTAATAGGCCGGTAAATCACCAGAAAACCTTCTACAGAAGCGACAATTGGAAATTTGATCTGAAGGAACTACATCCTCCCTTGAGCTGGAGAGGCTGCTTTACCAGAGCATGCTACTTTGGGTCGCTCAATGGAAGCACTACATGCTCAAAATGTCGCCGCCGTCCTTGTGAAAAGTTGCGCAGGAAGGGGATCATGTGAGGAAAGAAGTGGGATATCAGAGACTATGCCAAGGGTGTTCGCTTTGTACTGTCTAATTACTGACCGTCTACTTGAAAAAGAGAAGCGGTACATCGACCCCCTCCACTCCCCTGGCTTTCCCATCCGGATACGGCCAGGGTACAGCTTCCTGGTACGATGGGTGTCAGATCCCGCGCACTCTACATTGCATTTTTGAGCGCATCTTTCCGGTCAACACGAGTATCTACTGTCGATGTTCAGTGCACCGAATGGATGTAAGAGCAAGTGTGGATAAAAAGAGGCCATTTGAAGGAGGGAGGACCCTTTCTACGAGTGACGCACTTTACAGATAGCAAGATACACGGGCTTTGAAGCACTTCGAGACTGCGCCCAACTCCCTCAGCTTGGATACGGCACCCGGATGCGGTGGAGCCTCGATGTATCGAAAGAGGGCTGTATATGTACCTCGCCCTTTGGAAAAAATTGTATGTAGAATCGTTCGGGAAAGTTACCGCGATAGCATGTCCGTATTTCAATGTATGAAGCTTGGCTTTGACGACTCCGGAGTTTGATCAATCTTAGAAACTTCACATATTGAAGGTTCGTTGCCAGAGGGGCAAGGCCAATGTATACCTCTGTCGCGAATAAACGACAATCCAATTTGGGGAATCCCCTCCATAACTCTACAATTTCTTGGCTGAAGAAGCGTAGCTTCTGACAAAATTCGAGGGGATCAAGGCCATGAATTCAGGGTATATTCATTCCCGTGTTGTTGTATCTTTTGGGGGGATTCCCGCGCTGCACACAATATTTTGCCGCCAAATCTATGGTAACTTGCCCACGGAACATGTGATCTTCAAACTCGGAGAGCACTACGACCTTGCCATTCCAAGCGTCCGATCCCGTCGAGTTTGCATTTCCCAACACCGAATTCCCCTTTTCCACTTCAATTCGCGAGGCTTGAAGCCGGAAGGTGAAAACGATTCTGTGACGGTGCTGGGGTTTTTTGCATCTATTTGGGCTTTAGTATCTCGAGTTTGGAATTCGTTCCTGGGCTTGAAGCCGGTGGCTGGCTTTGTGTCTGACATGGCATCTTTTCTTCTTTGTGTGCGCTACTCAAGATCCTTGAGTGGAAATCGCGACATGTTTCGTTTTCAAAAAAAAGGAAGAATAATTGAGGAGACACGGTTTGTAGTTTTAGATCATCTGTGGCTACGGCTGCCGCTGGTGTTGTACTACATATACTGAATGGAGAGCAACGATGCGATGTGGTCCAGAGAGAAGGTCATTCTCGTTTGCACAATCCGAATGCACTGATTCCAGCGAGAGGTTCGTGTCGAGTGGTGTTTGCAGTTGCCGGAAATACTTTCTTGATGATTCAGCAGCGAAGAGTCAGTAGTGAAGAGCTTTAATTTAGGAAATATGTAAGAGTGCTTTGTCAAGCTAAACGCGTCGCAAGCACCATCGATAGCGCACCTCTACGGCCAAAGAACAGGAAAGGACACTCCTTCAACATGCTTGACACAGATCCTATACCAACAACACACCCGAATCGTGGTTTTCATTGACGTGTTCAGAACAGGAGATCTTGCTGAATTTAGAAGAATGACAACACCGCATCGGGTTGAGAGAGTGTCATGGACCCGTCGAGGGTGATGAGGATATATAACATACCTCTTGTACTTAAACCCAGTCTTCCGCTTTTGTACTTCCGATCTTCTTCGTACTACTCAGTCCATCGTCGTCCACCTGCTTAGATACCGCTCTCTTCTTCGTAGCGTCCATGAGTACACCAGGAGCTTTCGAGAACGCCGAAATCCCAGGATCACCTTCGCTGCCGCTCTATCAAACAGATGTCAGTGAGATGGTGGAGTGTGATGACACTGGGCGTCTCCAAGATGAAGGGGCTGCCAAGCGGGAAGAGTCAAGGTGTGTAATTTGTTTTTGCCTCGTTTGAAGATTCCGTTGGAGAGGTACTGATGTGGACGTAGCACACCTTCTCGCTTCCAAAGACGCCTGGGCTCAGGCTGGTTTGGGAAATGCTATGGGTCGGTGAAAAAGCTCGTCGGCTCTAACGCCAAGGGAGGCGATCGGGGTGTAGAGGCCGCTGTGACTGGTGGAAATGAACCGGTGACTGGTTCTATGCTGGAGCGAACAGGCATGATGAGGGAGACTGCCCATCGCACCCAGAACCATGACGCGCAATCAGATGTGTGTGAGGTCGAGAGTTACCATACCGCTGTCGACACAGATCATCAGTCTTCAGCTCGCCACGGGCTAGCAAGCCTCGCCATCGGATCAGACTCAAGTCCTCGTCTTCTCTCCGATGAAGAAAACGAGCGAATGAATAGGAAGATCGACAGACTAATTGCCGCCATCGACCATCGTCGTCCCATTCACTTCGCACCCGATGCCGAGACAGGTGAAGTCGAAGTCTTTGCGGATCAATACGGTGAAGTGATCGATCAGGCTGAATACGAGCTGGAGCAGAATATCCCCGCAGCATCGGAGAGTTTCGGGAGAGTAATCAGATTTGGTGACGGGACTCGTCGCATGAGAAGCCCATATTCACTACGCTATGCTGACTCGACTGATTCCTGGGCTTCGACGGATTCGAGGAAATCTTCGTCTAATGCGTGGGAGAGGGCGATTGCTGCTGCGAATATTCGTTTCGCGCTCGGGCATGGGACGTTGGATTTAAAGGCTACTGTCATCAGACAGCCATTTCGCAGCTCGGAAATGCAACCAGAGGCACGTCGGGGCCGGGGTCTGGTCCGTACGATCTCGCCAATTCCACTGGACTTCGATAAGCCGCTACGGACGTCGACGCCGTCGATTCACAGCAATGGCAGTGAGCAGGATACCTCTTCACCGCTGTTCGAGAAGTCTTGTGAGCGTATTTGTCGGGAGACGTATGCTGAGCCGCCGGGCCCGACGTTCCGACGTGAATTTCCGGAACATTCACAGCTGGATCAGTGGGCATTTGTCTCCGAGCCTCGTGACGAGCCTTCGCGTGAAGCAAAGGCGCCTGCTAGCACCGGCAGAGCATTTGGGGTTTTTGCCGACGTCTCGAATGGTGTATCGTCATCGAAGAAAATTGGGAAGCCAGCCATTCGTTCCAAGGCGCTCAAAGACATCTCGAATCTGAGACGTCTTGGGCATTTAAAGTTCAACAGCTTTGCAAAGGACTCAAAGTTGGCAACAGATCAGCCAGTTACCACTGTCCCGGCCACAACATCTTCATTCGGTTTCGGAGGCGCATCTAGTCCGGAATCCAGGAGGGTATACATCAATACGAAGTGGCCAGGGCTGTTGGAAGATCGCGGTATGGCAGAGTCTCCCAGGCTCGATGGAGCGGCTCGTCGACGCAACGAGCAAGCAATCGGACATCCAATCGACACATCGCACTATTCACTGTCGCATGTGAGAACTTCGGTGGCAGTTTCGTCACTGAACGCAGATCCCAATCGGCAGGCGCATTTCGATCTGGCCTTGGCGAGATTGGAAGGTCGCGCTCTGCCTCCACCGCCGTCGCCGATTCACCGCTACCCGGATTCGGCGGCACTGTTTGATCAGGACATTCAGATTGAGGGGCCGAATCGTCCCCTTCCACTCCGTGGCCCTGTGCCCAGTAGGATTGCGAATCCGACACCGTATCGGGCTTTCTGGCGCTATTTTGTTGGAAAGGAAGGGCGGGGACATTGACCATAGGCGGGGATGAATGCGCGGGTGCTAAGTGTGTTGCCTTCACCCGTATCGAGAGCTTATAAGAATTGCAAAGGACCATTGGGTTTTCAACAACGGGGCACGGGAATGGGCAACTGCAATTCGCGTCTCACTAGCTCACCTACTTTTGCAAGATATTGTTCATGTTTCTGAAGATATGTGAATCGGGAGAAAATGGTGGATCTTGAATGTTGGAAAAAGCCGGGCAACTTGCTTGGAGGAAACTTGCTAGAGAAGTGGTTGGACAGGTTAGATGGGCGGGATCTAGATTGAAGGTTCTTGCTTTCCCTTCCGTGAGGCCCAAAGCGAAAAAGACTCGTACCAAGAACCTTTGCGTTAAAATAAACCTTTACCCTAGTACCTCTATGAATATCTATTGCTGTCCAAGGATGTGACGTACCATTCTCACATTGTCTTGGGTTGTGGTCGTACACAACACTGTGAAACGTATCGGTTCTCAATGAAGTGAAAGCTGTACCAAACTTTGCGAGAGACTTTTGAGGGGGTTTAGAATAGTAGAGGCAAGGCTGTTGCTTTGTTCTGTTGCGGTCGCGTATCGTATGCCATAGGTGTTGAAGGCTTTGTTGCTGTTGTCCGTCCACCCTCCACAAAGAAACTAGAGCTAGTCTGAGACTAGCCGATCTGTCCGGCCAATCAAACCTAGGTTTGTGTTTGGCTACTGTAGTGCGGACGAGGCACGATGGCCGGTCTTGTGGATATCAATCTCTGTAAACCCATATGGCTGAAGGTCAAAAACACGCTTTACCAATTAGACGTGGGTGGCCTCAAAGTCCTGCATCACCGACGTCATAGCTCTTGATGACGGCTACCCGTGGAGAGTTCTGATGCGATACTGCGTTGGGAGTCCATGATGAGGCAGGGACTTCTGGGGATTGGACACGAATGCGAGACTCGTGAAACGTTTGCGGAACAGGATTCCTGATCAAGGACGAGCAGTCTGATAGGGGATGGTAAATTAGTGCAGTCGAGAGGCCCCAACGCAAATCAGTACCTGCTTGTCTGTAGGAATCAAGGCCTGAGACAATTAGGCCAGGGGTCTTTTGAGTCTACTATGAAAAGGTAGTCATTCAGGAAGCTATATTCGTCGTTCGAGTTTCTCAAAGACTCTCATCGCTCTCCGCTTCTTGTCCAAACACATAGACCTTCCTCCACAGTACACTAGAAAAATCGCGTTAGCACATGGCTTCATATTCTACGAAGATAGACCTCAAAGCACACCAATCTTAGATAGTCCCAACTACATACTTCTTACACCATGCTGCTTATATGTCCTATGCCAAAGCTTCTTGATACAGCTTCATTTCCGGCTCAAGTAGCCCTACGGCTGCGATGTTGTGTGCTACGAGCTTCATACAAAGCTGCATCAATGATTCTCCACTTCCCTTCACCAGAGTCTCGATTGCCTCGGATTTGTTCGCAGACAAAATTAGAAAAGATTCATCCCATTTCTGGCTGCAGATATTAGGGCTTATGTGGTATCAACCAAAGACCCTCCATCGCCCCATGCTCTAGCAACACACGGAATGCAGTCATGTCTCCTAGATTCGCAGCGCAATTGAGAGGTGTGTCGCCAACCAAATCTATTGCATTGACGTCAGCTCCATTCTTGATAAGCCACCGGATCGCCTTTTCTTGACCACCAGCTACCGCGGAGTGAAGAGCGGTTTTTTCTGAAATGGTCCGGGGAAAATCGACCGATGGTACGTGTTGCATGAAGAGTTCTAGGACCTTGACGTGACCGCCCTGCGCTGCCAGGTGAAATGGCATCCCGCCGGATCGGTCGCCAGAGGGCACGGTTGCAAGTGCTTCCAATGAGGGATTGGCACCGTTCTCAAGCAAAACCTCAGCCACCGCACTATGACCTGACTTTGCGGCTAGGTGTAGGGCAGTTCGCCCACTTGAATCGGCCTTGTCTTCCGGGAAACCGGACTCAAGCAACGCTCGGGTTGCCGCAGCGTGACCGTTTGTAGCAGCGAGATGGAGTGCGGTCAATCCTCCCTGGCCTGTAGATTTTTGGGCTCCTCTTTGCATTAAGGTCCGTATTACGGAGTCATGGCCGTTCATGGCCGCTAAATCGACCACACTTCGACCTGTCTGCTTATCATACGCGTCGAGATCGGCTCCGGCAACTGCTAGTACTTCAACAACAGCCTCATGTCCGTTTTTTGCGGCCAAGGATAAAGCGATGTGGCCTTGTTGCTGGGCTGAGTACTGACCAAGGCTAAGTAGATACTGCAGCACATCTACGTGCCCTGCAGCTGCAGCAGTAGTGATAGCTCTTCCGTCGGAAATATCGTACCTTTCTTGCTCTATGAGATACTTAACTATTTCAGTTCTGTTGTGACGACAAGCAATCAACAACGTTTCGTTATGGTACCTCTCGTGGTAGATGTATTCGCCGATCTCGATTTCCGTAAAGTAATGGGATGTTAAGAACGTGAGGTTACCCACTTCGGCTGCGTAGTGGATCATGGATAGATATGGCAGATCTTTAGCGACCAAACTTTCCGCACTTGGGCTTGGACATCCTACACAACCATATGGACCAAAATGTTGATTAGAACCCCATGGCCGGAAATCGAAAGCCAGTATCTTGTGCTTGACTAAGCTCTTGAGGCGAGAACGGAATCCGGAATCTGATGATTGAGACCACCTGGTGTGCAGTTCCCAGTGTTCTATGGCGTAGCAGAGGAGTCGATACTTTTCTTTGAGATCTGTGGAGGGATTAATTTTCGACTTAGGCTTTGGTCTTAGGTACTTCCAATAGTCAGAATCTGAGGGTCGCACGGCTGGATCCCCCCGAAGTAGTCTGAAAGGTATATTGAACATAGATCTCCTAATACCAAGGACACTGGGGATCCACAAAGGTCCACCAGATTCTAGTATACCCTTTTGTTCGAGTCGAACGATGGGCGTGGTCGACGTGATCTGAGTTTCAAAATCGGAGAATGTGAGATACGCAACACACGCCTGTCCAGCAAGAAGATCTGCGTCCGCCACCGAGATCTCAAACAGGGGATCAACTTTGGTGGTCAGTCCGCCCGTAAGATATTGCCGGACCGTGTGATGTGCAAAATGCGCGGTCCCGTCGTCCTCATCTTTGATGATCAGGCCTCTGCAGGACTCGAACATGAGATCTTCATGTGGAAATTTTGCTTCGTCCCAGCTTTTGTCGCCTGGTTCAATGGCAACGGCTTCTTTGAGTTCTTCAACGTTGAGAGGACGTTTCGCGACTGTAGCCCACTTGAACACTTTTTGAGCCAGTTTAGCTTTCGAGGGGCTTTCACTAATCTTGATCAGGATCCTCCTGTAAGTTTCGCCGAGTCCTTCGGGCAGGTTTCTTAGTGTTTCTCGAATCATAGCGTCAGAGGACGATTCGCAAAGATCATGTAGTTGGAAGAAGACCCAGAGAAACCTTGTAAGTCAGCAATAGCCCCGAGAACCAGGAATAGCGACTTACATTCCATTTGCCCTTAGAAGTAGCTCGGAAATGATGTCTTGTCCTAGATTTAGATTGCGAATCCGCAATTCTCCGTTCTCGACTTTCGATCTGACCGATGATGTAATAAAGGCCCTGATGTCTTCAGCTGTAGCTGCAGTGGATAGTTGGACGCACGGAGAATCGTGGAGACGATGTGCAACAGGACCTTCTTCCACACAAGTTATGAATGTCTTGACATGAGACTGTCCATTGGCTGATAAATCCTTAAAAACTTTCAGCATTGCCTGCCAAACGGTCTTCTCGCATTCATCGAGTCCGTCAAAGACCATGTAAATCTGGGGGTGCAATGCGACTACTGAATAGAAGATGTCACCCAATGCGTTCTCGGCGGGTGATTTGGTTCCTCCAGCGTAGATTTGGAGAAGCTGCGACTCAATGTACTCTGGAATCTGATGATTAAGGAGCAGTTGCTTCAGAAGGCTTCCTAAGATACGATCAAGCTGAAGGGTTCTCTGATCTGCATAATCACAGTAATAATATATGACGTCCGAGGGTTGACATACTGGAGCGAGGACGCCGTTCATCAAATTGTCGACCAGGTTAGATCTATGCTTCAACGTTAGCAGATTTTCGGTGCCCTTAGGAGCTCAGTGTACGTACGCAAGGATGCTTTTGCCACAGCCGGCTGACAAGAAGCTATAAGTCTTGATCTTTGATAAAGTAGCTGATGGTACCTACGTATACCACGGCAGCAAAGAAATGCGGAGTTGCCTGGCGTTATCCATTCACAATATGTGGCCTGTCGAAAGAGCCATTCACCCGTTCCAGCATGACGTAAAATCTGGAGCTTTCTATGTTTAGCTTCATAGTCGACAGCGTGGAGCATGGCGATAATCCGGAGCCGATTGTCCTCTAATAGAACCTTAGCGTCTCAAGTTCAAGACTGAAAACACTGGCACCAACCTCGCCGTTGCTTGTCAAGCTGCTTCTGGTCGGCAAGCACCAGAGCTCTAGCATCAGCGGCTTCGATCATGTTCGCCAACCCCGCTTCCTTTTCGACATTCTTCTGATGAACACGAAAGGCACTAAGTTGCTGACCAAATTGCAGGTCAAACGGTTTCCATAACAGCTTGAATGTCACCTTCGAAGCTTTTTTTCCGACACCGTAGATCAGCATCTATAGACTGCAGGCGAAATACATATCGAACTCTTTTGGACGTCGGAGCCGCAGTCAACATTGTGTATGTGGGAGTGAAGAAGCCATGCCAAAGAAGCAGATTTCACAATCATTCTCGGCTATAGTTGACTTACTAGATGAACGCTGTCCGCGTCTGAATACCATTTTTGCATTGGTGCAGAAAGTGATGATGTCTAGGTAGGCTACCGAGAGCGCTTGAATCAGACGCTCATGGTTCGAGAACAATCTTTCATAAGTTCTGAAGCGTGGCAAGACGTCACCGATCCTTGCAAACATCTCAACAAGCTTGTCAAAGTATTTGCCAAATTCACGTGCGATCTAATAGCGAACTACATTAGCATTGTGAGACAGCATCAGATGCCTCGAAAGACTTACATGGAGTAGGACTTTGATGCTACCCCAGATCGGACCGAGAGCTAGAGCATAAGTATTCGAATAAACATCGATCGCCCCGCCATATTGTTCAATAGCGGCAACAAAAGGCTGAAGCTTCTCCATTACGCTGCGAGTAGTGCTTTTCGTACCGTGAAATTTCTCTGCGGCACAAGCATCATCCAAAAGAGACTGTGCTGAAGCTCTGAAATACCTCTGCTGTTCTTCTTCATTGAGGTCTTCGACATATCGATCTCGAGCTCTGTTCCAAGCATCTGATATTTGTACTTCCGAGGCCATCTTTGTGTCAGGCACGGAGAGCAATTGGAGGCAACAGAAGTGGAATGGATAGCCGATGTAGATATTGGGAATAAAGTTGTTGCGCGAATGTGACCTTCGTCATTACGCAACCAGGACGGTAGCCTCGTCACAGATCAGGCTGATATTTCGAATGCGTCGCTTTGTTGATCGGCATCAAACCTAGAGTCCACAGCGAGCCTCGGAGTAGACTTCTGAGAACAGATTCAACACGCGTGGTGAGATCGGACAGATGTGATGAAGGAAGGTGCAAGTGAAGAGCAGGCTTCTGCCACGACATTAGCGTCCTGCGGCTGCAGTCAGCAAGCTAATCCAACTACGAGTAGCCTGGTGTCGGAATAGCGGACTCTCCGGTTGCAGATTGCAGCATACAACACCTCAACAATCTTTCAACAATGCTTAGAAACCGGGTAGCGAATCTTGATTGCAGAAAAACTCTCGGTCAGCGTTCTTTCAGGAGTGACAGGAAAATTATCTTTGGCAAAACGGATTACAAAGCTTGGCATCTTCACTTGTACCGCGCCCTATACAGATGGGTATGGGTCGATCGACGACCATCGATTCTAACATTACCATCTGCATCCTGTGGGCTACAAGGTGGGATCTTCAGTGTCTCAGATTCTTTTGAGAAGATCGTAAATTGCTATCATGAAAAGATACTCGTGGGCAGGTATTAGCTACAGCGAAGACAGTTGAAGGACCAGGAAACCACGGGCTCATTGTGCATCGTCCGTAGCCATTGAGTCAACATCTATTTTTCGAACCGCTCATTTTTGTCGCTGAACAACTTTCGAATCGGCAGCACTGAATACTGTTACGGAATGAAAGCGGGGCAAGCATAGGCGGCTTCACAATAAGGAAATATACAACCTTTACATACACTCGTTAAGGTACTCGTCCAAGTGGTTTTCGATGTTGCCAAGATCATTCTGCTGGCATTTGGCGGGAAAGTTGTTGTTCCCACTCGTCGCTAACGTCCCTCGGAAGAAAGACAGTCGAGCTCGCAAGGGCTGCACCTTCCGCAGGCAAACTCGGAGAGCCCCCGGAATGATATTGGTAGATGGGCGGGTAGTTGCATTGTAGGAGACTCCTGATTAACGATTCGCGCGTTTACCTTTGCAACCTCAAAGTTTGCCGTGTTTTTGCACGCACAACTGAATTATGGAGCGAGACATTGACATGCCACCTCAAAACCTCAGTATTGCTTAGCCTATGTTTCGACGTGGTGCAGCGGTACAGTATAGAGCAGAAGAGCTCTTGACATTACAAGAACCAGCTCTACTACACTGATGCTAGCAACCTCACCTCCAGCGACTGAAAAATCTTGCATCTTGTCGTGATGCTATCCGAGTTTTCGGGACAGATAATTGTACACTAAGAGGAAAATAGGCTTGGCCTGCGTTGGTATCAAAGGCTGCGCAAGTCAGTCTGACTTGGCCCTTTGAAGACGGACTGCTTTGGATATCTGCGAATGTACCGATTGCGTGATAAGGAGAGGTGTCGTCTGGGTCGAGGTTTTGTCTTGCTTGAGCAATACATGAGTAATCAGAAAGTCTCCCCAACGTTTCAGATACGCATTCAAAAAGCGGATCTCGCAAGGCTCATGCCGTATTCGACTGTGTGCCAAAGACAACGCACTAGTCCGCAAGCAATACATATTCGCAAGTGCTTTTATACGACTTTACAAACGATAAAGACAAGGAGGGTTGCTTGATGGCTTGTAAAAGCGCCTTGTTGAAAGGCGTGCATTTGATCTAAAAACAGAAATCCAATGACGAAAATGCTAAAACTGAATTGCACGCTTTCTATACAGAGCCTGACATTGCCCGCCACCTGTGGGTTTTTGGCCTGAAATCGGCTTTGCCGCAACGCCGGAGAACGTTTTGGCTCTCAGAGCTTCGCGCGCCTTCAAGGTACCAATACATGCCACTGGCCATTCTTCTTCACAAAATCGCCTCAAGCAGCACCACGCCCGTAATATCAATCCCTCTTCCCTGCCCGGATCAACCAAGACAGGGATGTTCTCAACGTCACCCAACCATTGAGCCTGCAGTAGCTTTTGAACAAGAGCAACGTGTCCTAACCCATTTATGACGCGCAGGGGAACTCTTTCTGCACTGACATCAAGGCCTCGAGCGCCTTGTTGGATTCCGTCTTGCACTTGGCGTCGCAGTCGTCGTCGTCGAGTCGGTCCATGACCGCGTCGATGGCGACGCCCATGTGCTGGCAGCTTTCGGATTGGATGCTGCGGGGTTGAAGGGAGTTGTATTCGAGGGAGAGAGGGGTGGCGAGCATGGGGGTGGCGGTGGCCGCGAGAAGGCAGAGGATCGTTTGAAACTGCATGGTGGATGAGGTTGGGCTTTGAGAGACGCGATGGATTTGCTGAGTTTAGGGTTGGGTGGAGTGTCGGAAGGTAGAAGATGATGAGTACTATTTTAGATTACTCGTGATGATGATGATGTTGCTGTATGTAGCTAATGATTGTGTTGATTTTTGATGATCTGATTGGTCCCTAAAGAATGTTGGGTTGCCAAAGACGTTCAAGAAAAAACAAAGGACTGTGAGTTGGTGGTGTGTAAAGATTGTAAAGATTGTTGATGTTTCAAACGTCGACAATGGGGACGCCGACTCTTATGTAGACTGACCCGCCAAGAGACATTCTTGAGTTTCCATGCCTCCGCCGAGGTCAGACATAGTTGTCGAAAGCTACGTGTAATTCTCGGCCTCCATGTACAAGCCCCGGGATGGTGTGTTGCAAGTCCAGATCGCTCTGACGGCGCCGTAGAAGGAATCGTGGGTCCAGCTTACATTTGTGGAAGCCTCGCAATCGGTCGAAAGCTTCCTCCGCATTCTCGCCGCATCAATGACTCCGGAGCCTAAAGGTAAAACCCGTGCATAATGTAGGCTAGGCCAGATTGGTAAAAGTGCCATGGCTAGGACCTGCGGAAACTCGCAGCCATAAACTATATGCGCGATGATATGGCGATAGCGCAGAAGGGCAGCGTAACGCCATACGCCAAGCAAAAGCCACGGATAGCCACTGCAAGGTTAAAGACGCCGGAATCTTGCAACCTCTGCTCATGCGCGGTACTTGAGAAGAAAAGGTTCAAGAACGCACAAGGCTTACCTGCTGTATCGCGAAGTATAGAGATTCCTAATAGCCACCGAGAAACCATCTGATTCACAACTCAGAAGCTGATTCGGTCCCGCAGACGTTCATTGAAACCCTTGTATTGTAGACTGTACTCGTAACCTAGATATTTCCGAGGAAATTTGTTCTTGGCCTGAACATGGCAGCTCGATGCTGGCTTGTGTATGAGAACAGTCGTGTGTTTTGATATTCTGGTAACATCTTTTGCTGTCCTTCGGGATAGGCACGACCAACTGACGGCAGCGAAGACTTAAGCGGTAGCCGAATTCGCTATATCCCCATCCAGACGTAGGCTATTGTATCAAGGTTCAAGCTTGAAAACCAAGATGCGCCGGAGCAAATCTGTCACGAACGTGCGCCTAGACGAAGATGATGAACTCTATCCAGAAGGGCAGAACTTCCACAAGTCTTGCACCCTTCTTTCATCGTATGTGGCTTAAAGGAAGAATTGGTTCTCCTTCGGGAACGATACGAGGTTTGGCTATGAGTTTGAGTACGCTTACTAGTTCGACCAAGCTTACCTATTAGAGAGACTTGATCTGTCTGCGAGCAACTTCTGGTTCTCCGATATGGGCTACGGAATTGCCACTCTGCCCGCTTACGAACTCTCTCTTTCGTCTTGGACCTATGAGTCCTTGAAGCGCAACCGCTTTTAAGCATGGTAGTCGTTGTCTGTGAGGAGGATTGACTCTGTCACAAGCAAGTGAGTAGGAGTGGTGCGAGATTGTTGCGCTGCGTTGGCCATTGCTGAAGGTGCGGTGTCGAAATAAGATTGGCTGCTATGGTCGAAGGAATAGCTAAGAATGGGATGGAAGTATAGAGGGGGGTTTTTGAATTACGTCACGCCATAAAGCTTGAGCAGATATGGAAAAACAAAGGTTGCCACTATCTCAGATCACTTGACCCAAAATCTCATGCTGCTCCCACCCTTGGCCTCGTGTCTGAATCTTCATGCTTTCCAGCAATCTCTTCTTCAAACACTTGTCTCTTACATCCATGCCGCCGAACGCTCCATGTGTCGTATCGAATTTGAAATGCTCAATGGCCCGCCAGATCTTCAGTATCTCGGATGGTGGTAGAGGGATCATGTTCGGGATCGACCATTGGAAAGAGTAGCTGGTCTGACCTGGCGGACGCGGATGGGGCGTATATGCAGACTCCGTATGTAATTAACGGGAGGCACCTTACAAGACTAACAAGGCAAGGCAGAAGCTCAGAGGAGGGTGGTGCTTACAGGGACCGTTACAATAGTATCAGCGATGAACAGCTTCCTCCCCCAATGCAGGACTAAGCTGCCTGGGAAATGTCCACCAGTCTTGATGGCGGTTACCCCAGGCAGCACTTTTTCGCCGGCAGGGGCAGGACCATCGATCAGTCGCAGCATTTGTGGCGTCGGAGGCTTCTGACAGAGCCATTCCTGGTCATCCTTCGATACGTAGACGGGACAGTTGAAAGCTTGTGCCCAATCTACGTATGTGGTGTAATAATGTGGATGAGAGATCACGATGGCTTTTATGCCGCCTTTGGCGTTGATCTAATAATGCTTAGCCCTTGCTGCTCGCAACGGAATGGAGGGGAAGAGCAGACGAATTCGATGGTCTCATCATCGAGAAGGGTGATCATATCCCAGAGTACATTCCCGGCTTCTGTCTCGAGCAAAAAGCATCGCTGGCCAATTGCGAACTTTCAAACGCAGTCAACTACCTGCTTGCCCGTGTCATACCATAAATCGTGACACACCTTCGGCTCTGTCCAAATGGACCATACCCGAGCATCGACGGAATCCTGTTGCCATTTGTTCTCGTGGTTTTCCTTGAGCGCACTCAGTGTGGTCCAAGATTGCCCGGACTGTGGGACAAATTGGCGCGGATCCTGCGCTCAATGTAAGTCGTCGGCAGGAAGAAGCATGGTGTCCTTTCTTCTTCTCTTCCTCAGTATGCTCACATCGCAGATTTTGCAGTGTTCCGGCGGTGATAAGGCTTCAGCGTCAAACTGGGAGCCACAAGCGGTGCAGATTGGGAGCACGCGTGTGGGCATTTTGCTTATGTTATGATACACAAGTGCGCCAGTCAATAAGGTGATGATCTCAAGACTAAAGTAGGTAACTTGGACCCGCCTACGCCGATGCGCCAAGACTCATGCGCCAAAGGCTCGGGTAACGGCCCACCTAAAGGATTGCCTACTTTTAGATATGATGGGGTCGTCTTCCGAAAATAGGGCTAGGGCTATCACTAGCGCTGTTCAGTGCTTGGCGTGCCGACCTTTGTTGGTCCTGCCCGAGGAAAGCACCCCCCGGGAATGAAACCTGAGTAGAAGATACCCTCTCAACTCCAAATACTTGATGATACCCTTATTAACATGCGAAGCCTAGCCAAGCCAGCCGTCTGACCCCGCAGCGCCAACGGCGGCTTTGTAAGCATCACAAAGCGCTCTGCATATACCGTCGACCACTAAACCGCACACATCGACCAGATAAGGCATGCAAAGCGTACATTAATCCGACCAGCCCAATATCAAGCTATGCGGTCCACCAAGCCCGGTCTCCTTGACTCATACAGAAGGGGATATGGGTCTCAGAGAGCCTTCCAATTTACTTGCGGAGAACTTTAACAAGCTGCTCCGGGTCAAAGTACAGAACCATGCCCCTTCCTTCGGACGAGCAGATCCTCAAGACGAGCCAAGGTCTCGTGGCCCAATTGCAAAGCATCTTTGGAAAGCATCCCGGCTTTCGTCCAGGTTGTCCTTCATTCATGTCTCCCCACCTAAGTCCAGACAAACAAACACAACACACAGCCCACGCTCGTGGCTTGATGCTCAATGGCACCTTCACACCCATCCCCATAGCCAAAGAACTCTCCACCGCAGCCCACTTCAACAGCCCTTCCACTCCCGTCACTCTCCGCTTCTCCAATTCCACCGGACTCCCCCCAGATTCCTGACGCGAGTCCCAACGCCAACCCACGAGGCCTCGGTATCCGTTTCAACCTCGGCGAGCACATCCACACAGACATAAATGCTCATTCTACCCCCTTCTTCCCCACCCGCACCGGCGCTGAGTTCCTAGAGTTCCTTAAAGCACTAGCCGCTTCACCGCCGGAAACACTGTCTCCATCGCCCATTGAAAAGTTCCTCGGCGCGAATCCCGCCGCTCTGGGATTCGTGCAGGCGCCGAAGCCAGCGCCGTCGAGTTTCGCGAGAGAGATTTTCTATGCGGTCAATGCGCTGAAAGTTGTCGGCGCGGAAGGTAAAAGTACTTACATCCGCTATCGCATCGTTCCAGCTGTTGGTGAACATTTTCTTGATGAAGCAGCGATCAAAGACGAGGGCCCGGACTTTCTCTACGAAGAGCTCCAGAAGTGTGTAGCAGAGGAGAGTGTCACTTTTCGCGTCATGGCTCAGCTTGCGGAGGAAGGAGATGTGGTGGATGATGCGACGGTGCACTGGCCTGAGAGTCGGCAGTTGGCCGAGCTGGGCACGGTGAAGGTTGGGACTGTGCTGCCGAACAACGCGAAGGAGCAGGAGCGTATCATCTATGACCCGATTCCCAGGGTTGAGGGTATTGAAACGTCCGATGATCCGTTGTTGGAGATGAGGGCGGCAGTCTATCTCATTAGTGGGAGAGAGAGGCGTGCTGCGGATTGATGTCTTGGCGTGACAACGAGAACTTGTCGTGATGACTTTGAATTGCTGATGAATCTCTCATTGGCTATCTGAGGTTGGGCGATCGGCGTGGATCAACTCAGTGATATCTGACACAGACTGTGTATGAAACGTGCCTTGCGCCACCATTGCCAAAAGACCGTTCAAACAAAGTTGAAGCAATGACGCAAGAGATCCTTCATTTTTGGAACGAGATGACCAGGGAATTTGCACCGTCGTGCGGCTCACACCCATCTTGCAGCAGCAGTTATCGAACCACGACACCACTCCCATCCCTATGGAAGCCTTCCACTTCCTTCCACCGTTCAAATACCTCCCGATCCAACGCCACCAAAGAAGCATCGTTCCACCCCTTTTCCACAATCCTAAAATCCTCTTCTTCTCCTGCCCAGCCTCCACCATCTTCATAAGCGCCGGTCCCGAGAACGGCAAAGATCCGCGTGCTTTTCATCAATACTCCATTATGCTTCCCCGTCCCATCCCTCACATACTATGCTCGAAATAATACAGCCCCGGGGTCACACAGTCCCACTCCTTCTTGTTGATAACACCAGTATAGCGAGAATAATGGCCCGCTCATTCATCTCATACCCTCCAAGACACGAACAACACGCCGCGTAGTCTCACTTCGTTACCCGTCGGGCTCAGCAAGATCATCCTTGATCCAATAGACTTGCAAGACAATAACATCCTACGGCTCACCTACCCCTCGCTTTACCGTTTTGAGTAAGTCTTCACCCGCAATACGACCGACTTCTCTTCCGGAAGGTTTCGTACATCGTTTGCCATCTGCGAACATGAAAATCTCAGCTTAGCAGTCTCGGACCTGTCTCACGAAGGCGCGTACTACGACGCAACGCTCCTCCGAAATGTCCTCGACAGAGAATAACCGAACAAGGAAAACAACGAAGAAGAGACCGACTCCATGGCAGAGCTGACCTTGTTAAACATGCAGTGGCAAGTCGGATTTCATGCTGCCCATGAAGGTACTGCGTTAGTAGTCCCGGATCTCTCTCACGAAGCCGCCGCGTACTACGACGCAACGCTCCTCCGAAATGTCCTCGACAGAGAATAACCGAACAAGGAAAACAACGAAGATGAGACCGACTCCATGGCAGAGCTGACCTTGTTAAACATGCAGCGGCCAGTCGGACTTCATGCTGCCCATGAAGGTACTGCGGACAGCGAGCAATATGCAGACAATCACCCTCGAGGCCTGTCTGTACCAATTTCCGGAAACCCGTATGGTGGTATTAAACTCTCGAGGTGCGTGGGCCGAAGTCGGAAGCCGTCGTTGCAGGTTTTCCTAGCCACTATGACGGCTCTCTCGCGGAGCCAATTGCACAGAAAGGAACTTCGTATGTATGGTGGCGAAGCGTCCCCTCGGTGTTGAGACTGTCGAGGCTTGCCGTACCAAATAGACAAACAGAACTATATTGATACAGCTTATATGCCAGCGGCTTGCCCGACCATGCATGAGTTCGATATCATGCTTTAGGAAATAGGACAGCATAAATAGTATTCTGGTGGGACGGATTCCTGGATACCTGGGCACATCCTGATACAGCAGAAGGCGCACAAAAGTTGAAGTCTCAGCCCAATTCTGACTTCGTTTTCATCAATCCCATTCTGCGGGCCACCAAATCCTTGCGCCCAGTCCTCGCACTCCGAAAATTTATCCCTCAAGTCAATCAATATTCTCCGCACGAGAAGAAGATGTCGCCATTTTTGCAGTAAACCTTGTTGTACTCCCCCGTCATCGATCCTCTTTCCCCTACATCGACGTTGACGACCCATAACGCAGAACCCGTTTCGCCTCCAAAGTAAATTGCTTCGAATCCCACAAAGTCGGGCCCCATGGCCGCCACGGGGTCTTGGACGAAATTCTGCTGCAGAGGCCCAGCTCGGGCAGGCTCGTGTTAATGTATCGTGAATCTTCCACTCCGGGCCGCGTTCATGATGGTGTTTTACATACTTCGGAAGAGGTTGGAAGATGTTGTCTTCGCTGCGAGAATGGACATACCACGTCGTGGTAGGTCCTGTATTGCTCTATCCCAGGTATCTGTCACCGTCGTGACGTTTTTCAACACAATATATCCTTGGATATCTAAAAACTGGAAGATCTCCTGCATCTCCTGTTGTTGCTCTGGTCCATCAGCGCAGCATTTACCTTGCCCGGTTTGCACACGCACACTTTCAATTTGCCCTTTTATTCACCACACGGAAATCATAATCCACGACACCGCGATGCGCGCCATGATCGTGAGCTTCTGGCGCCTCGAGTATTATTCCTGCTATACTTCTGATGAAGCCCGCAAAGACAACGTCATTACGGTAACTGATGAGAGGGTGTCCTCATGCGGAAGAACAAACCATTATCTCCAAACCCTGTTCTGATTTTTCCTCCGAAATGCTCAACTGTGCCAGGTCTAGATTCTTTCAGCTGATGGTGTTCTTCTCCATAATCCAACAAGCCTCCACTATCGGATGTATGCAAGATGTCTTCCCAATCTGAAACGGCAGTGTTTTGTTCTTCTCCCGCCCCACAAGCTTCTCAAGTCCTCCTGCTTTCCTCCATGACATCGAGACGTCGCTTCGGCAGACAACGCAGTACTGACCATACACCACAGTACGTCTCGCCTCTTGCATCTGACGCTTAGTTCTGCAAGCATCATTGGTGCTGGCAGGCTGCCGTAGATCAGTCAATCAGGAGTCTTCTCCTCGCAAGTTTCCAGCGTCGTGTATGGGCAGCCTATCCTGGCGGAAACCGTTGTGATGGTGTAGATGGCAGAAGGGACAAGGAGAAATCGATTGATTGCTGGTTGTATATCGAGAGATGGGGCTAAAGGCACGGCATAATAAATGCAATGCGCGCGACTCTATCTTTAATTTTCTTTTTACTCGCGAACTTGTCCGGGTGAGGGGGGCTCTTTTGGATGGTTCTTGCAAGAGTGCAAACATTTGGATAACATTGCCACGTCGGCTCAAGAAGATTGCATTCGTCGACGATTTAGGTGCTCGATCTTCATCATTTCGCGAATGCATTGGCAGAAGAATTATTAATGATTATGCCAAGCTGACGCTTTAGAATTGTCATCATTCTATCACACTATAAGAACCAGAACTTTCACAGATAAGGGTATCTATCTCACAACCAGCCCACCCACCCCCGTCATCGTCCCAACACCCTCCTCCGACCCATCAGCCAAAACGCGTACAACCCCGCCCCGCCCGCCACAACCAGCACACTACTCAGCGCAACCCACCGGAACTCCTCACGCGAGCTCCAAACCACCGTGGCCGCATAATGCGCCAGACCGAACGTCGACGCCAGACTCGCTTCCGTGCCCGCGAACGTGGACCGCGACGCCGGCCCCACGCAGCTCTGCGCCAGTTGCTGCGCGCACAGACTGCCCGTGAAGCGACCGAGGCGGGAGGCGGAGACGGAGATGATGATGAGGAGGGCGGTGGCGGTGTGGGTTTGCCAGGCGGTGGGTGAGTTGGGGGTGGTGGGCCAGGCGGTGGAGATGCGCCAAATGGCGGGGACGGAGGGGATGAGGGTGAGGAGGGTGAGGGTGATAGATAGGAGACCGAGGCGCGAGACGCCGGCGGTTTGGCTTTGTGAGGTGGGGTTCGAGTCGTGGGTTTGGATGGCTTCGTGCACGGAGAAAGTGGAGGGTAGAGGGGTCGTGGGCGTGCTCGTGGTCTCGCCGTCCGAGAGGGGTTGGTATGCGGTGCGCTCGCTGTTGCCGAGAAGGCGCACGGCCCAGGGGAAAAGGAAGGTACTGCTCAGTTCGAATGCGGCGCTCAGGACTTCGGCCCATGTGATGAGCGTCATGGAGAAGCCTGAGTTGACGAGGAAGACGATGAGGGTGGATGAGAAGGTCAGGACCGAGAAGTGCAGACTCGACATGGCCAGCGACGGCATCCAGACTTCCGTCCCGAAGTACTGCTGCAGACTGCATCCGTATTGGACAACCCAGCCTGATGTAGCCTTGAGGGCATCGAGGAGGTTGTGCAAGGTAAAGCCAGCGCCATCGTTGCGTCCGCTAATTGCGCACTCTTTGACTCCAGACCCATCGACCACTTTTTCTTGTCGCAGCTGCTCGTTGCCCTGCCAGACCAGTCTTGCCGTCCAGTATTCAAATGGCCAAGTCAGGAAGTTGAGGCCGATTAGCAGAACAGCTCCTAGCCGAGGCGAGTTCGTGGCAGACATGAAGGCCGAGATCGCTATTGGAGAGCCAAGCTTGCATATGAGATCTATGCGGCTCATAACCGCGTTGAGACGCGAAAGATCGTAAGGCGCTTGCTGCTTGTATGTAGTGCCAGCAGCGACCATGGATGGGACCCAGTCACGCTCGATGGAGATGAGGTTAGCTACTCGAGACAATCTTTCCAGAATTCCCAGCGCCAGGATCAGGAGAAAGATGGCGTCTTTCCACTGGTGCAGCTTCAATGGTCGAGCGTCAGTGGTACCAATGGCGGCATCGGTTGACGTGGGAATTTCTTCTTGAACGTCCTTGGTGATGACGATGGCCCAGCAGACACAGGCCGCGATCACAACAACACGATTGACAGAGACGGTGGTCAAGAGGGTCCGAAGCCGCGACGGCGCATGATCAACCCAGCGACCCAAGGACGAGGCGAAGACTATGATGGCAAGATTGGTTGTGATACCGCTAATCGGCACTGTCAGAAGAATGCACAAAGCGGGGAGTTCGTCAATGCTTACATCCATGAAGCCGCACTCAGACCTTGAGGAAATGCAGCAGCGGTGAAAAGGACAGTAGCGAATTCATATGACCTGGCATTCCATGTCGATAGGAAATGACAAAGGAACAGATTGTATGTGGTCCAGTCCTGGCTCGACCCGAGTTGGAACATTAGCGCTTCGACGCGTAGACGGCGCTAGACGCGTTCCTCGACGGGTTCCCCTTTGAGCGTGTTGGAACTTAGAAGGCATCAAAGATGTCGAGGTTGACATATGTGGTGTAACTCGTTTGTGGCATTACGCATACATCATGGCGGAGGCAGTTCGCATAAGTATTTCAGTCCTCCCAGTGTGGGTATTCTTAGATCAGGGCTGAGAGCTGAAACCCAAGGGATTTCCTCAGCCCCCAAACATTGTTAATTTGTTAGTGCTTACCCAAACCCCAGCCGCACCAAGCGAGAAAGCCTATTTGCTAAGCGAGAAGAATAAGAAAGGTCCCAAAACTGTGATCAGAATCTGGAAAGATCTTCCAAACAACCCAGGTAAAGTGAGTACATGTTCAATATAGTTAAGATTCATTGTGACCCAAAGGTAAGGTCGGAATCCATCAAATGACCCTCGATAGATGAAAAAGGCCCCCTCTAGCACATCTTAGTTGCTGCGCGCTCAAGACCTTTACTTCCCAGTATCCAACCACTTTCTCCACCAATCCTTATGTGAGCTCAAAGCCTTAGTAGACTGCCACTTCAACTCCACAAGACGCAGGTCACCATTGGTATTTCCAGCCAGCTGGACCTTCATCTCTTCCGCCGTCATCTCCATCTGTTTTCTGTACATTGAGTGTCCGCGTCCTCCATCACCGCTCGTAAGGCCATGGAATAGAACCGCAAGACTGCTCGACTTCCACACGATAGTCTGATGTCTGCTGCTAGAGATGATAGCGGCAAGAAGCACCATACATGAAGCGAGTACAAGTCCGACGGGCAATATCAGCCAAGGCCAGGTCACCAGAACGTATGTCCGAGTGGTATAGACTTTGCCGCGGTTTTCAGAGGCAGGGTCTGGGAGAATATTTCGAAGAGCGTCGGTCATGCGATTGGCTAGGTTACTCATGAGGATGTCTAGGTCGTCGGCGTGCCATAGTGCTTGCGCAATATCCGAGGAGTAGATGGTGAGGTCGAGGAGCTCCTGTTCGGTGTACCCCATGCCGGGCAGGTTGATACCTTTCACAGTGGCGGTGAATGCGTCTTCGAGAAATCTCACGAGTGGTAAATTGCCCATGGGACTGACGTAGTAGCCATTGGCCGAGCCTTTTCCTCCTGCAGTCGAGGTAAAGTTGGATCGGAGAGAAACATTAGACGTATCCAAAGCGGAGCTATCCGTCCAGCTCGAAACAACAGTCTGGTTGAGAACACCGTTTTGAATGGAAGTGTCCAAAGTCTGAACGCACCAATACAGCGCACACTCTGTTGCAGGAGGCATGACATTGCCACCTATAGCGCTTATCGGATTGTGGCTGCCGTTGAAAACGATGCGACCAAATGCTAGTATTGGATCAGCGACGCCTTGGAACACCGTTTTTGCGGGCGCGGGAATTAAATAGTCTGGGTCATCAAGACTCCTAACTACGCTAGGATCGTTGCTGTAAAGAGTTTCATACCGGGGCAATGCTACGACGCTCATGTTAGTAGTCATCCTGAACAGGGAAGATTCTGCAACTGCAGATCCGTAATCATCAGGTATTTGTTTGTCCTGAGCCGTAATATTCACCTCGCCAGGAAGATAGTAGGTGCAGTTGATTTCGCTAGTGGTGTCGGTGGTGGGTGTGAGGTTACATTCCTTGACGACCTCCGCTGTAACATCGCTACAAGTACTGCAAAAACCAAGGGTATCGGATCGGTCAAACGTGCAGTTCCCAGTCGGGCAATTGATGTTGAGAGTCGAGTTTGCAGTCCCCAAACCGAGAAGGCTGTTGTAAATCGCCGCTTTTAGGGCTAGCGGCAAAGCGGATGCTTTTTTCGATCAGTCGCCCTGATCCATCGATAATTAATTGGAAGGGAACGTACTTGAATCCCTATTCCCAGACTCGTTAGACACATCTCCCGATAAGTTCCAAGATGAAACCTGCGGAAAAATCGGGTGCCTGTAGCCGTTTGTAACATTGGAGACTGAAGGGTAGCTTAGGATTTGCTGAGCGAAGGGGTCTACAGCCAAGGAGGCAAGGACGATGAAGGCTCCTGCTGACGCCAATACCGTCCTCCCATCCCAAAAACGATAGAGGAGCTGGAAAGCTCCCCAAGGCCCTCGGCTCGCTTCGTCGATGGTGTTAAAATCTATTAGGTTCTGACGTTCCTTTCGAAATAGAAGCCACTTCGCTTGACCGATGGATTCAGTTGCTGCTAGCAGCATAGACGTCTATTCAAGATTGTTGTGAGTATGTTTCATTTTTCGTTTTTCTCTAAGACTTTACATGGCGTCTGTTCTAGGACTGACCTTGGCTATTGTTGACAACACAGACAGCATAGCATTCAAAGTAATGCCGTAACGTAAGACTGGCACTGGCTGATGGTTATAAACGGCAAGCATAGCAACAATCCCGACCGTGGATCCTAGACTCAGGAGGGCACCAGCAATTTCCCAGAACCACCAATCATGGTACCACGATCTTCTGCCGTGTTGCATCCCATGGGTTTCGACGAGGTCTTTCGTCTCTGAATCTGCGGTTGTATTATCATGTTGACAAGAATCCTTCTGCTGGAGCAGTGGCTCTGTGGACCCCGTTGTGTTGCCTCGATCGGTCGCTGCTCTCGGATCGACCCTCGGCTGTTCAGGCTCGCTTGTAGAGACAGTGTTCGCGCAAGTATGTAATAAGCCTTCAGAGTCCGCAGTCCGTCTTTCAATGGGAGATACGCTGGATATACTAGACACGCTAGATACTCGTGAAGCCATCGGAACAGAGAAAGGAGATTTCTTACCCGGGAGACAGACAAGGGACAGACGGTTGTTGAAACGGCAAGAGACTGGAATAATCAGTATTTGTAGGAACAGGGGCCAAAAGCTAGAAGACAGAAGATGTTCGAGTCATGAGAGGGAGCTGAAACACGCGGGAGGATCTTCGCTGCAGGAATCATGCGTGGCTGATATGCATGATCCCACCTTCCACATGAGACTCCGCCTCCTGATGGATCGATCAAACCAGTAAAATTTGTCCACATCATCCAAGCACCGAATAATGTAATCTCGCCAACTTTGGGATACTGGCTCAGCCGCAATTTCCGCAGGTGAGCTGGCACTTCACGATATCAGACAAAAATAGCTGGGGGCGCCCAAGAGCTTGCACACGAGCACAGCAAATCCGAGCGCACCTAGCCACCCCTAGCTTCCGGGGCCGGCCACCCCCGAGTTGCCGCTACCTTAGGCACAGCATTCTCGGAAGCTACCTAAGCGAACCGCGATTGGCGGGGTGAACGCCTAGAGAGAAAGCCTTATTTAATGCTCACAGTGCTGCGTTATGCTTTAGGGGGGAAAAAACAACAGGTTTCCGCCCTACTGTTAATCATTAGTGCTCTTCTCGTAGGGAGTGCTTCGGATCTGGGCCAGCACGCCTCAAGAGTTGGGTAGCAGGCACGCTCCAGAAAAGTACATCGCCACTGCTTGTTAGACCATGTTGTTTAACGATGGCTCTTGTTGAGAGTGCAGACTGCAGGATGACAGAGAAGGTGTTACTGAACCGCTAATTCGCTGTAAGAGAAAGAGAGCTGTGAAGACCAAAAGATCAACGGACGCTATGTTTGGTGACCAGACAAAATTTCACGTGGGAACCGCAAGTTCAGGCAGCCGACAAAAGAGGGCCGGAGACTGCGAAGGCAGAGAAAGCCTAATGAATGTCGCGAGCCCTTCCATCTTTGGAGCGGTAGATGACGCCTTGCGCCTTTGTGAGCACGAGGCACACAGAAGCCCTCTGGCAGACCCTATCAATTCATCCCAATCAACCCGGAGTCTTGTAGATCCTGGCATCCCGCCTATCCTATTGGAGCTCTCGCTCTTTGGTACCAGTCATGCTGTGCTGTAGCAGCGGATCTCAATGGTCTCCTCGCAGCAACTTCCACTACGCATTGTGCGCCTCCACTTAATCCATCACTGTAGCTTATTCCAACTCCCCACCCTTGTTTCTGCATGGGCACAGGACTAAACGCCGGCAAGGCCTGCCTTCTTGGGGTATGAGTCCGTTACTTGAGTTGTGTTCGGTTCCATAGGCAGTGCTTCCATTGATCGAGAGCTCATCTGGTTGTAATGCTCTTGTAACCCGTCCGTTATTGGATGAGCACAGCTGTGAAATTGCTGAGGCGTATACCGTTGGAGTTCTTTCTCTTGGTGGAAGTTAGCCTTTACCGCAAGGACCCTATGCTAGGAGGTGGGAAGGTGGTCCCAGCTTAATCGGGGTGGATGTATGAGGGGTGAGGAAGGAAAGTGGCGCGGATGACATCTTCAATATGTCAATGTCAGCTGCGTTACCCAGGATTTGCCTGTAGAAAGAGGATACTCGGATGTCTGCTCCATTGCCGATTTTTAAAGCGGGTCGATATGGTGGAAACCTTGATGAAGCAGGTCAGGTATGGATGTTGGCAGGTTGAGGAGGCGTCGACACGACATGGAGAAGTGGCGAAGGCGCGCCGTAATCAGGCTTTTGAGGTGATCAACTGAGCAGAAATGACATGTTCGTAGGGAAACATTGAGCGAGCAAATGGATTTTCTGACGAAGATCAATATAGCGAGGACTTGTCGCAGATTCAAGAAATGCTCGGAGATAGCCGAGTACTAAGGCAATTCTTTCTGTCTTTCTTCTTCTTTCCTTCCTTTTTGTTATTCATTGTACCACACAAACACACACACACACAGAAACACAGAGCTCCGGGATCGCTAAACATATCAACCACACAGCATTGTCGGCGCAATAATATTAGTAGTGTGTAATGATTTAATGGTTGCATCTCAACAGCATACATACCTTACTACTGCAACTTTGACAGCTTCTTAAAATCAAAGTTAATTGGGTGCAACAAGAAACGGCTTAGCTAGCGTATCCAATCACGTTCTATCACATTTATCTTGCCAACCGAAAAACCACACCTCCTGCTACAAGTGAGGGATGTACAAAGCAAATACGGAGATTATTATATCCTCTCGCTGGCCATGATGCTTCCAGCTGTCCCTTGAGCCCTGTTCCGGGGTGCCATTCATCGGGAGAAAAGGTATCTCCGTGTCAAATTTTAAGGGCCTGGTGACGGGGGGAACAGGGCTCACAGGAAAGGTGGTGGGACAAGAACCAGTCAAGAGTGCACGTCTCCGTATCCAACGACCAACGAAACATGCAGGGCGAGAACGCCGAACCATGGGTGGAAGTTCATGCGCGGAAGGCGGTCGATCACATATGAGACATATTAGCCAAGAGTTCGAGACGAGTGACCAACTTTCGACGAAAAACCAGGCATTACTCGATGCGAGTAAGCCTTGTCAGTATGCGCATGCATGAATCCTTCCAAAACAATAATAAATATGAGTGGCTATTTCCAGTACTCGCTACTTTACTTCTTAGTGCTTACCTTACCCCAATTGACAGATGCACAGCATCTGAAAAATGGTGCAACTCCAACTCCAACCCATCCCATATCCAGTTGCTATACTCTCCATGCCTTATCTCATTTGAAACTGCATCGGAAAGGACGTTTTTAAAGATAATGCACCTCGGGGCCACGCTGAGTGGCTACCAGGCTTCTACTTAATGCATGTACGACGAATATCAGGTCAACGCAATCTCCGTCCTCGTGGCCTCGCATGGCGCGAATATCTCCGTGCTTGGTACCAACATTGGAACAAAATCAACTTTCCTACGAGTGATCCAGGTTCACTCCCACGGAAACGGTCCTCCTCCTCCTCCTCCCGCCTCTAAATACCACTGTACCACAAACCCCCGCCTAGGTACTCATCTCCGAGCTTCAACCTCGAAGAGCCGTGCCTCTATGCCTTACTTCTCTCAGCGAAGCATCTACATCTCTCTCTCGGCCGTTGTACTGGTCTTCTTCACTGCCCTAGCACTTACTCCGCGCCCTAGCCTGAACACTCTCTCCATCCCGTCGCCTTTCAGCCGAACTCACAACCAATCACCCCACCAAGCCCTCCGTCATGGCCCCCAACGGCCCCAGCAACAAGGACCTCTCTCCCACCATGAAGAGCAGCAACAACCGACATGGCTCTTGGCAACCATGTCTGCTTACTTTTCACAACAGCGGCGGAATGTCATCCGCGCCACTTGGCAAACTCTCTATCCCAACCCTGCCTTCGAGACTTGCTTCTTCATAGCCAAGCCGCCGCCGCTATGGCAATCGCTCATCAAGCAGGAGAACGACACCTACGGCGATTTGATATTGTTGGACCACCTGGAGGAGAGCACCAAGGTTGCTTTGTTCATCAAGACAGTGGAGTTTTTGAAGCACTTGCTTGGGTCTGGAAAGCCATCATGGAAGTTCGTCTCCAAGATCGACGATGACAGCTTCGTTGACGCCGAGCGTTTCTACCACGAGTTCCTGCGACCGCGCATCGATCGGCACGCCGCCGCTGCTGATCAGAACGGAACCCTCATCGCCCGCCGCCTCCGCCTCGAGCACAGTGACCGCAACTTCAGCACCCCCGGCGGGCAATTCTACACCCTGTCGTGGGACTTGGTCCGGATCCTCGTCGAAACGCAGGCCCGGAAGCTCATCACCAACGTCCCCGAGGATGTCCTCGTTGGCCGCCTGCTGTATGATGCGGACGCCAAGTTCGAATTTGTGGATCTCGATGATACCCGCGCGTTTGATGTGACGGATGGTCTGACGAGATTGAGTCAGGAGCGGGAAGATTTGGGACCCATGGACGCCGCGGCTATTAATCCGCATAAGATGAAGGATGATGAGACCTACCTGCGTGTGGCGGAATTGTTTGGGAAGGACGGATTTGTGGGACATCCTTCTGGCGCCGTCGAATGATGGTAGGTAGGATGTTGGATGTTCTGGCTGTACCTAGACTAGCGGCCTAGTTATACGCCCGAAGATTTGGATCAAGATGATGAACCATACAATGACCTTTATGCGACGTTTGGACGAACGTCTGCCCCTTCACTGCCACTCCCGCCACAATGCTTTCGGGCGTACCTAGCTCTATGGGCCCCTCATTCACCATCACCACCCCCACCGTTTGAACGGTCCTCTTCTCAAACTAGTCTCCTTGGCCAAGGGTCGCCGAAAAAGATTAGTTACAATCCATCGTTCCACGCTAGCGCTTCTTCACCGCCACTTCCGTGACACACCCGAGATTGATCTTCCTGGGGAAGGCGAGGCTGCTGGCGTACGCGAGTTGCTTGGATGTGTGAGTGGTGGTGAGACGTGCCTGGGAACACGCTGTGTCTTTTCATATCGCGGTGTGGGTGGCAAAGGCATGTGCTGTGTACTAGTACGTAGGCAGGTATGGTCAGGCGGGATTCTGCTAACTTGGGATACGGAGGTGTTTGTCTGCGCTTGTTGGGTTTTGTGTGCGTAGTTGAGGTTTGAGGCTTGGGAGAAAGCTAATGAGGACGAACACAGTTGCTGGTCCATGCAGCGCGGGTCTTTCCTGCGCTGCTTGGTTTGTGTCTATGCAATTTGGTTTTTGGCGCTCACGTTCCCTATCGTCCACATTTTCTTTTTTCAATATGGCACCTGAGATGCGAGATTAGTGGAGGTGACCGCCTTAGCAAAGCAATGCGCAAGGGTCAAAAGAGACCATTTGATTGATCTGCAAGATTACTCTCCATTCGCACACCATCCCAATGTTAGAATAACCTTGTCTCGACCCCTGTGCTCCACTCGTACGCCCGAAACTACCAGCTGTCCGCACCCCAACCCCCAGCCATAGCAACATCCCGCCCCGCATTGACAGCCTGCCGCAAGAATCCCAACGCTCCATCCGCTGTTGCATTGCCTGTACTGGGTATCCTACTCAGTCCATCCGGTCCAGCTTCCGATATTGCTTCCTCCGTTGCAAGCTTGTATTCCTCATCAATCCACCCCTGCTTCTTGCCCACCACCGCGCGTCTTATGCTACTCTTCCACTCCTTGTAAAAGGCCTCCTCGCTCTTCGTGACAAATCGCCTGTTTCCACATTCCGGCGCACAGCTGTACGGGAATACGGCCGTGACTACCTCCCAGCGGCGTGTCATGAACCATAGGTACGGCCAACTGATGATCCAGAAGAATGTGAGGTAGAACATCCACCGTAGCCATAACTTCTCGCGGTAGTCGTTCTGCCAGCAGGGACTGTAGACCGTGACGCGGTTGTGCGTAATGGGGAATGTGACTTTCAGGTGGCCGCGGTAGTTGGTCGAGCCGACCAGGGAAGTGATGAAGGCTTCGAGGGCGGCAGAATCATGGTACACGATGCGCCGGTCGAGAGTGAAGGAGCGCACGGAGAAGGGAGAGGAGATGTAGGATTGGATGTAGGTGTCTGCGTCTGGGGCCGACTCCTGAGGGCAGTCGCTTTGGGTCCGGTTGCCGCGATGGGCCTTGGATTGAGGTAAGGGGACGTCCAAGTCTTGCCGTACTAGGCTAGCTGGGGTATTCGGACCTGGAATGAGGAGGTGTGTCATGTCGAGGCGCACGTCGAAATCCGTGACTGTGACCTTCTCTTTGCTGTCCTTCTTCCTTGTCGTTTCGGAGTGTGTGCCCACCATCCGAGCAGTGAATGTAGGAGGGTATTTCGCTTGGTCTTTCAGCATTTCTGTGAGGAACTTGGCGTCCTGGCTGTAGAGCGGCCAGTGGGTCGTCATTGTCGTTTCATCCCGGGAGATGTGCGAGGCTGGCAGTGTTGGGTGGATAAGATATCTTGAAGAAGAGGTTCAGCAGACGCGCAGAATAACATCAGCGCTCTCTTAGGAAGTCAGCGTACGATTGTGCCTCCTGGTTGCGAGCTGGTGTAGGTCTTGGTGTTGCTGGGACATCTTCGTATGCAGGCAGGTCGGAGTCAGGGTAGTCCATGTCATCCATGAGAACAGCCGAAGAGGTTGAAGCAGCGTCATCGCGATTTGGATCATCTCTGTACACGCCTGGCAAAGGCTTCGGAGGCATTGGCTTGCCCATTGCGATGTGGCTGCTGGTTCCGCCTGGTGGGTAGCGATGATGGCGACGCCTGGAAAAGGCAAATGGGAGGATACGTTGCTGGAGTGAAGGGTCAGCTTCAAGCCTCTAAGGGTCAGAAGTGAGATTGTCGACCTGAGATGTAAGTACTAAGGTAGGTAGTAGACAGAGTGGCTCTTTAATGTTCTCAGTACTCCGCGTTTGCTGTTGCCAAGTGCTCTTCCACCAATCTCAAGTCAGCCCTAACCCTAAAGTACGGTACTGGTCTTACTCCTCTATGCACTATTCATCATCATATCACCGCAAGCCATATCTAGCAAGGCAACATAGTTTGCTCGCAACCATCTTACCGTTAGCAACGTCAGGATGTATACCTAAGGGATGTGAGCATCAAACAAGACTTGCACTTCAATATTCTGCCATGGTCGCCGCTGTCGTTACTGTTTCTTGCTGCCACAGAACTCCAGTGACGCGGCATCTGACTGCTCCGAGGTCTTCAGCCAGCCACATTCTTGGCACTTCGGTTGAATCAGACACGTTTGGCTTGATGTAGCCTCTCGAGAGGGGAAACCTACAAGCTGCAGCTCCTGCCAGTTGTAAAATCTAATTCAATCCACTCAATTCCTGGCGATGGATGGCGCAACCGCAACAAGACTTCTGTTGGTTATGAGGGTGCAACACTGCGGCTTTGAGGAACAATTGCAGTTTGTGGTCATGACGCCGAGATTGTAACTCTTGGAGTGCGGCATGGGCTCCACCCCAGCTCATGTCGCTCGCGAGGTTTGGTCCAGCGCGACATCCGTTCGCTTCAGCATCAGTTGAAGCCTTGCTGTGGTGAAGGGGTCATTAGTCGTCTCCAGCTCATCGCAAGGCCGTAATTGTATATGTGTATATGCGATTAGGCCGCCTCAGCACCAGGGCTGACAGGCCAGGACAGCCAATATCTCGTGCCCCAGCGCAAAGAAGATTCCCATGCATACGCGGCCTATCCGGAGTGGAACCATGACAATACAGGAGGGGAGAGTGGGGAGTGGAATATGAATGCTAAGGAACCGAATGAAGAGCTATTGGTGCAGGACTACTATTCGTGGGACTTTCAGCCAGCACAAATCTCCGTTTGCGGCTACATTTCTGGCTACACTCCATGATCTTTGATAGCTACTCAATTTAGCAATGGTGGCTATCTGTTTCGGTTATGGACCCCCTAACCCACAGTCTCACTGTGGCGATAAGGGGTGGTCCGTGTCTTCAGTCCTCACAAATTGCTATGACACTAATCCCCCAATTCGAGCTCCGACTATACATAAGAAGGCCTTCTCGCCCCTCGCCACTACAGTAGATTCCAAACCCCTTGGACCAAATATGTCCTCAGTAGTTCTCGATGCATGGTTCATAGGTTAGGACCTTCGATCCGAAAGCACACTGCCAGTATTGAATCTCTGCATGCAGCTGAACCCGAACTCAACAGTTGAGGAAGCCAATAACAAGTTTCATAAATTCACGGAAAGTCACCAATGATTCTACCGTAAGATTCTGAGCTTCTACTAAAACCATCTGGGTACTGACAAAATCCATGTGACAATTGTTGGGGCGGGTGTCTCCGGGCTATGCGACAGCTACGAGTTGAAGAAAGCTGGCTGTACGGTGACGACAGAATCGTCATCTAGAGTGGGTGGTCGTGTGAAGACTTTTGCGGTCCTTACATTTGCACCCGGTTTGCATGGCGATGGTGGAGCGATGGATATCCCAGCGAACCTCTATTTACTCCACCAATACGTAGATGACTTTGGACTAAAAGATGACCGCATTGACTATGAAATGAAGAACAAGTTCATTTATATCTCCGGCTACGGCGAGAAAACAACCCACGAGAAGTTTAACTCCCTGCTTTTGGATGGAGGCAAGTCGGAAGATTCCAAAAGGCGGCTGAGACTATTCCCAGGCCTTTGGGAAGAAGAAAAAGGGCAGACATGTGACCAGCTGTTCGCATGTGCTGTCTTCCAAGTCGTTGAAGGCTTCTGGAGAGTGTACGACAGACTAGAACCGGAAGGCAAGCTAAATGAGAAGAAGATCGAGGTTACGTACTATGAGATCACAGTCTGCGATCATTCATTACTGGGCAAGCGAACTGGAGCCAGGACGCAATCAACCTCTACAATCTCGGAAACGCCCAGGTCGTTTTTGAGAATGGCTCTATCGAGTCTTTCAAAGACGCCTCTCTGTCTAGTAACAATTAGGGGTATAATAGGCGGGCATAAAGTCGCTCCAATAAGGCATGGACGCCGTTCCGAACGGATTTAGCTCCCACAAGCGAGGCAAAGGTTGGTTTCCCCATCACGAACGTTGGCTTAGTTTACCAAGGGGTTTTTCAGACTCACCCATCGACAATGAGGTTTTCGGTGCGCGGGTCCGCAAGATTTGCGTTAAAAATGACTTCCCTCATGTTGGACCAGGTGAGGTAGAGGTCGAATATGAGACCAACTTCGGTCTTTGAAAGATGATCGCATCGGACCACCTGATACATGTAATATCATATACTACTTGACGCTTCATCGCGAAACCCGTGACTTTGTATTGAAGCAGGCAACGGCTTTTCAGTATAAAAAGCGATGTTCAAGTAAAATCTTCATCGATAACCAGCAAGGCCATGACGGTGGTCTTGTGAGTGACAAGCCTACCCGCTACACTATTTTCCAAAGACGGACGAAAACTCGCAGTTCAAGTACTCAAGCCGCAGAGTCATCATGGCAGCCTACCCTTTCGAGCAGGATGCCACTAACATCGGTGCCCTCACACCGCAATGCCAGATCCAGATCTTGCAGAGTCTCTCGACCGTATCCTTCCGGAGGCTAAGTCTCTCGAGCTCCTTGAAGCTGGTGCTTCTCAAGTTTCCCCAACGGATGAGCTTGCAGGCGGAAGTGCGTTCTGCTATGTTGGGCCGACGCAAAAGTCGGACCATCTGACCACCATGTGCTGGATAGACTGGGAAGGATCGACGTTTCTTTACTGGCGAGCAGGTGAGCTTTACGCATAGGTGGTTCCATGGTGCGTTTGAGGCTGGGCTGAGTTGGGTGCAGCAGGTGTCAAATGCGCAGAAGGCGAGACCGCAATGGCCGAGTATCAGTTGATGGACTGGAGATATTTTTCTGCCATCTAAATTCACCCGTGGAATCGAAGCTGTTGCGCACATAACTTGGCGTGCGGGAGCGGAATGTTTGGGCGTTGGAGCCGCGGCCATGAAGAATGATGGTGGTTTGTTTGTGTGTGAGACTGGATGGAACGGTGAGGGGCTCTGGGTAGGTGGTGGACTTGGTTTTCATGGGTGGGCTGGAGGTAGCCGTTATGGTTGTGTGATGTGTAAAGTAGATCTGTTGAGGCTATTCAGCTCGGGAAAGGGATGGAACGAAGATGGCTGCAGAGAATTGAAGTATCTAGGCAATCTCGGACTAGGCTCAAATGGTACTTTGATTGGTCAGAATCTTTGGGTTGTAAGAATCTGAAATTGCCTCAAAGTTTGTGTAGATCTTCATCTTTCCGTTGGCCGTGGTGTCCAACGGAGCGGAGTCAAAATATTTTTGTAGACCAGTAGAAACTTCAGTGAGCGGTCATTCGCAACGCAATTAAGAAAAAGGAAGTATTTTGTTAATGGCTTGGCGAGTATCGTGTTATTGTTAAAGGCAAAATTATGGAGACGCAGGGACCAAATAAAGCTATAGAAGTGTTATAGGGGGATTTTTCAGTGGCGGAGAAGTGTTGTGACTGACATGTCGAAGCGGGGACGCCTTGTTCTGCATTGTTCCTGCGGGAAGGCCCTTACTCCCGGTGTTTTGACCTGGCAGTGTTGAATATTATCATTCTATTGTAAATACCGCGGGTTTCTTCAACCCCTTTTTTCAATGGATCCCGATTGGCCCGTCGAGGTTCACGTATGCTACTGACACGAATGCCCCCGACACGTTGTGATGCACTGGCATTCCTTTTGTAAGGACACCCTCAGGATAGTTGGGGCAAACACGGCTGCGATGAATTCGGCCTCGAGCTTCTTGAGCAGTATCTTAATGGTAGGACCAACCAGATCATCAGTTGGAAAGCGGCGTAGAGCTCGGGGGGTGTGGAGAGCGTGAGCCCGGTAGTGAAAACTAGGAGTATGAGGCAGGAAGACAAGAGGGTCCGAAGGATAGGAATACTTAAACATAGTCACGATCTTTACTGGCGGGATCAGAAAGTAAAGTCAGGAACGACGTCCTGTAGCGGGTCCCCGGGGCTCCCTCCCAAGAAGCCAAATCTACAGTATCGTAGATATGGTCAACTGTAGTGGTCTTCTCGCAGGCTCACTAGCTTTATGTGACTCGGCACTACCGAATAGCCCGCCGCAGCCAGAACACGTATTTGGGCTAGTCCATGGCTGATTTTGGTACCCAGATAGCTAGATTATACAGCATCAAATCGAGTCTCTCAATGCACCAACACCTGTGCCTCTACTATAATGCCTAGATCGGCTCTCCCCTGTGGTTAGCTTCGCGCGGTGGCTGGGTATATGTCATTCAATCAATCAATCAATCAAGAGCTATTGCCGTTTAGGAAGCTCGCTAGATGGAGAGTGCTAGCTCTAAAACTGTCGGGCAAGCCCGACATGCGTCCGCCTCACTAACGTGTTAGTGGAAACATACTCTGCCTTAGTCGATGGTATATGAGAGGACTTGCAGGGGAACCGCAAATGAGCCTTCTTCGACACTCTCCGGCTGACCTGTCGAAGCGTTACGTCGATTCACTGCCCTCCTAGGCTGGAGCATAAACACTAAAGTTGCAGTGCTGTGCCCCGCACTCCCTCCAGCTCCGGCACATCATCAATCATTTTGATACTGATACAGTGGCATGTCTTCCTTGAACAAGAAACGCGAGCTTCGCCTTGCAAAGTCGAGCTTGTCCGCGGCTTCGCCCTTCAGTTTTATGCGCAAAGTAAAGAGTCATGATATTCAACCCGATCGGCTATGCCTCGCACTTCACCAGCAACACAGGCTCCTACCAGGGACTCCAGAGCATCCGCAGGGGAAATTGTTGCCGGTAGGAGAAGGATTTGGTGCTGAGGCCGAAGAACTTGCCATCCACGGAGGCGTTGACATAGATCACTAAAGTTGCTTGCAAAGCGCAGTGCACAGCGTTTTATTTGATGCACTGGGCCATACTCTGTATGCGGCACTGCTGCCGTGTTTACTGATGGGTGGATAGGCTTTTATGCCGTCGATGCTGATGCCCAGTATCGTATGCATCGTTGTTGCGACTTGGATTGAAAGGTCTTGGATGTTTTAAAAGCGGCTAGCTAGGAAGTGGAGCGCCTTATAGGACTCCTAAGACTAGAAGCTCCTTGTAGCTTGATCAACTCCGTATTATATTCAAAAGAGTCTATCATTGTAATGCAGTCTGTCACTGGTACTCAGAATGACCTCCGTTCTTACGTTGATACCGGTCTGAGGCAGTTCCATAGCTTCAACGTCTGGCTGAGTGTCGTTGACTCTACCACCTCGAACCGACACATCGTGGCCAAGTGGCCTCAGATCATCCGGTTCGTCAAGTTGACTGAATGTGCCATCACTTGACTTTCCTTTCCCACCTTCCCACATTCGCCTCGACGATGTACCACCAGCCGAGTGCAGTGTACTTCTTACCAAGGGAGCATTCGCAAAACCTTGGCTAGCTACGCTCACTAGAGGTCGAAGACTGGGGATACAGGCACAAATCACGGCCATGTTAGGTTCCAATGCGGACCATATAGCTGTGTCAACGTAGTTCCCTACATATTCAGTCAGTTATGGATAAATGAGACAAAGCTAAAGAGTACGTTTACACGTGACATCGGCCTCTTCAAGTCTGGAGAGAACAACCACCCAGATGATGCTGACCAAGACGACACTAAGTCAACAGTCAGCTGCCAATCAGAAAGCCAGTCCTGTGCTGAGACGTACAAGCCAGCTAAGGTGAAGAGAACGGTCAAAACAATCTGTTGCTTGACGGTGGTGCGCAGGCGCCACAAAAGTGGTATCGGCTGCCAAAGTGTTACTAGTCATCGTCCACCAGGGCGAAACACAACAGGGCCGTACAAGTATGAAGATCAAAAAGTTGAGACCGACGTTGGCTGAGCCGCTGCCAATAAAGAAGTCATCAACATTGTAGCAGTGACCTTTAATGCTTGGATCGACTCGATCCCAGGCGTAGTGAACGGGATGACTATATCTGTTAGCTTGAATGGTGGCACCAGAGATCCAGCGCGACGTACCATTGAAATATAATGGTGAGATCGATCGAGACCATGTAGACCACAGAAAGGACTGCAACCCAGAGTAACAGGCGTCTGAACTGAAGGATTGGGAAGATGCGGTAGTAGAATGCTAGTCTGATGGTTGCCGTTGACTGATCAGCTTTGGGAACTAAGTTCGAACTTGGAAAGGAGCATTCACATGGCAAACTTCGAGAGGGTCGTTGCGGTGTGAAAGAAGATCTCGAAGACAAAGAGACCCTTCAAGAACAGCTTTCCCTTCTCAATACTAAGGACTGGACCAAAAACGTAGATGTGTCTTCCAAATCCATTGGGGATCTCTTCAAATTAGGTAAGCCAATCTGCGTCTATCTGCATCCACAAAGCTGAAACGTACCTATCAACCATATGATGCAGCATACCGTTGAGAAAATCTAGCTTATCAGCATTGCTTGTAGCAGAAAGGCGATCCTCAAGTATTTACTTACGAGGGCCACGACGGTCAAAAGATCGTCCCACTGATAAGGACGAACCGTCAGCATTGGCCTTTTGCATACATTGCGAAAGTCGAATATTCGAAATCTTACCCAGAATCCGGCTCTTGAGAGCTTTCGAGATAGGAGGCGCAGAAAGACGAAGATGAAGGTGAGCGAGATGATCGCCGCGCAGCTTCCGATAACTCGGCCGCGCTGATCCGCGTATAGGTCAAGGCCAGGGGGAGGAGTGTCAGTGGACATGACTGCATTGAGATGGAAGTATTTTGGACAAGTGGTTGGGCATGGGAGTACTTGCACACGAGAAGGAGAGAGTTGTCGCTGGTAGAGGCGGGAACGCAAAATGAGAGACTAGCTAAGTGCATTATTGTAAAAAGATAAGAGAAGAGAAAGCTGAAATACAGCTGAGTAATAAGAGGATGGTACAACATGGCTACGCCGCTATCAGCGTGGGCTCGTGATACTGTACGTTGCAACTTAGAGATTGCAGCCCGCCGAATGGGGGTGGATCCTTTAACCGAGTTCGGCTTAGCTGGACGTCTAGCCATGCAGCTACTGTTACCGCACATCCTCCCGGTTTCAGAATAACAAGCTTCACTAATTATAAGGCGGGCAAGAATAGATCAGCAAAACATCAATAAGTTGGACAGGGTCATTATTGGTTCTCGCCATTTGTTTCCAAACAGATTCTCCTAACTTTTCTGACGGTTACCCACACTCTGTGGGTATCTGACTTGCTCCTTTTCCACGCGTTGCAGAGTAGGTATCTTGGCTTGGCCAGAAGGCTTTGTTGAGTAGCTTACGGTGGGAATGATCAACGGAAAAAGTGGTGCGATCAGCTGCAGCAAAGTGGTGCAGCTGTAACAATGCAAGCACACGTTTCCCGAAACATTCTTGCGCCAATCCCATCCAGCTTGAACCATTCGGGAATGGAATTATCTAGGGGGCTCCAGCGATATTTCCTCGAAATGGAATGCTAGAAGCCTCTTTGCTTCTAACAGCTGGATGCGACGGCTCTCCCCAGCTACCGCCTTGGTGGCGCTTTCAACTCTTCGTTAGACAGAAGGAGGGCCTAGCAACAGTCTCCCAAAGCCAGGATGAGTCATTCATGGCCACAAACTACAAGCAAGGCATCTAAAGCCTGTGCCTCTTCCTTCTCTACCCCCCGGCTGGATTGCGACTGATCCTAATATGACGTGTTTGGTTCTTCGGCCACAGTTTCGCAGCTTCTTGATCACCATCCTTGATCGCTACAGCCGATGCCTTCGACGATTGACCGGCTCCCGGCTTGCAAGACCGTTGCTGGCTCCTGGATCAATCTCGCTTGTGGAAAGGGAATTGCGTGTAGAGAGGCGCAGTCTGGGTATTGCAGCTTTGAAAATACAACACACCGGCTGCAGAGTCTCGTGAGAGGATGCATTTGAATGTGACCATCACTTTGCTTGATTGCGAGCACGCATTGATAGACTGACGCTCCAAGCACAATGACAGCTGCTACAATTTGGTTCAAAGTACCATATGCTGAAGGGAGATTTCTCGATCGCATGAGCGCTAAGCTCAACTGAGCTTATCAGATAAGGCAATGTATTTTCAGAAAATGATAAGATCCTATGATGGGGTTTTAAAGCATCAGAGACGTGTTACGAGCTTGTTTTGGAGATCATCGACATCGACATGTTAGGAATAGATGTGCCCATCTTGCCAATCGACTTTGGGATCGCCTTCCTGAGCTGTTGGCGCACACTGACAACACGGGCAGATTTACGCAGTTGGCTTTCCGGCAGCCTCTGCAAAAGTCATCGTTGTCTCCAAATCTACGGACCAAGGAGTGAACTCAATGCTGGAGGAGTGAGGCTGACTTCAGAAATCTATCACAGATCGCTGCTCATTCGTTTCTTGAGTGATGATGGAAAGTTTCCATTCCTTTGGTTGTCCCCTTTGCTCATGTCGAAAAAGGCTGTGTTGCACCTCAGTCAATCCGTCACGTAATCTGCCGGTGACCGAGGCCTCTTGGTGGGATGTCTGGACGGCGGGAGTTCGCTACCTGGTCTGGATCGAAATTTAGAAACCCCCCTTGAGCCTTGACAATTAGTTGGTCTTCATGTGCTGTATGAGTACCTGGAATTCTTTGATAGAATTGACTCAGGCCGCGAGATACTTGACCGGTCTTTTCGGTTTATCGTCAGCCCGATAGGACGAATACGTTTCTAAGCTTTAGGTGACCCAGATGAGGGAATCACACGTGATATACTAGTAGCAGGTAAAGCGATTTGAGCCCAGTGGTTTCGAATACTATGGGTTGCATCAATTTTCATAATCCTTGTACAGAGCGATCGCTAAGCCACGAGGCGTACGAGTACAAGCAGGTGCCGACATCAATCACAATCGTCTAATGTACCCGACCGCGTCTCCGATATCCCCTTGTCTCGCTGCGCCATAGCTCGTATGCAAAGCCTAGTCTTTTCCGGCATTACTACAGTACATCCATGGAGCATGTAATCTGTCGCCGATACGGAACTATAACCTTTCAGGCCAGCGTGCTGTCACAGTACAGGTAAGCTAATGACGAAGCAGTAATAAGTGATCCTGCTAGCGGTTAACTTTTGCGGAAAGAGCGCCGCACCTGCAAGCGACTTTTGCGGCCGGGCAAATTACTAATTCATACCCCAGAATTTGGTGTAGGGTTTTGGATTTGTAAGATGGAGTATGAAATATTAATCAGTCTACCTTGTAGTGAACTAGTAGTACGCCCTTTCGCGGCCTCGGCGTCAACATCTGGGATATTTAGTCACCATCGCATTATCGGAAAAAGAGGTCGCGTAAGCTGCTAAACTTGATTTCAAAGACTTCAGCAAGACTACATGCATATATGGCAATGGCAGCGCCTTGGTTTCCCTGCATTTTGAACAACACAGTCTCTTACTGCATACTGAAACCATCTATCCCCTCGAACCTCGAAAACAATGTCCAAAGCAGCAGCTTCACCAGTCGTCCTTATACTTGGCGCAGGTGCCAACATTGGTGCCCATGTCGCTCGCTCCTTTGCAGCAAAAGGGTACCGTGTCGCTTTAACGTCGAGGACTTCTCGAGCTCAGGAGACGACCGATGACGGAGACCTTCACCTCCAAGGCGATCTCGCAGACCCTGGGTCCGTCGCTGGCATCTTTGCGAAAGTACGAGATCTTCTCGGTCTGCCTAGCGTGGTGGTCTATAATGGTGAGTCAGCGCTTTGCATTAATAACAACGGCGCTTACACGGATCCACTGTACCCTGGGGCTGATCTGATTCGGTTATCATGGTGTAGCTGCAATGGCCACTCCGAACCCACCACAAGATCCACTCTCGGTCTCTATCCCCGTCCTCAGCCGTGACCTCAACGTCAATACTCTCAGCGTCCTGGCTGCTGCCCATGAAGCAGTTCTATCCTTTGAAAAGCTACCCCCAAGTGCCTCACGCACCTTCATCTACACGGGTAACAGGCTCAACATTGCTCCGATCTTGCCGCTCCTCAGTTTGGGCATAGGAAAATCCGCTACGGCGCACATAATCTCCTCTGCTTCACTGGCGTACAAAGATAAAGGCTATAGGTGACATGACATCTTGATCTAGTTCTCCCTGCTGGCCCTTGCTGACGAGGAATAAACAGATTCTACTATGCTGACGAGCGGACGTCTGAGGGATCACCAGTTGGAGGAGCAGTTGATGGAAGCGCACATGGGGAGTTCTACGTGAATCTGGCTGAAAGTGAGACGCAGGGTCCTTGGTTAGCGACCTTTGTGAAGGGGAGTGGCTATGTGAAGTTTTTGTAGTAGCTCAATGCCTTGTCGATTTAGATCTACTTTGAGACAGTCACATCAATTGTGCTGGGGGATGAAGTTCTGAGCAGATGAAGTCAGCTGTCGCGTCATGAACTGGGTTTCATCTTATCAAATATCGCAGATCTGATTCGGAGTCTTTGATAACTTCTCCAGTGTCTGATCATGCTTTCTGCGGTACTCAGCTACACGTATGGATGGGTCGGACAAGCTTTCACGTCCAGCGTGAGAATTGCGGGATATAAATAGGGTTCTCGTCGTGCTGATATTATTCGCAGTCGATGACGAATGACCGATTTTAAAGCGTCCTCCTTCGCAATAATCATGAGTGAACCTGAGTTGAATGGGCTCCGATATGCTAGCGAAAACCCGCGGGAGATCATTGTGTACATTGAAGTTGGGTTTGAGACCGAGAGTCCAATGATGCTTCTAGCTCATTGATCTCGTGTATCGACACCTGCTGCTGATCTTGCACCATATCAAGGCCAAGGGTTTTAGATGGAAGGTTCCCACTCCAACCGAAGCTAGGCTATAACTTTTGGAGGCAGAGATTCGATCATGTCGATCGTGTTGAATACATCAGACGTACCGTCGCAAAAGGGATGTCAGAAGTTAACCCAACATTTAGGGCTAGAGAATGGTCTTCACCCCAAACTTGCCAAGAGTGCCAAGAGGGCCAAGAGTCTTGGCATGTCTAGGAGGCATACCTCCGTGAAATCGTGCTCAATCGAGCAGCGGCATGCTTTGACAACATGCATTGACAATGTTACAATAGCCCAACCAAGAACGCATACCAGTATGTTTTGGTGATGCCTGACCGAATGATATTGAGCACAGGACAAGTTCTACGAGGACGTAATGCCACCTATCGCCTCCTCAATGCACTCCATGCGCCAACGGTGTATAAAGCGCAAGTGCTGGAGAGTTCTATCATCAAAGCAGAGTTGTATGTTAGGCCTTTTGTTGTAACTTTCAATATGGCAGCTCATGGATCTCTAGTGCGGTGGTCAAAACAGCAGTGGAGTCCACCAAGAAAGCCTTGAGGCGAGAGCGAAACAATTACCTCATTCCTGGAATACGCTCGAGCCCATATATCCGCAGTCACTGGGACATACTTGATGCCTACTCGAGTGATGACAGAGCGCAGGCAGATGAGACGGCCACAGCCCCGCCCGGTATGGTCTTCGAGTGGATGGAGTATGACTTGTGGCAGGTGTCGTCTGAAAGATATCGTCAAGACTCAATCCTTCCCAAAGTCATAGCTAGATCAGTACTGTCGGCACTCGCTCTTCTGAAGACACAGTACGACGCAATCCACACAGGTTGGTGGCAAACGGTCTTTTCCCTTCCCCGGCAGCTGCTGATTAATCAGATATCAATCCAAACAATATTTTCCTTTCTGATATCGACGGTCCTTCTCCTGTCGTGAAATTAGGAGACTTAGGAAACAGTGGGTCCCTATAATCTATTTGCGAGCCTTGCTGAGTTGTCTAGTGTTCGGAGATGGGTATGACGTAATGCGTCTTCAGAGCCTTGAGTGTCGTGCCCCCGAGGTGTGGAGAGGCTTAGGTGTCTGGCATTCTTCGGACGTGTGGTCATTTGGGGTTACGGTTTGGCACAGCCTCTGTTTTGTCACGGCCGTCTACTAACAGTAAAGCTTACGCATTGGCTTTCGCACTCAGCTATCTTCGGTCCCCACGATAAGATCGTTCAAGATCTGACCGAAGCCTGGTGTATAGCCAAGATACGACGGCTTGTTGGGTCAATGAAAGCGCCGGTCGATCCGAGATACGAAGACGAATTCGCGTTGGCGGAGTATCTCGAAACAAGCTCTTTCAGGCATGAGGATGATTCTTCGGAGAGACCATTCATGAGTGTTGGTACCCTTCGTGAAGAGCTCGAGAAGCTCTCTGCTCCCAAGGTGTCTCCAGAGCTTCTTGACTTCATCGAGTTCTTGCTTGTTCTGGACCATACGAAGAGGCCAAGCGCAGTGGAGGCGCTACAGCATCCTTATCTTCGCTAGATCAACTCATTTGACTAGAAGATAAATGGTGGCAAACACCAAGTATATATAAATACAAATTTCTTTCGTACAAAGCTCCTCAGCTGCTGGAGACACCGCCTTTACGCTGCGCAACGGGGCGGGGGACCCCGACAGGGTTCCGGGGGGGGGCCGGGGTCGGGGTGGGGTTTCGGGGCGAGGTTTCGAGTTTCCTCGAAACCCCGACCCCGCCCCGACCCGGGAGCGGGGTTTCGGGGTGTACCCCGGCTACCTCCGTGAATTCTAAGTACCCCTTAGTACCCCTAAGTAACCCTCTTAAATTTTGATATTACGTATTAAGAATAGAGTAAAATAAAGTATAGAAGACGATATCGTAACTTAAATTTTAGTATAAGATATAGATACTTAGAAAGATAATAAGATATATAGAATTAAAGCGTTACGAAGACGTTATAAAGACGCTATAAGAGCGTTATAAGAGTAATAGTCTCGAGCTAATCTAATTAAACGCTTAATAAGAGTAATAAAGTATCTTCGTTATTCGTATATATTTAAAAGTATTTAATATTTAATAATACTCGATTTAAAATTCGATAAGTTCGATATAATATTAAAATATTTATCTTTTATTAAAATTTTATAGTAACTCGATATTATTATAAAGAATAATATTAAACTTTTCTTACTAATAATATTAATATATCTAAGAATTTAATTTATCGTTTTTTAAATCTTATCGATCTATTAATTCGTAAAAAAATCGTCGCTATCTCTTCTTCTATTATATCTTTTTTTACTACGTTCTCTTCTCTTATATCTTCTTTAATTATCTTCTTATTTCTTTTATTTCTTTTATCTCTTTTATCTCTTTTATCTCTTTTATCTCTTTTATCTCTTTTATCTCTTTTATCTCTTTTATCTCTTTTATCTCTTTTATCTCTTTTATCTCTTTTATCTCTTTTATCTCTTTTATCTCTTTTATTATATTATTATTATTATAAAAAAATCTCTAATAATATTAATATTAATATAGAGATATATTATATAAGTAAGATAAATAAAATAATAAGACTATTATATTATATAGATAAAAAAAAGAAATAATATAATAGAAGATATCTTCGTTAAGATATTAGATTATAGAGTTTAATAATATATATCTATAAATCTAAAAAGTTTCTTTTCGCACGATTTCCGTCGAGTTCGCACTATAAGTATAATTTAGTTTATTTAATAGACTTTATCTATATCTAACTCTTTTCGCCGATTTAATAACTATCTTAACTCTTTCCGCTAGTTCTATTAGTTTAATAACTTTAAAAAATTTTAGCAATTTAAAAATTTTTACGTAATATACTCTAATATACTTTAAGTATTATTTTATATATATATTATAATAGTATTAATATATATTATCATTAATATACGCTATATTAGAGTATTACTTACGCGACTAATTTTATTAAATCGTCTAATTTTATAGCTAAATTTAAGTTAACGTTAATATTTATTATTATAGAATCTTATTATCGCAACGTCGATTATTAGAACTTTTCTTTTTTTATACGTATTACTATTAAACTAATAGAACTAATAGAAAAGATTAGAATAGTTATTAAATTAACGAAATTTTAACTAATTTTTAAGATAGTTACTAAATCGGCGGAATTTTAGCTAATTTTTAAGATAGTTACTAAACCGACGAAATTCTTAATTTCAGCCCTATTCGTAAGATCAGCAATTTGAAATTTAGTAGAAACTTTTCAGATTTATAGATATATTAAGAATACGTTTATAATAATACTTTCTTCTTTTAAAGATTTATAGTCTTTATAGCTAATAGATTAAAGATATACGTTTATTACTTATTTTATTTTTTTAAATATTTATAATCTCTATAGATCTTAATTAAAGAAGATTTATTAAGAGTCTTTTAAAGATTTTAAAGATATAGATTATATCTTATTTATATATTAGTAAGAATTTTTAAACGCTTCTTTAACTTTCTTATTATAATTTTTTAAAAGAATTATATATATATTATAATCTAATTACTCGCTAAAAATTAAGTAAAAAATAAGAATTTTTAATATATTATACGAGTAAAGGTCTATAAATTAAATTCATAATTTTTTTTTTTAGATTAAAGCTATCGAGTAAATTTAATAAGTAATCTTTAATAAGCGATATTTAAACTTCTTACCTTTGAACATTTATTAAACTAAATTTAATAATTCTTTTTTTTATCTAAAAGGCTATATTACGTTCTATAATTTAATTTTTTTTTATGAAATTTTAATAGAAAATAAAAAAGTTATTCTAAAATTAAATAATATATATTTATTTTTTAATTAGAGCTATCGAGCGAACTTTAATAAGAGATATTTAAATTCCTTACGCTTTAATTATTATAAGACTAAATTTAGAAATTCTTTTTTTATCTAAAAGTCTATACTACGTTCTATAATTAAAAAGAAAAATTTTAAAACTTTAATAGAAAATAAAAAAGTTATTCTAAAATTAAATAATATATATATGTTTTTTAATTAGAGCTGTCGAGTAAACTTTAATAAGCGATATTTAAATTTCTTACGCTTTAATAATTATAAGATTAAATTTAAGAATTTCTTTTTTATTTAAAAGCGTAAGTTATATACTATAATTTAAAAAAATAATCTTAAAAAAATAATAGAAAATAAAAAAGTTATTTTATATATAAATAATATATACTTAGTCTTTTAATAAGAAGGCGTAAGAGAGCTAGCGAGCTAATTTAGTCGATTTAATTAAAAAGCGTAGCGAATCTAAATTTATAATTAACTATATATATAAATTTAATATCTTTTAAATTAGCTCTATCTTATTCTTTTATATATACTAATAAAGATTATTAATTATTTTATATATTTATAGAATAGATATATAAGTACTAAGCCTACGCTAGTAGCTCTATAAGTATTTCTAAGATATCTTATAATAAGAGAAGAGAGATAAATGTATTATATAAGGGTATAACGATATTAGTTCCCTTAATTAAGTAAGTATAGCGTCATTCGACGAAATACCTTATTAAGAATTCTCGGAGGATTTTTCAAGGGTCTAATAAAAAGCCGGGGCCTACCTTTTACCGAGCTGAGACACGTTGCCGGGCCGTGGGCCGTTGACTGTCACTAACGAGTAAGGATGGAGTTCCTGTCTTACATTCAAACGTACATTTACTACTAGAATCAATTTCAATTTCCGGAAAAATCTCCACCATGGCTTTGATTACTATGTCTGTGTACCCTGGGCCAAGTTCAGACTGCTCAGTAGAGCAATCTTGCTAGGCCGTGGCCTCCCATTAGAGTATCGACGGATTCTGTTACAACTCTGCTTGGTCAAATGTGTGTCTCTCGCTGAACTGCGGCTAAAGACCGCACCACATAAGGGGCAAACCACTTTTGCAGCTTCACCCTCCTTCTCCTTCTTATGTCTTACCAAGTTGCTCCTGGACGAGAACTCACGCCCGTTGCAGCCGTGGTCCCAGCATCGAGGCTTAACATCCGAATTTACTGAAGCATCGTCGTTCGAGTTGCTCAAGAAGCTGAGTGCATCATCAGGCTTGCTCAGCCGACAGGGTTCTGTTGAGGCACTGTTGATTGTTTCCTGCAGTAACGGCGGCGGCGTATCGCGTCTCACAGCGTGATCATGAATGACCCCTGTACAATCGTCTGTGGAGAGGAGGCTGCTGTATTCCGTGAGTGTCAGACTTACTGGAGACAGACACAGTGCTGGAATTACCTACCATTCATTGTAGGGTATCTGTTCAAAGGGGGTCGCACTGTCAGATACCGCATTCCCCAACTCCACAGGATGCGATGTATTAGATGATATTCCATTTTCCCGGTAATCTCCAGAGTCATCACCCCAATAAAAAGGGCTATCCATACCTAACACGCTGGAACAGGAACCAAAGATACACGGGGAAAGATCTTGAGTCTATTTAGTTGAAGGTCGAGCGGATTAGAGGCGCTGACATGGCATAAAGCAAACCTCCGGTAGGCCTGAACAACGGCAGTGACGCTCGTACTCAGGACGACGGCAGTGTGTCTATTAGCATATGAAAGTGGTGAGAATAAAGAAGAAATATATCCCCAGCCTAATCAACCTGGACGGATCTGCTGTGGGTGCGGCTCAATCTTTACCATAGCCTTGTCTTATATGCGTCGTCAGCTTAGATAGCAGCCAGCTCATTCTGTGACTGAAGGAGTGTAGCCGCCGAGAAAGCCGATCATTGCCTCTTAAAGCAGCTGAGCCCGTTCTCTGCAACATCACAACATCACTATGGTGAGTAGCAAATCTGACTTGCATTGCAGAAATTCTCACACACCTTCGATCGTTAAAAAGATTGATTCGTTAATTGATAAGCAGGATTGTGGGTCCATTATCTCTCTCTTCCGACTAGCTGTCTGAGTTGGATGACTTTCTACAATCACCGATTCCCCACTCTCTACTTTACTCTTGTTTGTAAAACCGTAGGCGGAAGCGCCCGGCTAGCAGCCTGCCACGTCATTTTTTATCTGAACCACCGCCAAATGCAAGTAGGAGGTATTTCGCATTATATACTATAATTAAGTACTTATTATATTTAAATAGTTATTATAGTTATCGAATAGAATCTCGATATTTAAATCTAAATAAGATTATTTCTAATATAAAATAAGAGAATAATACTTTAAAACTATATTAGAAAGCTTAAAATAACTTTTATTAATATACTTCTTCTTATTATACTTTTAATAAGCGCGTATATTAAATCTAATAGCGATAATCGAGTTATTATTCTACTTTATAATCTAATCGTTAAGTAATTAATATATTAAATTTAAATTTATTAGAATATCGATAAGACTTATATATCTACTTTTTAAAGTTTTATTACTATAGATAATTACTATAGATCTTATTTTAATAGAAATAAACTCTTCTTTAATAACGTTAAACTTATTACGAGTATATTAATATATTAAATTAAGTTAAAG